GAAAGCCAGTCTTCAAAATGTAATGCTCATTTCAGCTTAAACTCACCTTTGCTTCTGGACCTGCAAATGCTTTTATGTAATGACGTTGGCATTGCTTTGGGGAGCGATAAACATAGTTACAAGAATTAACAATGTCGCTGACAAAGTCCCAGTTTACTGTCTGTGCTGGTGACACGACAGCAAGGTTTAAAGGAAGCATCCGTAACTGTTTCACCGCCTAGGTGGCAGAGAGAAACCACAACAGTGTAATGTTTCAATTAATGCTTCTTTTGTTTACATAAACACATATAATCCTGTATTAATCAAGCTCTATGGATGCTGTAGCAAACTAAAAAGTTTTTGAAGTCGATAAAAACAAAGTACCAACTTACTTCTACCAGTGCCAAGTCTTCAGCAATTAGCCATGCAGGACCATCCTGCCCAGCGTCAGCAGCTGACTTGGTAAGAGCTGACAAAGGTCTTGCAAAATATGTTTTTTGTTTTAGCCAGAGGAGGGTCTGGTGGGCTTTGCTCTTCTCTTGTGTTTTCAATATTCTTGGAGGCTCAAAAAGTGAAGGTGGAGGAACAACCATCCTTCTATGGCAATGCTTCTTTCTCTCACTTGAAGCTAATTGACAGGATAAAGTTACTCTCTCCAGTGAGAAATGAACTCTGTGGAACAACACCATGACAGAAAACTGCTTGCTGCAAATCATCTAATGATAATAAGCCTTTTGCAGTATTTTCATGAATGCAGGTACCTTCAACCTATGGTCCCCTAGGACAGTATTTGACTTGATCAGTCATTTTTTAATAGCTCCTTGCTTCGCTAAGAAAATAATCTTAAAAACAGATCAAATGGACACACAGGTGTCTCACTGCTTTACTCCTGCTCATTGAATTCACCTGTATTTTTATTTCTAAGTTGTCAGGACAATAGCAAGTTCTCACAGTGTGCTCCCTCTGCTCTCACTCCACATTCAAGCATTTTGTCCGAGCGATTTCAAGCTTAAGAGAGATAATGGTACATTCAGGCCTAAATTCTTAAACACAAGAGAGTTTTCATATAGTTTCACACAAAAACGTTACTGCACCTTCCCATGCAATTCTGAATCCAACTTACAGGACAGATCCGTTCTCTGCCGCTTAAGTGCCCTCCTGACAGACAGCGGTGGAAGCGCAGACTCTGGAATGGGGGTACTACTGTACATCAGACACGTAACAGAATCAGTGTAGACATCATCATGATTCTCAGGTGCAACAGGGGGAGTCCAAAGCTGAAAAAAACCCAACCCAACACAATACAAACAACCTACAGTTTGCCGTTAATTAGAGAATTTTAGGTAAGGTTTCCTTCAGATGAAATAAGGGCTACTGACTTACAGGCATTGTTTCTATTTCTCCATCTGGGCCTTCACATACAAATTCCTGTGTGAGAAACAAGGAATTTTTAAAACCTCAATACATCATCCAGCTCAGAACTCAGTATTTAGAAACAGAGGCATGTTTGTGATAACTAGAATTAAAAAAAGAGAAAAAAAATATTTTAAGTAATTAAAAATTTTCAAAAGCCAGCATATCTTTTTCAGTCTCTTCCTTCAGTTATTATTACTTTGATACATTACTGTGAGATTCCAAGTCAACCTACAAAATGATAGCCCTTCTGCTAAAACAGCAACCTGCTACTCTACAGAATTAAAACTGTCCCAAGCGACAGTCCCTTGTGTGAGACCAGTGCAATATGAACCCAAGAGACATCCTTAAATACACAGTTCATAGTCACAATATGGAAACTCTTTGAAAAGCAGGGACTTGGAGCTCCCTTGATGTTACCATGTTATAAGCATCTTCTCTGGTATACGTTAAGAGTTCCTCTTTCACTTCCTGCTGAAATCTTTCTTCTGCCTTTTTCAGCTCCTTGGCATGCTGATATTCCCATTTTGCATTTGCAGTTTTTAAATCCTTTTAGGAAGAAAATTTGTACACTTCAAAATATGACCACTTTTCACAATGAATATGCCAACAGCAGTAAATCGCCACAGATTTGAGTCTGGTAACTACATAATAAGTTCAGTTTTTATAGGCTAACAGTCATGGCAAGGTTAGTTAAACTGTGTTTTCATTCTTGTGTAAGGCCCTCATGCCAGTAAAGAGAAGAACAGAACCACGTCTCCCTGTTAATTAGGAATCAGTGTGGTTTTACCCCATGATCATTTGGATCAAAATTTCAGTGCCCATAAACAAAAACCCAAACAAAACCCCCAAATAAACAAAAAATAAAATCTGACAATAGTTGGGGTTTTCCATTTTGATTTTCTTGATTACTCAGAAAATGAGATATAGTCTCTTACCTTGTTGACTTTCTGGCTGTCTTGATCATTCAAAGTATGAAACAATTCCAAGAAATTCAATGCATACTTTTCAATTGGCTTAAGCTGTTCAGAAAAACATTTTGACACATTGCTAGTTATTTAGCTTTTGTATTAGAAACACGTAAATAACCAGAGATTTAAAAACAAGCAGGGAATAAACCCAACCTATAAATGTATTTATTTTGGTTGCAAATAACGGCATCATAATTGAGGTCAAAAAGAGATCTGGGGACAAAAAAACAAACAAGCAGGGAATAAACCCAACCTATAAATTTATTTATTTTGGTTGCAAATTGAGGTCAAAAGAGATCTGGGGACAAAAGACCTGATATTCTTGTCCCTAGCTAGTCCGATCACATCCCACAGGTATCACTGAGAATAAGCTCCAACTACTGGCTTCCATTTTCGTAACTGTAAAAAAAAGAGAAACCCATCTGAATTACTATGCTCACTCTTGCTTGCTTGTTGGTAAGAAGGCTGCTACTTGGGTTCTGCACAAGCAGCCAAAAGGAAAGGGAGACAATAAGAATCTGACAGAATTTACAGAACTAGAATAGTCATTTCATGGTTAAGCAGAAACAGATCCAAGGCCTTAAAGGAAAAAAGCCAAGTATCTGGCAAAGCGCAGGACTGTAAAACAGTTTTTTATCACAAGATGCAATTTAGTCCAATGCACTTCACAATCCTCAGGAGAACATTTGGTGACTTACATGTTTCAGTACCTGAATTTATCTATCAACAAGCTCAGATTACTTCCCAGGATTGTTTCAACATTCAAGTTTGCACAGAACAGTTTTGTGTAAACAGAGTAGAAATAAGGTACTTTACGAAAGCCATTTGATTGTTGTACAGGAAAGTAAATTTTAAATATTTCTAGGGGTTTACATAAAACAAGACAATCATCATACCTGATCCACGAAGCCAGCCAGCTCTTCCAACTGTGAAGGAACCATGGTATTTCCTGAATCATACATCTCTGAATCTGTGTCATTTCTTATCTCAGATCGTATCTCTTCTTTAAACTTTCTGGAATCCTCTATTCCACATTCAGAGCAAAGAACCTTATGGAAATATATTCAAATTTTTGGTAAGATACTGTATGATTTCAAAAGTTTTTTAATCATCCTAAAATTGACTTTAGAAAAATCAGATTACAGGTGTATTTGACACCTTTTGCTTCAGGAGATGTTAGTTTTATTTGATTAAAACAATGACAGAAATAGCGTAAAATTATCATTGGAACAAACACAACAGTTTTCTTTCTAGATATTTTTATCTTCTGATTTTCTACATGAGCTAACAATTCAGGATTTTTACTGATTTTAACTGTGATCTCATACAACTGCCCCCCAGAGAAGTCTGGAAATAAATACAAAACCAGATGATGTTTAAAATTCTGACTGTGATCTAGAAAAGCACTCATTTTTACATATCATTAAAGAACCGCTCACATTCTTCATGTTACAGTACCTGAGTTAAAAAGTCTGTTGAACAATCATTTCCTTGAGCAGCCACTTCTTGAACCAAATGTTTAATACCTTTTTCCAACAGCCTTTCTTCAACAGAATTACCACTTATAAGCCTGTAAAACAAAGAAACTCATTAAGTACTGTCCCCCAGAAAACAGTGACACTTTCTGAAACTCAACTGTTTCACATTGAATGTTCCTCACCTATGGCAGTGAGCACCAACACTTGTTTAAACTCCATCAGGTATTTTCATAGAAAGTTTTGGATTAGTTTTTTAATTTCTTAGAGGAAAGCTTTCTTTTTACATCTGATTTCCTATTTTCAAAACACCGGGTTCTTTCAATTTCTTATTTTCAAAATGAACAATAAACCATATTGTCTTTTATACAACTGGATTTTTAAAAAAATCCTTACAACAGCGGGGTATTTGCTAAGGGTGTCTGCACTGCACACCCAGGCATACATGCCCAGTGGTCTAAGGCGAGCAACAGCTCCCCTCTGCTCTCAGCACATCCTTCCAGGAAAACAGTCATGTGAGAGAAGCTTTCAAATATATCTTAGAACAACATGAACACCAGCATCTCATCACTAGTGGATTTGAAATCCAATGACAGACCATCAAGAAAGACATTTATTGTTTATCAAGAGCAGAAAACACCTACAGATATTAATGTTCCTTTTGACTGATCCAATATTTAAAGGGATCTTAAAAGACCAAATGACTTAAAAAGACGACCTCAACCAAAAATCCAAGTTTCACCTAAAAACATCTTCCCTCGATTTTTTATTTTAAAGCACCTATACGATTTCCTAGCGTAAAACTCACCTGTATATGTGAATATCTCTGCCTCTTGCAACTTTATCACACCATTCTTTAGCCTTTGTATCCATCACTGGATCTAAATCAATATCTTAGAACAACATGAACACCAGCATCTCATCACTAGTGGATTTGAAATCCAATGACAGACCATCAAGAAAGACATTTATTGTTTATCAAGAGCAGAAAACACCTACAGATATTAATGTTCCTTTTGACTGATCCAATATTTAAAGGGATCTTAAAAGACCAAATGACTTAAAAAGACGACCTCAACCAAAAATCCAAGTTTCACCTAAAAACATCTTCCCTCGATTTTTTATTTTAAAGCACCTATACGATTTCCTAGCGTAAAACTCACCTGTATATGTGAATATCTCTGCCTCTTGCAACTTTATCACACCATTCTTTAGCCTTTGTATCCATCACCGGATCTAAATCAGTGTCATAGAAGACAACAGTATCCACATCCACATGGCTGACACCTGTGGAAGGAGTGTGGGATGAAAGAATGGCACAGAAGAATCGCTTGTCTTGGTTGAAGTTTTTTATGGATTCCTAAAATGGGGAGACAAGCAACTTAATTAAAAACTAACATTAATAAAGCAAATATCTCTAAACAAACTTTTTTACTGAATGAGAAGATCAGAAAAATTGCTTTCTTATTGCTTCCACAACCTACACTAAGCGTACAAACATTTTAAGTTATCTGACTGCCCCCATTACAGATCTACACAATTCAAAATTAATTTGTGTACCATTAAAATTATTAATTTATGGTGCAGTCAACCAGATAACAATCTAAAGATCTATTACAGTAGTCACATTATGTCCTGTGAGTAAGCACACCTGACTGGGTTATTACATTCTGTGCAAGCTTCATCATTTGTCTTGTCTATCGACTAAATCTAATCCCTTCTATTGTGCTCCCTTGTGTTGCTTTAAGGCAAAGTATTCCTTTATGTTTTATACTGCATCTGACAAAGCATAACAATGTAATTTGAAATAAAAAAAAGCAGAAAAGAATAACTTAACTATATCATTAATGTTTGCTCAAATTGTAGGCCCCAGAGGATACAGAGAATCTTACTGGGGAGGGAAATGAGCATGCTTTCAATTTATCCTCAGGCAATGCCAGGGCACTCTACAAAAACCAAAAGCCCCTGGAGTAAGGCTGAGGAAGTGCCAACATACACTTAAAGTACTTACAATGCACATAGCTACAGATAATGAAAGCAAAAGCAATTAATCAAAATGCTATTGTGAAATAAAGCGTCTGTCTTTCAAGCACAAATTACTCATAAATGTAGAACAACTAGTGGCATACCTCTTGGAAATGCCCTGGATGCCTCATCAGATTGTAATATGACTGACATATTTCATGTATAATTACATATTTTGTGCTACAGCTACATACATAATTTGCTTAACTAATGAAATTATGCAAATGAATTTTGCAAATGTATTAGACTTCCCTTTAGCATTCGCCCTCCCACTATGAGCATCTATTCACCATTAGCTTGAGTGAGAGGTCCTCTTACCAGATAGTGCCAACTGCGAGCACCACTCTCATTAACTCTCGTGTACGTGAGAAGATGGAAGTTCAGGAAAAGCTCCAGAATATCAAGCATTGGAATCATCTGCGTCAAAATCAACACACGATGCCCTCTTGCTTTCAGCTTCTGAAGCAAGACAGCCAGAGCCTCCATCTTGCCTGCTTATGAAACAAGGACTTGAAGGTTCTGCAGGGAGCATTCAACAATTAGAGAAAGCACATTTGCACAGTTATAACTGGTGGTGGTTCTTGTAATACCTGAGTCATGCTGCACCAGTCGGAGATCTGGAAACTGTAGGAAACGAGGCCTGACTATTTGCTGCACTGCATGGGAGTAGGGACGTATCTGTTCCTTCAGATTAAACTCCAAGACTTCCAGTTCATGGGTATATGTATAAGGAGGATTTGCTACATACAAATATGGAGGAGCAACAGCTACAGCTGGCAATACGCACAGATCTCTATAAAACAAACCAAAACTTTAATATACTATTTTTTAACAGCTTGGGCTATTAACTACTCAAAAACAGTAATAAAGATGATTTATTCATGGAAACATAAAGGACCTGGCTAAAGGTAACTGAAAATAAATCAGTAGATGAAATTTTATATTAACATCAAGAAAATGCAAAACCTCTAAAGATCAGTACAAGACCAGAAGAAATTACCACTATCCATAAAGTTACTCAGATAAGATATCTTACAGTTCCTACTTTTTTGTAAGTAGTCACACAAAAAATATAAATGATGCCAAAATAAAGTAGAATTGCTATATAACAATTGCCATGGAACTATTAAGAGCTTTAGAATGATCTAAAATTGTACATCAGGGATGCAAATTGATTGTGCATAAAGGAATTTAGCCTGCAATAAGGATAAAGCAAGGCAACTCATTTATCACTTTTACCATTTTACAGTACTTTACATAAATAGCCTGTTTTGGATGGTAGTTTACACCCATAACATTTGTGCAAAGATTGCAAATGGATTTATCTCAATTACCTACTAACAAGATCCTTCAGGGCGATCTGTTGCTGCCTCAATGCCAGAATGAGTTCTTGCAATGGATCCTTTAGAACCTCTGAAGTACATGAATATGGAAGGCAATTTGCAAAGCCAGCCCAACGCCACTTGTTAATCCTGGCAGAACAATGCTGAGAGATTTTTCTTTCACTGATCCAAGAGCAAATTTCCAACAAGTCTCTGCCATACAAGGGGGTCCTGGAACAACGACGCTGGTTCACAAAATATATTTTGTCGAGGTGTTCCTTTAGTTGCCTTTTTCCTTCTAAGATACCCTTTAAATTCAAATTTATATTCTGAATATATTTGAGCAGATCAAATTTATGCAAAAAAAGCAATTTATGCAACAGAAAGTTGAAAACAAGGATAATTTAATTAATGCAATAGTTCTATGACTGATTATAAAAGCAGAAGTGAGCAAGAGAAAAGCTGACAATTAGAATAGTATTTGTGGTACAAGGACAGATGTTCTGTTTGGTATTTTAGTGAAAAATAGAACAGCTTTCCTACTTTATGTTTATTGGCAAAAATGTAATGGGACTTTCAAGCTACCACTGAAGATTAGTACAGATGGGTGAGACTAGTTGATTACAATATTCTACATGATTTGAAAATCAAAACTTTGACTATTTCAGTGGACAGATATACACATATGAATCTTATAAACTATATATTGTTCATGTTCAAGTATATACTCTATCATACAAAGAGTTAGCATAGTACCTGAGTTGGACATGAAAGTGTAGATATTGATTTAGATTTAGTGCTCAAGTCATCCACTGTCACTTTAATAAAATCAATTTTCCAGGAAAGCAGCAAGACAAGAAAAATATTTTAATGAAGAAAAGCAATTTAATTTCACATACACACGGTATTACAATATGAGGATATTGTAGCTTCTAGTATTTAAATTTCTGAATAGTTAAAAAATGGAAAAGCAAAAAAAAAAATGAGGAAGAGGTCATCAATGACCTTCATTAAAGCTCCATGCTCCTCAAGGAAGAAACAAATTTAAACACAGGCAAAAGAGTCACTCTGTTAAAAAAAAAAAAAAAGGAAAAAAAAAGGAGAAAAAAAAAAAAGATGCAAATAGAATCATGTAGCACCTTACCTTGATGCTTCAGAGACTGGTCACCAATAAGCCGACAAAATTGACTGTAAGACAAAGTAAATGTTTTCCCTCTAAACTGTAATGTTACAGACTTCTCTGGCTGAGCACCTCTCACTTGTGCTCCAGCTATGGAAGCCATCGGGCCGACTACTATCTTGCTGGCTGTTAAGAGATTAAAAAAAAAAAAAAAAGGAAAAAAAAAGGAGAAAAAAAAAAAAGATGCAAATAGAATCATGTAGCACCTTACCTTGATGCTTCAGAGACTGGTCACCAATAAGCCGACAAAATTGACTGTAAGACAAAGTAAATGTTTTCCCTCTAAACTGTAATGTTACAGACTTCTCTGGCTGAGCACCTCTCACTTGTGCTCCAGCTATGGAAGCCATCGGGCCGACTACTATCTTGCTGGCTGTTAAGAGAAGACAAAAAATTTATGAGGTTTAAAAATAAGAATTTCCTTACTGTACACTGCAGGATTTGAATGCTTATCTCATGCAGCTAGTGTGCCATATTTCTAATGAAGGGCAATTTTACTCCAGACATAACTCTTAGGTTGCACTTAACTGCAAACAGAGTAGGTGTCCCTCTAAGACTGTGTTCTTGAACTACACAAGAGATGTTCCCCTCAGTACCACTGGTGGACATATTAAAAAAAAAAAAAAGGATGATTTCCTAGATACAGTTTGACTGGCATTTCATATGTGTACTCATTCATGTGTACAAGCCTTGAAATGGCTTCAAGAGTCTGCACAGGTATATTCTAAGCAAGGTTTTGGGGGAAACCAACCACAGAATAAGAGATCTTTACCTGTGCAATTCATTTTTAGCACTGAAAGAAGTTCTTAAAACAGTTACCACCACAAAAGAATAATTATCAGACATAATTTTCAGTCTCCGTTCATACTGAGTGCTTCCCATTCAACCATACAAAAACTTATACTGTACCCAGCTGAAATCAATATGTAGAGAATTTAGAAAAGGCTTGAAAAAGAGTGTGCTTGAAATACTGCGCTACATCCCAAATCATCAGAAAAGAGTCTTTTTGAAAGGGCTGTATCATATAAAGAAGACCCAGTTAATAATGGCCGTTAGTAGTGGCTCAGCAGAGACCCAGAGAAAGGGACAGTGATGATGCCTAATTCTGCTCAGTCTGTTAAGACTGACGTGTTTGAAAAGCTGTCACACACACTGTGGGTCAGGTCTGAAAAGAGTTTCAGTAAGGTGGTATAATACCTGGAGACCAACACAACTGCCAGCAAAATTTCCAATGTTTGCACAATAGTATCATTCTGTTTATAAAAGACAGACAGATAGATAATAAGGGATTTTGTTTTGATTTTGTGAGTGAATTCCCATTAGAAAACTGCTGATGGAACTTGATATTCAAATATGTAATGCATAAACGCATTCAGTACAACCTCATTTCTTTCCCAGATTCCAGGAATATTTTAAAAAGACAGCAAACCAGAAAGCAATGGTTTATTGTATGTACAACATAACCTCTTCTATGATGATTTTCTGAAAACATTGCAAGGGGTAGTTGTACTTACGTGTTTTCTCGTGATGATCTGCCATAACTGTTGTTGTGTCCAGTGTCTGCTGCAACTGAGACCTTGAGAAGTCCCTAGTCCTACCTTCGGGTTTCTGTCCATACTGCACTGGTGTAAATAACCTAAAAATTAACAAATTGTGTTTCTACACATAAAAAAACATACATAAGGAAGATGTTAATCCTTTCTTCCTAATACAAAATCAAGTTAAAAAGCAAATAGTTATTTTTAGTCAGTAATCTGAGCTAGAAGAGATACCCAGCTGCAGAGCATATGGCAGGAGGGAATCTGATTCTCTTAACATACAGAGGAAACATCACATACTGTAAAATGCAAAATACACCAAATGCTCTGAGGATCCAGTCTTCTCTGAAATATTATGTGGAGGGGTACAAGCATGACAAATCTCCCATATTCCTTAATCATCTTTGGAATCTGGAGACAGCAGGAAAACTTCCCAAAAGATGCTAATAAGGATCAAAACTCTTAATGGAGCAAAGTCTTAACCATGGCTAGGTTGATACAAGGACAAAAAGCAGGGGATTTCTACTTCCATCCATCTTCAGACAGACTGGCTTTAAAAACATACTGCAATTGTAAAAGCTGGCTTCACAATAACCATTTCTTCAGGGGAACTAAGGATGTCTGAACAGCAAAAGAATGAGTTCTTTTTCTGCTTTACATAAGTATTTTAGCTATCGCTTCCCAATTCTGAAATTTCATTAACTTACAAAGCTTCCTTCTGGCAGAACTGCCTAATAGGACTAGAGCAGGACATCCTTCTTGAACCTGTTACAGAAGCTGTCTTGGGCTTCAGTAACTGTACTCTGTTTTATCAGACTAATGTCCTGTGAAATGTTTAAGTCTACCTTGCTCTGATGTGTCCTACAGCAGAACTGTATTCACTCCAACACTCAAAAATGAACGCTCCCAACTGCTCTTCAGAGAGAAGAGTCAATAGCAAAAACAAAAAGGTCAAAATGTAACAGAAACACTTTCTTTTCTCCCCCAACCCCAGCCCCCAAACCCTTGCCGAGATTTCTTTAAGTGCTCAGTAAGCACAACCTAGACTTAAAATTAATTAGGAGTACATTAAATTATTCTGCTTAGGATACTCTACCGCAGAAGTCACTTCCAGTGTTTGATCAAAACCACAAGAGACTTCAAGTCATACTGAGTTTGGCAGGAAAGATCACTACGGAGCCTTCATAAATTAAAAGAACTATGAAGTGGTAAAAGGCAGTCTGCTTTCCCTCAGAAGGCTGGCGTACAGTTTTAGCAGTGATCAGGTTGGGAAAAAAAGGATAGCATGAAAAAACAAATGCTTCTGAATGAACCCCTTTGGTTCACACAAATATTACTCATTTTCATGGGTTACTTAAAATAAATCAGTCTCTGGAACACTGCGTACCTATTTGGTGTGAGCTTCACTGCCTCAAGTCTGGGTGACGAAGGAGAACAGTAGATTTCTTCAATAAGCTTCCTGGTTACCTTCAGTTTTGGCAGTATTTGTGCTTCGTAGCAAGTCATTTGGTTTTCCATCCCAATCACATCAAAGAGAGACCAGTCTGCACGCTTAAGTTATAAAACAAACAAACCAAAATCAACATAAATAAATATTCTACTACCATTCAGTTGCAGTAAAAGAAAAAAAAAAAGTGGTAATAATACCACACTATCTGAGAATGATTAAAAAGCTCACAGCTGATGCCAGAATTAAACCAAAACGTGGAAGAGCCACGTCATGTGATTTTGCAGAGAGCAGCTGCCGTTACTTTAAAAGGTTTCAGCAACCTACCCCATGGAAATAGAGCATTATGCTCATGTTACCAAGAGTCAAAACCAGGACAGCACCCTCAAATTACAAGCTCTGCAGTTAATTCAATGCTTGTAAATAAAACATTTGCCTTTGTAGAACTGGCATTCCAGACTCATCCATTCCCACCCTGATACATTAACCCTATTTCCTCCACAAGCCCCTGTCCCGCCGCTCAAAATTATTTTTCCAACTGGCTTAAAGGATTAACTACTTGAATTTCATAGGACACATGATGCTACAGTTTTAGCTTTGTCCAGTCTTCTTAACTCTTTAGTATTGCTGAAATCACTAGTAAAAAAAAATTATTAAATTCCTTGCAATATAACTTCAACAAACAGACTATAGTTAAAACTAAACAGTGGAATCTGATACAGCTTCTCACCTCCAGAGCTGTACACAGGACAGGACAAGAATGGAAACTTTCCCTTGATTCCAAAACCCACCAGTTTAGCTTAATTGGGAATTTTAAGCAAAACCAGAAAATGTTGCAAAATAGTCTGACCTTCTTTGACAAAGACAGCAAATTCCCAGCATACCTACTAAATTCAGTACTACCATAAAGTCAACGGGTTATTATTTATAGTCTTAGCAGTTGCTTCTAAAAATAAGCGAATTAGCAATTCAGATTTTGAAATTAAATTGGAACCTGAATTATGTGTAAGAAATTTTATGTCCTAAGCCACCTGCTCTCCCAGTCAAATCCAGTCAAGCCCAGGAGAATTACTCCCCTCCTCACCTTCCAAAGGTCCCACTCTAAGGCACTCAGCACCAGAGAAGCAGTGCTGAACTCCAGCGGGTCTAATGCAAGCGAAGAACTCGGCAGCCGGGGACTGAGCAGAGCAGGATGGTTGCACACCCTCAGCAGCTGCATCAGAATATGGAGGACACTGATGAAGTGCCCACTTCTAAGACATTCTTGAGTCCTGTTATTTAAAATGAAAACATAATTTAAATTATCATTAAAAGCCAGTGCTTTTTAGCAGCTTAGGTCTTTCTGCATACTCAAATTGTTCTTCTGAATAAATCTGATAACACCAAGTTATTCAACTTAGAAAAGTATGAGTTTAAAATGACAGTCTTCCATTCCTCCAGCTTCTCTCACATTCGCGCAAACTTTCAATAACATATAGAATATATTCTGATTTTAAAAGTCACATTATCATAGACCCAAATTTCTCAAATAGCCACTCTATTTCAAATGAAAATGACATTGGATAAGATATGAAAGACATATTGCCAATATTAAGGCCATTTTTCAAATGCCTGAATAAATACCACTTTAAATTATCAAATTCACAGGAAAATACAAAGTAGACACCTCAGAAAAGCTAAGTAAAATATAACCTAAGATATTCGGTTCCCAAATAATTTAAGAACTAAATTTAGATAAAAACTGTGACACATGCTCCACTAAATTATAAATATAGAATAGTTTTTGTCCTGTAATCTGCAAGTACTGTTTATTTATTCTTCTTTTCACCTTGTAAAACAATAAGATATTAAAAAAAACCCACAAAAATAAAAAGTAATCTGCAAGTACTGTTTATTTATTCTTCATTTCACCTTATAAAACAATTAGATATTTAAAAAACCAACAAAAATTATAACCTAAGATATTCGGTTCCCAAATAATTTAAGAACTAAATTTAGATAAAAACTGTGACACATGCTCCACTAAATTATAAATATAGAATAGTTTTTGTCCTGTAATCTGCAAGTACTGTTTATTTATTCTTCTTTTCACCTTGTAAAACAATAAGATATTAAAAAAAACCCACAAAAATAAAAAAAAAAATTGCTGAATACAATTACCTCTTAATGTAGAACTGATGAGCCTCTACAGCTCTATGATTATGCCCTGTGCTTTAATCTTTAGGTTTGCCCAAGACTCACTTAGAAATCACATAAATACAAAGTAGACACCTCAGAAAAGCAAAGTAAAATATAACCTAAGATATTCGGTTCCCAAATAATTTAAGAACTAAATTTACATAAAAACTGTGACACATGCTCCACTGTCTAAGTTATAAACACAGAATATTTTTTGTCCCGTAATCTGCAAGTACTGTTTATTTATTCTTCATTTCACCTTATAAAACAATTAGATATTTAAAAAACCAACAAAAATTAAAAAATTGCTGAATACAATTACCTCTTAATGTAGAACATGATTAGCCTGTACAGCTCTATTATTATGCCCTGTGCTTTAATCTTTAGGTTTGCCCAAGACTCACTTAGAAATCACTCACTAGCAAACAAGCTCTGACTGTAATTGGAATGGTTCCTAACTTTAACGATGAATGAACAATTAAGAGCTACTTAACAGATGTACCTTGGTTGAGACAAGATGTCTTTATACATTGACTTCTGCCGATTAGAAAGAGCACATGTCAGCACATGCTCGTATTTCCTTGGCAACTGCTTCTCAACTTGAATTTTGGACCTCCGCAAAATAAATGACTGCAGTACCTGAAAGAACCCAAAACAGTAACTTCTTAATTGTATTTCCTCAGAGGAAGAGATACTAGTATTAGGATACTATCCTCAAGGGAGACGTACCCTCTGTAGTCTCATTGCCACTCTCTGGCAATGATCTTCACTCCCCTCCACAGATGCTACCTTCATAAAATCCAGATAGGATTGGGAAATCCCAGCAATCAGGAAGCAGGCAATGGCCCACAGATCTTTTAAGGCAGTAGGCAGAGGTGTATCCATCAACAGCAAACGATGGCAACTGTCAACAATGAAGATAACAATTAAGATCTATTTCATAACTTAAATTGCATCACAACAAGAAAATTTTAAAAAACTGAAGTTATAAGTGCAAGAATTATTTCAGAAAGTAACTGATAGACAAAAGCAAAAAGAAGATTGTTAATGAACACTCCAGACCTCCGGAGATTGAGTATTGCATCCCAGTGCTTCTCTGTCAGATTATTACCATTCTGCCTCTCATCTAGAACCAGGTACCTCCATTGTACTTTCATGAATGCTTCATAGTCTTTGAAGAATTGCTTGCAGGAGGCAATACATACATTAAAGTCATTGGAGTCAGTCCATTCCTGTAACATGAAAACACAAAAATCCTAAAGGCTTTTTTGATGGATTCCTGAGCAAAGATTATTAAGTGTTTCCTCTTCTGGGATTAAAATAGATTATCTTGCACTTTATCCCAGCGCAATTCTTCAAAGCTTTCAAAATCTCAAAAGGGAAGAGAATGCTCAATTTAACTCTCCAGTTGTGATGTTCAAAACATTACATAAAATACCTTTAACAGAAAATGTTTTTTTAAAGAACACCCCACACACACACAAACCTACAAACCACACTAGGCCAAGTCTCCTACCCATCTAAAAACAATTGGCAGTGTAAAAGCCATCTGTGCTTATATGTTTTTAAATTGTTCTCTGAAGAGTTTGGATGTGTTTCAGAATACCTATAACTTGATTTTTCAGGTTATCAATAGTATTCATACTTAATGGATATCTAGGTTGGGATATCACCATACTGAAATTTTTAACCACAAATGGTATAAATGTGACTCAGACTGATATTTTCTGTGTAACGCTGATGTTACCCAGTACACGTGTAGATGAAACTGTGTTCCATAATACCTGTCTTTTTTTACAAAGTTCTTGTGGGTTCCCAAGATACAGGAGAATTTTCAAAGCAGGACACCAGCATTTCAGTTCAGTCTCCCACTTCAGCACATTAAAGTCTCGTGAAACAACAAGAATAGGACCTGAGTTACCTGTGGAGAGAAAAGGTACAGCATGACTGGAAATGACCACATACCACTTCACAACTTAGAAGAAAAGGCAATTGTGCATATACGAAAAACATACACTTGCACTAACAATGAAAGGAGTTCTGTGTCCTTTTTAATAAAATTTATTCCAGGGACATTTCTTTGAATTATACATATTAAAAGCAATCTTTTTTCTCTTACTGAAAACACATTCACTAACAAACAGTTAAAAATATAGATTTATAAAAGACAAGACCTACGATATTTCATACCTTCATTACATGCCAGGTGTGCAAAAAAAGCAACAACTTGCACTGTTTTTCCAAGTCCAGCTTCATCAGCCAGAATACCATTGAGATTCATCTTGTACAGCTTTGCCAACCACTCCAGTCCAGTCTTCTGATAATCTCTGAGAGTGCCGCATAGTAAGGCTGGAGTATCACTTTTTACTACTGCTGTGATCTGAGCACTGCCTTTGGGTAACAACGCTTTTGCAGCAGCAGCAATCTCTGCTAAATCTGCCATGTATTTCTGTACAGTAGGTGTGAGAAGATCTGGAAGCACCACTTCCTTCTGAAGGCTCTCTTTCCTATTCAACGAGTCTCTTATTTCTGCACAAAACAATAAAAATCATGGTGCTGCCCTATCTGAGATGAATAATTCATTAACAGATTTGATGCCATTTACAGTTAATCCAGGGTCTAAAGAATACAAGCATTCCACACGATAAGAACACCGTAAGTTTGTCAAATGACTATATAAACAAGGACAAAGTGGCAGTGGGACACAGGTGCACACACAACAGCCTTAGTGAATTCAGTCTCATGCACGGCCCCCAGGGGACATAAAACTAATCCTGATGCAAACAAGAGCTCAGCAACAAAAAGCCTTTAAAGTGCGTTTATCAAAGCTTTAGTAAGCTACAGCAAGTTAGCAAGCTAAAGAAAGGAGATATTTATGACTCAAAACTAATACTTAAATACTAGCTCCTAAACATTTATTTTGGTAAAATTAAGCTACTAGTATCAGTACACAAAAGACAAAAAACAGTCATGCAAAAAGAAAAAAGTCCTAGGTTCTTACTACCTTTTTTTGAAACATTCTGTGAGTTCAACGCTTTCTTCCTCCTGTCTTCTAACTCTACTTGCAGTTTTAAATCTACCACCTACAATGGAAAGAGAGCAGGGGGGAAAGAACAGAAGGAAATGACAAACATGCACGCACTTAGCTTCAAATACAGCTATGAATTACTTCACATTTCTTCAACAGTAAGAGAGGCATCAGACAAAGCTACAATGCACAGCACTCAAAGGAAAAAAATAGTGTGTGCAAAACTGACCATGAATAGAAGTCAGCGGCGTAAGCAAGAGCTACCCAGGAATAACTCACATCAGAACTTAAACATCTGCAGCGAGCCAACTGCACGGGCTGGGATAAGTGAAGTGCTCTCCTCCCTGACATATAAGGCCTGAAATTATTCATGCAGCCACAACATGAAGCTGTCTTTGCCAACAGATAATATACACCACGTGGGCTGAGCAAAGCTCAGTCGTAAGATTCTCACTGTTACAGTCCAACAGGTTTTTATTCAGCACATCTTTAGATTTACACTGTTACAGTCCAACAGGTTTTTATTCAGTACATCTTTAGATTTCTTTTTTCTTTTTCACATTTACCTGTTTAATGGTAGACCAGAAATGTTCAATTTCTCTGGCAGTAAAAGCAGCAACAGCTCTCAGTTTCTTCTCTTCTCTTTTTTTGCATGTTTCCTCATGAAGTATCATATCCTCGTGATGACGAGCCACACTTAAAATCAGCTGAATAAAACCATAAAATTATTTTAAGTTTTCACTCTGTTCTATCTAAAAATCATATTTCTAAAGAAAGAAAAAAAGATTCAATTCCTTTAGGAGTACTGCCCAAACTTTACAAACACAGTGGAGAGCCAAACCAAAACTCACACAACTTCATGATCACGTCCTAACCATGAAAATGCTGCCTATTCTTCCCCTCCCTTTCTGGTTGAAAATATCAAATTCACATTACTCTCTTGGCAGTTATCATCTTCCACCTTCTTTCTTGAACAAAATCAGTTGCCATCCACTGCATTTCTTCCAAAAGATAATCATGGTGTGATTTGTGCCGTGGGGCCTCTTGGAGTTTGGGCAGACGTTTCAGAGACCATAAACCTTCTTTCCTCAGTGCTGTTATTTGCTGCAGAATTTCATTTTCCTTCAAGTAAACACAATTAAACTTACATTTCCTACTGCACACCACAAAAACAAGACAGAGAGGCTGTGAAAAATATTACATGAATAACCAATATTGTTGGTTACTTTCTAAGCATTGGAAACATTCTACTCTGTTTGAAGTTGCACTTTATTAAAAGATAACAAATAACCCATCTTTTGCAGATTTATCTCAAGTCTCTGAAAGACTTTGTGAGGCAATGGTATTATGTAAAATCAGTAGAGAAGTTTGGAATATAGTGGTACTCAGTCATGAGAACTTTATTTTTTCCTCCTAAAATACACTACCTCTAGATCTCATCAGAAGAGCAGGGCTGATTCAGTGGGAATTTTCACAGAACTGAAATGCTCTGCCAGATGGCAGATGGACAGATTTCTCTAAAAAGTTCACATAAAAATACATTTAGTTTATGGCATTTTTAAACACATGTAAGCAACCTGTAACTGCTGACAAGTAAGCACAAGCAGCACAAATTTTTGTTGTGATACCTTCCCCCTTATTCTAAATATGCTGCATAAAAAGTTAAAATAATTAATTTGGTTTAATTCTATCTCCTTCTAGGATTTCATTACATGAACAAATTCTGCTTCCCTAGAGGATCTGCCTGATTCCTTCTCACTCCTTTTCTTTCTTCAAGAAAAATAATGTGGCATGTCTGTACCACTAATTAAAACCAAAAGAAAGATACAATTATCTACAGAGCATTCTAAATTTAAATGAACACAAAGTTTTATTGTAAAGAAAGATCTATACCCAGCTGTGCTGTACAACGTCTATCCAAAGCAAACTATTAGTGCTTGGTAAAGTCTTTCACAAAAATTAGTGAAATTATTTGCTCCTTTCTTCCCAGGTAAGAGTAATAAATCATGTCATCCACAAAGTCCCAATACAAAACACAGAGGACAACACTGCCAGGACACAGCAAGAGGTTAGTACCCTGTTTCTCTCTCACTGCACCTTGTAACTTACACACCTGCAACCTTCCACACATGGTCTCTCTCACTGCACCTTGTAACTTACACACTTGCAACCTTCCACACATGGCTGAAACTTACTTTGAAGCATGAAATTAATTTGATTCAAGGAAAATGAAAATCCAGCACAACAATATTTAAACTGAGAGGTGGGTAGACATTGCAAATGATATAAATGAACCGGTATGTTCCTCAGAGAAGTAAAATTTCAAAGGAAAGTAGTGATAAAGTTCCAAAAAATAATCTTGTCTAGACTTTCTTAATGAGTCAGATGTTACTGCTCTGTTTCTGAGGATATTCTCTTCCAGTAATTAGACAGACTACTTAGTGGTGCAGAACAGAAAATAACAGCAATTACAATGCACAAAAACCAGCTGTTCAAATCCACATACAATATAATACTCGAATGTGATACCTGTTGTTGTACAGGAACTGGAGCTGGGACCAAAGGCACATGCTCCATATCACAGCCTGCTGTCTGTACCTGCTGAAGAAAAGCTGGGTTCCTGCTGTGTGGAGCAGGTAAGGAACTGCGCAAACTTGAGAAGTTTGGTCCATTTTGCTGTTGGTTTTGCTCCTGGTTAATCTGTTGAGCCACTTGAGGAATGGTATGCATTCCATCTGCAGAGAAACTAATAAAAAATTGCAATTTCAATAATTAAAATAGCGGTATTTAGAAAAGAACCAAAGAAAGCGGCAACAGAGACTGTTACATGTTGGTCAAATAAACTTTCCACCATAGCACAATACAACTGCATACCTAAAACCTATGAAGTTGCAAATCAAGCAGTTTGCTAGCCTAGAATGTACTTACCTGCTCTTTAAGCTGATAACACAAAGATCTTTTTTAACAGCATCCTGCAGAGAGATGATAGCTAAGCAACCAGTCTCTATCAGGGTATCAAGTGACCAACAAGGAAAAAATTCATGCAACAACATCAATTAAGGAAACCGACAAATTAGGCACAGAGGGTACAGATTTAAGCCCAGTGCATGGAAAATGAGATGTGCAGCGCTCACTAAGATTTCTAAGATTTTCTCCAGAGGGTTTTTAAATCGTATAATAATTGGTATTAGATATAATGTTACAATTACAGAAAGTCTCATTAAAGCAATTATCTTTAATTACAAAGCTTAAAACTTACATTTGATGGAAAAGAATTTATCATAAATCATTAGTGTATGTACCAGATGTACCAGCATTATTTTAAAGGTCATGACGTTTTTTTTTTTTAAACTGTTATCAAACTAATTATGAGTCTCTATGTGAAGTAGTATTTCGGAACTACAATAAAGTTAACCAAATAAATTATCTCATTATCAGTAAAATGGTGCGTTGGTCCACCACTTCCAAAGCCCTATCCATGTTCACCGTTTGGTTTCACTTTTCCATTCTCTATGGTTTTTATGGTCACAGTATTGCTTCCTTTTATAAAGAGAGTTCACCTCAGTGGTCACTGACCATTTAACTCAATTTAACCACTTGAATTCTCTGTCATTCCAGTGGATTTATCCAGTTGGTTGGTTTCTGTCAGTCCGGAGGATTCCCACAGCACACACCGAGCCCCGGCCGAGTATGTTTGTAGGTGGAGGATGACACGGGACAGTCAACAGGCGCTTTAGGCTTCCTCCAGCAGAAGGACAGATGTTCACTATCACTGCAGCCAGCCTGGAGATGGAGGGACACCCAGGGAGGCTGGTGCTCAGACACACACGGTCATGCCCTGGAGATGGTGGAAGCTGGGAGAGGGACACACGCAACTCCCAGATCTCTCGTTTCATCGAGCGCCGCCATTTGAGGGGCAGGTGGATTCATCCCACAAGTCCATTACAGCCACGCACGCCACGGACATAAACCCCAAGCGGGGTTTAAATGCTGCCTTGAAAAGGTCGTAGCGCCTGCAGCGCTGCTGGCCGGGCTGCGAAAGAGCTTCGGTGCAAAGATGAAGTTACCTGGAGGCAATTACCGCTCCCCCGAGGCCGCGGGGCACCCGGACACCCCCCGCCGCCTTCCTGTCAGGAGCGGCACCGCCGCACGGCCTCGGACGGACCCCCGCCCGCCACGGAGGGGCTGCGGCTCCCGTGGGCGGAAGGATACAGTTTACTTCACGACCTCCATCTTCTAGGAGAGAGAAAAATCAGTCTCTAAACGCCCGGCTCCGCAGCCCTGGCGCCGGTGCGGGGGGCGCAGACCGCGGCGGGGGCGACCCCTCCCCTCAGCTGCCTCCGAGAGCCCGCGCCACCCCGACCGGCCCTCGGCCGCCTCACACCGCTCGGTGTCCCGGTGCCCCGCCACACGCCTCAGCCTCCTCCCCCGCCCCGCCACACGCCGCGGGGCACAGCAACCACGGCGCCCCCTGGCGATACCATTCCCCTCTCACCGCGGTGGGCGGGGGGGAGCCACCGAGAGTGCCACCCGCCACGGGCGGGAGGGACCAGCCACGCTCTGCGCATGCGCAGTCGCCGATCGGGGCCGGCTGCCTCCTGCTCGGCGGCGTCGAGGCGAAATCAGGCGGTGGAAAAGTTCTATTTCTCTTAAAATGCAACCCTTTCCCTCAGGAATCTGTTCCAACGCCTGGTCTCAGCCTTCCCCAGCCCGCGGCCGTCCCTGGAGGCCTTCTGCTTCTCCGTCTTTGCCTTCTTCCCCCTAACACTGCTTTGCGTTGGGCCCTTTCAAAGAGCTGGTTTTAGAATGCAAACCACCTCCGTGGTTTTTGTTTTGTTTGTTTGTTTTTTAATGAAACAGCACGCATACCAAGAGGTAAGAAATACCCTTTTTTATTATGTTTTCTCCGAAGGCTATAAATAGAAATCCTCATTGATTTCAGCTGAGCTATACGTCAGTTTTATTGGCTTATAACAAAGGCCCCCAAAGTGTTTTTCTCAGATGGAAAGGGGTAGAAAGACAGAGCTGTGGGGTAGAAGACCAACGCAGACGAGGTCAACAGCACGAGCCAGCAAGGGGCAGAGATGGAGCCCCGGGCAGAGTCCCCCCCAGAACACTTACACACTCGCTCCTTTACATGGAGCGAGCCCGTCACAACAAAATAAAAACCACTGACTAAAACCCAGATAAAATAAACAAGCAAATCCCTCTGTCAGGGACAGCTGCGCTCTGGCAAAAATAAGAAAGAAAAAAAATTCCAGAAGGAGCCATAAAATGAGAGGCTTTGACCAGAAACCGCTGAATGGAGGAGCAAAGAGCTGACTCCTCGTATTCAATAACAACCGTATTATAGAGCACGTCTCCATACAGACCCAGCCAAGGAAGCCCATCAAGCACTCGAACCCATACCCAAATGCTCGCAGAGCCTCATCCCACCGCTTCCAGAAGCGTCCCACGGGCAGGGAGGGCAGGAAGGCTGCTGCCTTCATCACTTGCTTTTTCTTCTGCCACTTCCACAGAGAATTGGAAACAAGAACCAAAGTCAAACCACAGTTGGGGAATGGAGAGCAAGACCTCCAGAGTACGCAGATTTCCCAAAACACAGAAAATTAAAATTGAGTCCCAAAGACTACAGTCCTCAGATGTGTGCTTCCTGCACCATTGCACACATTCCTCTGTTCTGAGCAGCTTGATGGGAATTAAGAGTTCACACACACAAAGTGAAGGCAGAGTTGATTAAAGCCCACAGAAAGTCAGCACCATTTCTTGCACGCATGCTAAATTGATTCAACCCTGATTCTATCAGGCAGGTAGATAACTTTCCACTAAAACAAGAAATACTAAACCAGCAGCAACACATTTAGTGATCCACCACAGGCAACACTACAACCTTCACGGCAGCACACTTTGAATTGCAGTCCTAAAAATTACTTTACGTCTTCTCCTAATGTCTCAACTACAAGTCTATGAAACAACATCTCAGGCAGAAGACGCCCAATCACACACGTGGCTGTGGATCTACACCCTCGAGTTTGGCCAAGCACATGGGCAGTACTGTCCCAAAGACAAGGTTTCATCTTGAAATATATGGTTCAGTCTACTTTCCAAAATTAAGACCTCTCACTGAGTAAGGAACCATTTCTTTTAGAATTGCAAAGCTTTAGAAAAAGCAGAAAATTTGTTTTAATACCAAAAGAATTCACAGCAGTCGGCATGATAATGAGTTCCTAACCCATGCATGTTATTCCACAGGAAAGTCATGGATGACATGGAAAAAAAAAAAAGCTTAATGGTGTTTAGAGATCAGGTTAAGTAAAGGTGAAGAAAATAATACTAAAAAAATAATCAAAAGTTCATGGAGTCATAACTTCATAATAATAATCAAAAAAGAGTATATAAAAATGATTCGCCCCATCTTTATGTAGAGATTACACATATTTAAAATACTATTTTCCAGGTAAACATAATAAAAACATTATTCAAATAGCAATTAAGATATCCTGCATTACAAGATTCTTTTAGAAAGCTTCTTTCTGTTACACTATTTTCAAGTATATCAGTCAGATGAATCAGTCAGTGGTATAAAAAGCTTCTTTTACGTTTTCTACTGCACTGTCTTCCCCACCCAGTTTCTCCTGGGCATCCGGTCCTTGTTCTGCAAGCACACAAACCCCTGCTTTACTGGGTTCTTGGATTTAGAAAGGCCACTTTTTTGTAGACAACGGGAATTGCAAGCAGTAAGGGTCCCACATCCAGCCACTTACTGACTGGTTCAGTCAGAATCATCATCACAACCGTCACTGCCTTCGAGATCGCTGCTGTTCTGTAAAGTAAAACAGAAAATGGTTTGTCAGTATTTCATCTACATCTAGAGACTGGCCTAAATCAAAGACATTGACTTTAAAACTCTCCAGAAGTATAAGAAAATGGGGCTACATCCCAACTTCATGTCTTAGATCCATCTATTGTAACACACTTCTGTGACGGTAAATGACACATCTTGTAGCAAAAAAAACCCACCAAACCCCACAAAAACCTTAATAGCTTTCATTGGATTATTCACTGTAAGCTGAAGAAATTTCTTCTCATTTATATTTACATTATTACAACCTGCAGTACGTGGGAAACTTGATAGTGGGATAATAGCATGAAATGCTGATGTTTAAAATAAATGCAGGAGAGACAAGTTAACACGTGCTTTTCTCATGCAAGTCTCTCAAAAGTTTAAGTTTGTTACATTGTCTAAAGCCAGATTTGAGAATTTTATTTGTCTGGTGCATAGAATTTATGTCCAAACTGTATTAGAGATATGTGAAGGCTCACTAATACTTGTTTAAAAATGAAGTCAGTTGTACAAAGTAGGGAAATACTACACATGTTAGCAACTTACAAGGAAACTGAAGTCTGAGTTCTTAACTGGGAGCCACTCCTTTGGGAATAAGTCAATACATTGTGATAGATTTGGGGGTTTACGTAACTTTCTGAAGCAAGTATTTTGACTGATACATTTGGTATCAAAGGATTTTATAAAGAAAGGCTAACATGACAATATGCCTGTCGTTACTCTTTTTTTTTCTCTCACCAGCACTTGCTGAAAACATATAAACCTCCAGATCCCATGAATTTAACATTGACAATTTAATATCCTACTACAAAACAAATTCTGAGAGACTTAGACAGTTGCCTTTGTAACAGCAAGCACAGCTCATTGAAGTGCAAACAGCCTGCAAAATCTCAAAGGAGTCTGTCACATCATCCCTTTATTTATCCTTCTCCAGAGTGCTTGTGCTAACCGTGATGCCAAAACTGCATTTGGTCGAGTTTATCTAAAGCCAGCAGACCTGCCTGCTGCCAGCAATACATCAGTGGTTCTGAACCTGTCAGCACTGAACTCCTGTCAACATTATCATCAAGACCCCTGAGCCGGGTAAGGACTCTGCATCCCACAGTCTCGTTGGGTCCCATTTAACCAAACTAATGTGGCACTTTGTCATACCCTCCTGTCACAAATGCCCTTATACAGCACAATACTTCAGAAAAACAATTACCACAAGTACAAAAATAACCCTGAGAAATTTCTGGTATCTTGCTTGTACTATTCAACAAGGCTGTAAATTTTACTTTATATGTTGAAACTCTTTCTCGTACTCAAACAAAAAATGGCAGAGATAGTATTAAACCTAACATTCTTCAGAGCAGCATCATTATCTACACAAAATAAAGTTAATTTTAAGGATTCCATTACGTGAAAAACAAGGTTATTCTGTGCACTACACAGAAGTTTTAGTCCTGCTCAACATTCATCCTTCAGGGATTTGCCAGCCCTCCAACCAAGAAAATCTTGAATTACATACAGAACTGTAAAGTATCTTTAGGTCATCAAGTCCAAGCCCCAAATCAAGCAGGGCTTGATTCAAAGATAGGTGGGGTTGATCAGGGACTTCTTGTATTTTAAGTCACTCTAGTGGTTGCTGATTTAAAGAAATACTTTGAGTTTGACTCAAGATCCTTCCTGTGGTTTCCAACCTACTTCTAGCACGCTCCAAACATCTTTCTACTCATTTCTTGTGAGGCTATTCTACATCTCAACCAGAAAAAAAAAATATCTTTAACTTGAAATTTACTTTTTGTCAAAAATGTATTCCACACCTTTGTTTTATTGCAACTTACAGCTAACACCAGTTCCTGTTGTCAGAAATCAGATTCCGCAATATCCAATTTTACTCATCAGTTGTTCTGACAGCCCATTCTGGGCTAACAGCAGATTTAATGGAAAAAGTTGGTCCTAAATTTTCCCGATTCCAAACCTTATCTAGTGAACAGGGCATTACACAATACGAGAATTAGCCCAAAATAAAGAATACAAAAAGCCAGGGAAGTTGTTAACCTGAAAACTCACCTCTCAAACAGCTTCACAACAGCAAAGGCTGGTAATGCATCCGCAATTTCTGTTGCCAGTTTAAGATTCCTCAAATTGCCCTGTGCTTTAAAGCATTCCCTTCCTCCCTCCCTCAACTCCCCCATCCAAAACCCTGCAAAAATACCACATTGTGTAACTCATTCCACTATCATCAAGTGTACAAAGATGAAAGACAGAAAAGATAATACACATTTCTTACTCCAAAGGACTGTCATCCTGCATGGCATACTCATGGAAAACACAAATGTTACTAAGGGAAGAGCCACTTCAATTTGACAGCTTCCATTTGATAAAATAAAGGCTTCAATCATTACCTTTGCATTTTTGTGGTTCGCTTGCATCCCAACAGCGGAAGAGTTGAAGTCATGAATGGAGAGGGTGTTTAGCCAGTTTGCCATGGATTTCTCCTCCTTTTCTGTGTTGATAATGGTAGGATAGATATACTGCTCTTTGAAAACAGCAATCTTCTCCTCCTCCTCTGTCCACTCCAGTGGCTCATGCAGCCCATCATTTCCAAAACGTCTGTTGTATTTTTCAAAGTGTACTCTTTCCAAGACCAGCCCGAGTCCCGGGGCCTTGGGGACATCTACTTTCTCCTCTCCCCAGCTGCGCTCTATGATAGACTCAGCAGCATAGCCCTTCACAATAGCTATCACCAGCCCAATCATCTTCCGTATTTGGTGCATCATGAAACTCTGACCTTTCACTTTGATCACTGCAAACTCTATGTTTTCCCTCACAAAGGGCTCTCCACAGTACATCTCCATGATGTACCGCTTGGCACTGGGGTCCCTGGGTCCCTTCTGAGATGTGAAGTTGTGGAAGTTGTGTGTTCCTTTGTAACACGCAAGCAGTTTATTGACTTTTTCAAGAGTCTCTTTGTCCAGTCGATAAACTTCTTCTTGCACATCATGGTCCTTATGGGCAAAGGCAAATGTTGGCAGCATGTAAGAGTAGGTTCTGGCATCACATTTGTTCTTGGAGTTGAATCCCCCAGTGACTCTCTTCAGACCTTGTTTTAAAAGTGACATTAAGTTTTTGAATCAGTAGGTTACAACCTGATTGTGGTCTCTCTCCTACCAACAAGAATATTTTAAAAATATAATACAATCAAAAGATAGATATACAGGACCCTAATTTCAAACTAACAAAAACACAGGCATTTATGTTTAAACTAAACTGCTTATGAATAAAATTATAATGGTAAGGAAGAGACCTTTTGCAGCAGAAAGCTCCTCTTTGAAAACATTTTATCTGCCTGTTCCAGTATCCTTACCCAGAATTCTGATGTGAGAAGGAAGATGGTTATTGATCTTTTCTAAGATGTCATCTATTAGCCTGACCTTTAACGACACAATCTGTCCAGCTGCAGACACACCCTATAAAACACACAATCACATAATTATGTACCTTTTAAGCTTTGGTACAGAACTTGCAGAATTGAAATAGCTGAATAACAAGTTTATTCCTTTTTCTCACTGGTCATTTCAGGCTGAAGCGAAGCAAAGTCAAGGCCACGGGCAGAAATCCAAGTCAGAGCACTCCTGGAAGACCTGCTGGTGCTGTATCTTAGAGAGTGCAACACTGCATTCCCTTCCACGACATCTCATTGTATTTAACAGCTAGTAAGTAAAGCACCAACTGAAATGACTTTCGCGTAAGAACTCCGGTTCAGTCTCAGAACCCCACTGCGACAGGATTAAAAACCACCAAGATGCAGCTAAACTCTCAAGCAGCCCATCAAAGCACCAACTGAAATGACTTTCGCGTAAGATCAGCCACAAACTCCGGTTCAGTCTCAGAACCCCACTGTGACAGGATTAAAAACCACCGAGATGCAGCTAAACTCTCAAGCTCCACATCAGCCAGGCAGCAGCAACAAGGAGGAGCAGCAGCAGCAGGCTGGGAGGCTGAAGCAGATGAACGTGACAGAAAAAGACAAAGTTTAGGTATGAAGTGCCAGCTTTACAAACACCATCTAATCAATACCCTGCACTTTCTAAATATTTGTTTGTGCTTAAGTTTAGTAGTGGATGAAAAGCAAATTTGCAAGCAATATTCACTGTGAATGGTATTTGCTATTGGATCTCACCTGAGACAATGCTTTACCAGTCAATCCCAGCAGTACTGGTGGGTACACCAGAGCTTCTGAGAGCACATACCTTATCTGTTCGAGCACAGCGCTGAAAAGACATTTTCTTCATGTCTTCCCCGTGGTTTTCTGGGATGCAGCCTGACTGAACAAGGGCAGATACTAAGTCATCTTCAATTGTCTTGAACTGTGAAGATCCTACGTTTCTCTAAAAGAGGACATACAGTAAAAATAAGAAATAGAATAAATAGCAATTGGATAACTGAAAAATTCTGTTAATCTAACATTGCTGTGAAATTCTGTAATACCTTCACAGCTCTAAAAGCACTGTGATTCTCTAACAAAATGAACTATGCTTTACCAGAGAGTGTTAATAAAACATCTACAGTCTGATTTAGCTTTTACTGCTATTGCAAGATCATTTCTAGCAATTTCACTGTGCAATACTTCTGCAATGGAGTTTTTTGACGATTCCTTCAACTGCACGAAACAGCACCAATGAAATACTGTTCCAGTGCCTGCAAGTTAACAACTGCCACCCCACACCCAGCCCCTGCAAATTCTGCTTCTAGAAATGAGATTGGGTTCTTTGGCTCAGTTCCCCTGAGCTGTCGCATAATACAGAATATGGTTTTCTCCAGTGACTTCTGCACTGCGCTTGCAGATGGGCTGTAACAGCTTGCACAACTCTGTTTGTGTGTAAGGCTTCAAAGCACACACCCTCAGCACACACCGCTGAATTCGGAGAGCGGTGAAGCCAACAGGCATTTACACGGATGTGCCCACGAGCACAAGGTTTATCGCTGTTGGACAAATCTACTTTGTTGCATAAGCATGAAAGACTGCCTTCCCTGTCTGTGTGCAAGCTTGTCAATTATCCTGTGGAGCTTCTAAGGAGCGTGTATGGAGCTGCACTGCGCTGAGAGGAGCAGCAGATGGAGCCTCGTCATCCTCTTGCACCGTGCTGCCGGGGCACAGCTCCAAAGCTGCTGCGGTAACAAAGCAACATCCCTTCTCTTCCACGTGCAGACACAAAAGTCTTGCAACAGTTTCCCTGTTTCTAAACTGCCATAAGCCTCCCCATTAGAGTGCATCAGAAAAAGGAGCATTTAAAATGTCTTCAAGCACAGATAATCTTTCTAGAAGTACAAGAAACAGAAACATAGATGCAAATTTGTTTCATTTGAATACCACAGCTCAGTTCTCTGGAATCTGCATGCAGTGAGACAACTTGTAAACCCTAAAACTTTGCCAACCTGCTTTGAAACATAAAGCTCCAACCAGAAGCTGGAGGAGGGGTCAGGAGGGGATCACTAGACAGTGCCTCAGTTTTTGACAGAACTGCAGTGCCTGTGCTTTCAGTCCCCTCAAGGGCTTTGTCTGCAGTAGTTTTTGAAGTATCTCCTACTGAAGCTCTATACTAAAGGCAGGCTCCCTAGAATCACCAACTATCAGAGATGTTCCACTGACTTTTTTAATTCAAGGACTACAAAGCCATCTGAACCCAGGCATGCTCTGTTCCTGACCCAGCTTTCCAAGCTGCAACCGCTTCCCTTCTCCCTCACCACGACTACAGTTATAAACCCAACAGGCTTCAAACAAAAAGCAAGGACGCATTCTTTTGCCAAACCACATACTTGCATCCCATGGTAGCCTTTCCCTGAATATGCCATCAACAACACAATCTTCCTTTTGGGGGACCTTTTATTCTGATCCTCTGCATCTTCCTCGTCCGCGTCGCTCTTCAGCCTTTTATTCTGATGCCCATTCTCTGCTACCCCGTCAACCACCTCGCTGCTGCTGCTCAGTCTCTTCGTCTGGCTGGCAACTGCCGCTCTCAGATCCTCAGCCATTGCGAGAGCCTGCCAGGGACACACAGCAGACAGGACTCAGCAAAAAAAATGAGGCAAAACCCGCCAGTTCCACACCCGGCAGCAGCAGAGGGGGCACCCTGGGCCGCTTAAGGCGCTGATGGCAGGGAAGGGCGCGCACCCCCGCTCCCTCTGAGCCCGTATCACCTCCCCTGAGGCCACCACCGCAACCCGGCCCGCAGAGAGACCGGCAGGGCGAGCCGAGACGGTTCACGCTGCGGCCTGCCCGGCCTCTCCCCCTCCCCACGGCCGCGGCGGGGACCTACGCCAGGCAGCGGGGCCCCGCCGCACGCCGCGCTCCCCGCGGCAGACAGGCCGCAGCTCACAACCCTCAGCCCCCACCACAGCCGCAGCATCGCCCCCGGGCGCAGACGCCTTCAGCCCCGGCCTCCCGTTCCCGCCGCCGCCGCCGCCACTTACGCGGGCGCTGCGGAACGACGCCACCGCGCGGGCGCGGCGCGGGAGAGCCACGTGCCGCGCTACGGGAGCCGCGCGGGGACACGGCACGCGAGGGGCGGGGCGGTGCTGAGGGAGAGGGGCGACACTGAGGAGCGGAGCTGAGGGAACGGGGCGGTGCTGAGGGGCGGTGCTGAGGGAACGGGGCGGTGCTGAGGGGCGGTGCTGAGGGAAAGGGGCGGCGCTGAGGGGCGGTGCTGAGGGAACGGGGCGGTGCTGAGGGGCGGTGCTGAGGGAAAGGGGCGGCGCTGAGGGGCGGTGCTGAGGGAACGGGGCGGTGCTGAGGGGCGGTGCTGAGGGAAAGGGGCGGCGCTGAGGGGCGGTGCTGAGGGAACGGGGCGGTGCTGAGGGGCGGTGCTGAGGGAAAGGGGCGGCGCTGAGGGGCGGTGCTGAGGGAACGGGGCGGTGCTGAGGGGCGGTGCTGAGGGAAAGGGGCGGTGCTGAGGCAGCGGGGTGGTGCTGAGGGGCGGTGCTGGGAGGAGCGGCGCTGGGAGGAGCGGCGGCGCGGCCCGGGCCGAGGCCGGGCGTTGGGCCGGTAGAAGGGGTGCCCGCAGCCCCGGGCGGTGCTCTGGGCCTTCGGGAGCCGGAGGGGGGGTGTTCCCTAAGGCACCTCGCTGGCAGCGGCTCCAGCAGGCCTCGCTGTGCGGAGCCGAGGGTCCCCCCGCGAAGAGCCACAGGCCGGGCAGCGCCTTCCTGTAACGGCAGGACCAAGCCCGTCCCCATCAGTGGCACAGCCTGGTCCTTCCGGGAGCGTCTGGCCGGGTAGCGGCCAGGTGAGGTTTAGCAAGGGACGGGGAGGTGACCGAGGCCTGCTCGGGGACAGCCTGCAGCGGCTCCCTGCGGCCCAGCCTGCCTCCCGCCTTCCCAGTGAGGTGCCCGCAGCCCCCCTGCCGCACACCCGCCCTCGGGAGCCAACACCAGCTAAAAACCTGTCAGGTAATTAAATCGAGGAAGAGCAGGGAAAAGGGCAAACTAACAACATTTATGTGGTAAATGTTGGCTGTGTAAGTCAGTAAAGCAGTCCATTTTTCCGTCACAAACCCTCCTGGGGAAATGGGCACCCCCAACAGCCTTGCAGTCACAGGGCTGTCATTAAAAGCTCACGGTTCCACGGTCCCCAGAGGGTGTAACGTTGTCCCTCGTCCCTCCCCTTTCCACGCAGCTTCTGCTTGTGCTGGTTATCAAGCACAGGCACCTATGGTCTTGTTTTCCTGTCAGGTTTTCCTCCAGCTGGCTCTCTCAAGCAACTGTCATGCTCGTGTCTTCTGCAACAAGTTTTATATCTGCAGCGATGCACTTAATGGGAAAGCGGAGCACAATAGGCACCCTTATCAGGCAACAGCATGTACCTCCCGAAAAGCCAGATGCACCTGGAAATTGTCACGTTACGCTACGAGCTTCAGCACTTTGTAAGACGGAGCTACCCAGAGAGGACGTGGGCTCCCTGGCACGCCGCGAGATTAGTGTAAGAGAGCTCCATTTAGTCATTCAGATGGAAAATGGAAGGGTTGATGTTTCCAAGCAGGCCAGATTATCAAACGCAGGCTTGTTATTGCTGCTAATAAGGGGAAGAAATGCAGCACGTCCTTTTTTGAACCGACACTTCTGAGTTATTTCAGTAGCGGCATGGGGCAAGGGGAAGATTTATCACACGGTCCCAGCTGCACTTTGTTTAGAGAAGTGATAAAAGATGGGCTGTCACAGCGCGGCACTGCTGCCACGGGAAACGGGAATACAAATTTCTCTATCGCTTCAACCAGGGCGTCTGAATCTTTTTTTGCCTTGTTTCCTAAGGAAGTGAAGCTTATGCAATCGCACTGCCTGTCTGTCCACCACCGTCGCTTCCTCTGCCCTCCCTGCTGTGATTTCTGAATTTGGCTCATTTCAGCTAAATTTGAGAGAGGGAAGAAGGCCCCAGCCCATCTGGAAAAAGAGTGGTGAGACAAGAGAAAGACTTGAGTGGATATCCCCAGGAGGGAAACAGCTTTGGTACCCCAGCCCCTTACCCACTCCAAGAGCAGCAAAGGAGCTTCAAAACAGGCAGCACAAGCTCTGCTCTCAGCCTGCCACAGCACCTGCTGCCTCTTTCTCTTTAATTTATCTATTTTATATGTAAACAGATAGCTACCAAAGGCAAGGAGAAATTAAAGTGACTTGCCAGAGCTCCTGCTCTGGGCCAGTTCTGTGGGAGCCAGCACGGGGAAGGCAGACCAAGTGTGACTCAAGTGACAAGGCAGCAGGGACACGGCTGCAGTTTCTGGCGAGGAGCAGGATGCCCATTGCAGATCGCTGTGTGGGGCCTGTGAATCCAGCAGACTTGCTTGGAGTTGACTGGGAATGCACAGTGAGCACCCAGCGTCTTCAGGAATTAAGTTAACAAGGAGTTTCATTCGTCTCACACGAGTACCCAGAATTAAATTGGAACTGGAGCAAACAATTCGCAAAGTTCCCTGCTGTTCGTGTGAGGAGCAGAACACATCATACGTGTTTAACAGGACTGATACAATTAAAGTGCATTGAATGGTACATCTGCTTGGCCTTAAAAGAGAGTGCTGCCATCAAGATTACTCAGCAGTGAAATCAGCCTCATAAAAGCTTTCTAGGTATGAGTGCAGCTGGGGACACGGGGACGAGTACAGCTTTGTCAAACAGCTGGCACGGGGAGCAAAGTAGCTGCAGGACAGGGGTCCCAGCATAGCCATGTTCTGGGGCATATTCATTTCATTTTCACGATGACATCCGTCTCAATCCTCACTCAGCATTGGTTTATAGGAGCACTCACACCTCATCCTTGGAAGAGGGTCCTTCAAAGTATCTCAGGGGCAATTCCTGGCTGGATCCTTCCCTCTCTCCCTTCCTCGGCCACCCTGCTCCTCAAGGCCACCCACGGCTCGTGGCCAGAGTGGGGTCAGGCCCAGCCAGCAGCAGCCTGCAGGCAGGGCTCTGGGGCTGCCTTCTCCTCCCCAGAGCTCCCCGCTCCTCTTGGCGCTTTCCTGGGGAAACACAGCCTTATCCACAGCCCCACGATGTATCTCCCTGCCACAAGACACGCAGCTACAGCCCCTGGCTGGGGACCCACTTCTTCCACCCTGGGGACACATTGGTCTGGCCCCTGTGGCTGGTGGAGCGGGCCACATGTGGTGCTCAGCCCTCCCTGAGCAGCCTTTTTCTCTTTGCTGTGGCAACATGGTCCCTGCAACTTTCTCCTCTGCCTCCACAAAGGCTGCTTTGAAAAAAATTACATATTTATTTCAAGAGGACTTGCTTTAAATTTTCAGAGAATTAGTATTTCCTTTAAATTGATAGAAAAAAACTCTGAAGGAACGTTGTCTCTTGAAGGACATTGACTTCAAATTGTTTTCTGTAAGGGGAAGAGAAAACCTGCTGAACTGATCCCTACTGATTCCGAGAGCTGGGTGGGGAGTGCGGGGAACCAACCGACTCCCACAGAGCATGAAACACACAGCCCTTCTGAAGATTTTGGGGCTGAGGGTTGGTGCGCACCCTGAGAGTCACAGCGGACAGATCTTCATTGCAGCGCTGGGAAGGCAAACCCAAAGCAAATTTGTGGAGACAAATTTTTCTCATTTGGGCAGATATTCTCTGCTGCAGGCACTAGAAGTTCAGGAGACACCAAATGTTGTGGTTAAAAGCTCTTTACCTCCATACTGGGAGCTGGAGACCTGCTGCGCTGCAAGGGATGAGGAGCACCTTGTGTAGCAGGGCACCAGCTGGAGATAAGCACACAGAATACAAGGGAGAAGCACTGGAAGCTCTCTCAGCTGTGGAGAATGTTCCTGTTTGAGACCAAGTCGAGTGTTCTTCCTCCACCAGGTTCTCCTGCCGTAGCACAGGCCAGCGTCTTCTCACTTGGAAGTGACTCGGCTGCCTAAAACAGGACCTGAATTGGGAGAAGTTTAGCAAGAGTTCACTTGTGTTCCAGGATTACCTGCAGCAGACTCGGGATTCCCTTCCACAGCCTGTTAACAATCCCTCTGCCCAGGTAAGCAGCAGGAGCTGAGAAGGAGCCGAAGGCAGGAACCCCACGTGCCGCGGATGTGCAGCACGATGCCTCCCGCGCCGCAGACTCGGGAATGACTTTTTGGGAGCTGACTCTTCTTGCACCAGGGCTGTGGATCTGGGCCGTGCTGTGGGCACGGCCAGGGCTGTGTGACAGCCTGAGGTGGCCGGGTCCAGGTCCCAGGGATTTCTAACAGCAGCGTCCCAGCCCCAGTGCAGGCTCGTGAAGGACAACCATGAACATTTGGAGACTTGGGTACCCTCTGTCCACTGTAAGGGAAGAAACCTGCGTTTGACACTATTTGCTTAAGCTTATTCTTAGAAATACATTATTTAACAAGTTTTCTGAAAGCATTCAAATCCCCTGCCAGGTTTCATCTCCCAGGAGAGGGGGTGGTTTCAACTCTATTGTCCCTAAAAATGCTGTTTTTAGAACAGAAATGTCCCTGGGAAGTTTGTATCCCCGCACTACGTGCCATTCCTCATCCAGGGAATGGCACCCACCACCAGCGCTATATTTATGGTAATAAATTGAAATAAATCCAACCGCTAGGATTTGTCTGGGAAGCATTGCCTCCCTGCCAGGCAGCCCTTCCCCCCTTCACCAAAAACCTTTCCCCACACAGCTGAGCAGGAGGCGGTGGCAGTGCCCAGCACTGCAGAGCTGACACGCTGTGAAGGAGTTAACTCCTCCCCAAACACAGCTTTAACTGAGCTGGTAACCAGAAGCAGAATCGTTGATCTTTGTATCGCTGTGGTTCAACACACACCCACCCGTTCCTACTTCCTTGATGTCACTAAGCCACCTCTGATCTTTCAGAGTTGAATGAGCATGTTTTTGCTGACGTCCTTACCAACAACTAAATATAAAATGCAGGAACGGAGCCAAATGCCCTGGAAGAATTGCTCGGGTTTGTTTTCTCCGAGAGTCAACAGCGGCGCAACGTCACAGTCAACATCTAGAGGGTTGTGCAATTGTGAACTGTTTGGGCCCCACGGTTGGGTGCTTTTAGAAGAGACTGTTTATTTCTGTTAATTCTTCCCAGCAACTGCTTTCCCCCTCTGCTCCGCTGCCTGTGGCTGTCCCATGGACTCAGCAGAGGGTTCTCAAGCCACACAGACATGTGGCACAGGGCTCCGTCTTTCATTTGGCCACAGATTTTTCCACCAGAACCTTTACACTTTTTCACAGCCAGCTTTAAAAGAACCCTCCCTTAACCTCAGCATCAGTAACTTGTACATAAACATATATTTTTTTTTTTTCTTTACCTAAATCCCACGCTGCAGAGAACAAACACACACAAGGTTTTTCCACAAAAGGGGGCTTTACGTGTTAAAACAAACCAACCAACCCCCACAAAACCCCCCAAAAGCAAAGGTCCAAGTGTGCTGGGCTGCTGGACTATAAGCACAACCGTGTTTGTATTTATTTAGCTCTGGCCAGTTCCCAAGGGCTGCCGCAGGGTCTCGCCCAGGTTGTACCACCACATTTTTCACCACACAGAGTGCAGCTTCTCAGAGTTGTCCCCAGCTGCCACCACCGCGGTGGGGGGCAACTCCATGGGGAAAAGGAACCGTCTCTCCCTGTGCCTGGGCTGGCACGGACACGTCAGCGGAGCCGGCGTCTGCAGGCAGGACCCTTCTCACGGAGCGAACACGTGGGCTCCAATTCCCTGTGCTGGGAAAGGCAGGGGCAGGAAACAAGTTATAAATAGGGCTCGGCAAGAAAAAACAATTCCAGCTTATGGTCAATTAAGATTTTGAAACAGGGTCTTTTCTTACAAACCCACAATGCAGCGCCGGGAGCGTATGGGGCGATGCTGCGTCACTGCGGGGCCGGAGGGCAGGACCCTCCCGGGGGGGCTCACGGCCAACAATAACACACTCCAGCCAGCCGAGTTTTGGGAAACGTTTGGTGGATTATGGCATTCAGCTCCTCAAAGTCTGCACTTCTGTTGCTGAAGCTTCTGTAGGAGTGGAAGGACTGGACTAATGAATTGAGGATCTCTTGGGGAGCTCAACTTTTCATTAACCCTTTGGGAAAAAGGGGGGACTTTTTCCACCTGGAAGTCAAGGCTGGTAGAACCAAACCCATTAAATACCTTGCACTAACTGCAACAAAGTACTGAAAACAGGCCACTAACAATTTCAAATCAATTTTATTTTCTTAAATTGGTGTTGTACAATTTAAAGCCGAAAAAAAAAAGTCACACAAAACACAAATAAAAAATGTTGACAAAGTATCAAGCGTTACCTTATAAAGAACATCATCATACGCTCTCACAAACCTGAAGATACGTGTTTATTAGACTGAGGTTTCTTGAAATCTATCAAAGACGCTACACACGAACGCTGCAACAGTAACAAAGCCATGACAATAGCAGGTGGCCTACACTAGCAACTTCAACAGTGGGTGGGGACTGGTTTTTGGGGTGTTTTTTCTTTTTTTTTTTTTTTAATTTTTTTGCATACCTTATGGTCTACAAAGCAATAAATATTTTTCACCAAAAAAGTTGGTTTCACGCTACATGCAGTTAGATAAAAAAAAAAAAGGAAGTCACCAAAGTGATGGCAAAATAAATCACCTGTCTGATTTTTCTTTTTTTTTTCCCCCCCATTTTTGGGGTTTTTTGTGTGGTTTTTGTGTTTGTTTTTTTTTTTCATTCAAGCACAGTGGCTAAGTTTCAAGTATTGAGAGAAAACATATATATACACGTTTGTGTTTGTGTGTGTATCTCTACGTACACACACATACACACACACACCCTGGTATGTATATACACAAACACATACATATATATTGGTTGTAGGCCTGTAAACCACAATGTTTTGGAGCAGTATATACTTGTGTACATTGAATGTGGACAATTTTGGTACATTCAAGTAATTAAGCACAGCTGGAAGGTTAGTGCTGAGCTCGCCCGGGGGTGCGGAGCGGTGTGGGTGCTGCAGGGTCCCTCCCGCTCAGTGCTCGCCCCCTGCCCCGCTCCTGCCGGCACCGTAGCCCTTTGCACAACCGCCGACACCCAGGGGAAGCAGTCTGGGGCTCCTCGCCTTTCCTGGCCACAGGCTGGGGGGGTTTGGCTGGATGTTTTGATGTCTATTGTCTCTCTTTTTTTTTTTTTTTTCCTTTCCTTTTTTTCCCAGGCACAAGCACAAACGGCCACAGAAGCAGCAGGCTGCCAACGTAGGGTATTAACAGTGGCCCAATGCTGAAGCGTTTGTGAAAGCTACACTTAAACTTCCCTGGTTGGGGCCATCGGAAATGTTTTTAAATTTCTGCGTTGGCATTTCTGCTCAGCGATCAGAAACACCCATGTTGCCCAAGACGATGCCAGCTCCAAAGTCAATTAAATTGCTCCTGAAACCCTTGTAAAGTATCACACTGAACGTGCCAATGTTGAGAGGAAAAAAAAAAAAGCAAGCAATGAGGACTTAACCACCACGTGCAAAATATTTTTGGATCCCCAAAAACAAAGCCTGAGGTTTCGAGTTGCTTTCAAAGATACTTTCCTGCCCAGCGCTAACAAAATACTGCCACGACTCTGATAAATTAAGACACACACGCGCGCACGCAGACAGAGGAAAGGCAGCAGCTCCCCATCCTCTCACGCCCATGCTCACAGCATCCCAAGCCTCAACCAGATCCAGCCACTCGCACCCGCAGTCTCATTTGGCTACAGTCTCCTTAAAAGAAATGCTGAACGTACAACTGAACACTACAAGATTTCTTTATAAAAAAAAAAATAATAAATGAAGCAGCAAATAAAACTTCTTAAAAAATATGCGTTTCCAACTGTAAGTGTGTAGGATCTTAACGCCTGTTCTTCAGCTCTTAAAAAGCACGGAGCTTTGTACTGACTGTCCTTAAAAGAACATTTAAATAAAAAATAAACAAAAACAAAACACATCTTGGTACTGCCAGTCAGCTTTGCCTGGTGTGGAGGAGGAACAGCACAGACTCCGCAGTGCTTTTTGCCTCGCACTCACAAGATACAGTACAGTTAAATACATACAGTTACACACAAACCATATATATATATCAATATATATTCACCCTCAGGAATACATATTAATATACGCACACACGTAGTGCAATAAAACAACCAGGAAGCAAGGAAAGGAATAAAAACAACAGCATTCCTAACAGTCGTGATGTTCCTGGGTTGTTGTGTGATGCAAAGTCAACGTCTCACAGTTCCCATAGTGTGTAAAGTGCTCCTTTGATTCACAAAGCTAGTGTTTGCAGTTCGGGGGGGGGGCCAGGACAGGGGCTGAAAGCAGGGTGTCTCCTGGCAGACGGGTGCTGCGGCCGGGCTCAGCAGCCACCCACTGCCCCCTCCGTCCCGCTGCGCTCGGGGACCCAGGGAGAATGGATTCCTTTTGGCTTCTTACGAGCACAGGAGCGTCACGCCACGCTTCCTGCCATCCTCCTGTTCCTCACACAGTCTCTCTCCCTGTGCCATTCACCCCTCCAGGCGCAGAGGCAGCCCACGGGAGATGGAAACTGCCCCGGCAGCACGTCCTCTGCCCTGCCTGGGAAGTCTGCAGAGGCGGGAGCCACTTCAGCAACGCTCAGGCCAAAGGGAGCACACTCCCTCCTCTCTGCCGTTCCGTAAGCCCTCCAAGGCATAAACGTGTAGGAGAAGGGACAAAAGAGAGAAAGACGGGGCGCCTCGGGTGGCCCAGGAAGCTTCAAGATGCCTGGCTCCCAGCGGGGACAGGGGAAAGTACACGAACTGGCCTTGATTTCTGAGCGACACCCTCCAACAGTAACTGCAGCCAGCGGTTTCAGCACATCCATTGCCTGCAATGGACACAGCACTGGAATACCCTGTTCTTGAGCCAGAGGGACGGGCGGCAGTCTTATCCTTCAAAGTGCTGGGAAGAAGCGGATTTCTATCCTCCGTCCCCTCTGCCCAAGGAGGGAAACCTTTCCACGTCAGCTACGTCTTCGCCCAGGCCTTTGGGGCAGGGAAGCATTTGCGCTTGCTGCAGTCACATGTCCCGGGGAAGGAATCCCGCTCTGTGGAACAACTTCCCAAAACCTCAAAATACAAAACACTGAGCAGTTCATCCTCCAGGTCTCCCACTGCCAAAATCATTTCCCACCGCAGCAGCAGCCATTGGACACAAAGTGATCAGCTGGGGCGAGGCGCGTGAAGAAGAACAACACTGAAATCAGGCGCAGAACCCCGACAGCAGAGCTGACAGCCTGCGCTCGATGCACAGCTTACCTGGGAGAGGAAAAAAAAAATGATAAAAGAAATCAACTTCTCATTTTCCAGGCAATATAAAGACTATCAAAACATGCTGGAGACTGAAAAAAGAAAAAACCAAAAAGGCAGAATGTCAGCAAATCTAAGCAGCCCTTCCAGATTCACTACCACACATCGATTGAGACTTGTTGAGGACCTGACTGCAAACACCGTGCTGGGAAGGGACAGGTGAAAGGGCTGAATAACTGGAGATCCAACAGCAAAATCCAGGAGGCAGCAGCTCTGACAGAGGTACCAAGATGTTATAAAGAACCTCCATCCACTGGGACAACTTATTCACTTTTAGCTCCTGGAGCAGCTTTTGCCAGCAGGCAAGGTGACTCGAGGTCCCCAGCACCATTTGTCATTGCTTCCAACAGAGACCAAGCCCAGCCCGGCACGGGCAGTGCCTGATTCTCACTGTCCAAACCCAAGACTCTCTCAAAAGTTAAATGTTTAGTGAATTCATTCCTCCCACAGGAAAACTTGCTGTATTTCTCCAATCACCATTTTACTTTTCAGAAATCAGTGATCACATACCCGAGATGTGAAATGAAATGCATACCCACTACAGCTACCAGAGAACAGCCTCATCAGGAAGCTGGAACATACGGTAAAACAGAGAATACCAGGATATCAACTGGGAAAAGAAATCTATTAGATGCATTAGCGGTACCTCTGGACAAAAGGTCTGATTTAGGTTTGGTAAGAAAGGGTACAATAGAAACTACTTAGTATTCCCTATTCACTCAACTCCCCAGTACCACACACCACCTGCCAATCTCCCTTCGCTCTCCTTCAGTGAGCCTCATGTCAGCTGTGAAAGTTGGTGATAATTAACTGACTGATTGCCTGGGAGCCAGAAATCTCTCCTCTCATTACCAATCCGAGAGCTCTGCCTGCATGGATGACTAGAGCAGCCTGGCAGCACTCCGGACGCCGGCCCAGGACGGGCATTCAGTAGCCAGCAGAGGGGAGAGGCAGGGTTTGCTGGCTGAACCCCTTCCCTTCAGCCGGCTGGACGCTGAAGCCGAGCTGCTCTAACAGACAATGGCCTCATCCCTGCACCTGCCTCCCAGAGAGGAAGAGGAGGGAGGGGATTAACCCCAGCCACAAGGGCAGGGAAAGTGCGCTCAGAGCCAGCGAGGTCAGCCCATTCCACTCCACAGGCGTTCCCTGCGGGGCGTGCAGCAGGGAGAGTAACACCCCCACGACAAAGGGAGAGGGCAAGAGAGGTGACAGCTCGGAGCAGCAGCCAGAGTGGTCCATCTGTCCTTAGGAAAGGAAGCCAAACGATGGTAGGTAGGAAAGAGCTCAGCTTTCACTGCTACAGCAAGCGCTTGCTGATGAGAAAGGTATTTGCCTACTGTCTGCCCAGCCAGGGCTGGGGCTGGGGCACCAGGCAGGCCAGCAGTCCTGCTGCAGAAGACGTGTTGGGAGGAGCCCTCCCTGTGCTGATCTCTGCCCAAAAGCCGCTGCAGTCTCACCTTCCCAAGTGCTCTGTGCAATCAGGGCAACGGTGCCGGCTGGAAACCAAACCCGGGCCCCTGCTGCTGCCAAACCACTTCCTTCGGCAAGTTTCTTCACACATCAAAAGCTCCAACAAAGCCCTGGCAATCACTCTGCACGGGAAGCTCTCAAAATATGGCTCAGAACAGGGACCTGCATTTCTAACAGTTTTCCTGCTGGGAAAGCAGGAGGCCAGGCTGTGAGGAGCTATAACAAGCCAAGAGTTCTCTGCTATGCTCACCAAGATGTAGCCAAAGGAAAAAAGGACGCTGGGTACTGAAATTTTTGAACCGTGCAGCTAGAAAAGCACATGTTCTAGTAGCAGAAAAAAAAGTCACTGAACACTCACATTTATTGATGTTTTCTATGTCCCCCTGTTCAGTGATGATGTTCAGGAGCCCCTCCATCAGCAGCAGAGCCTTGTGGTATCTCTGTGCACAGTCCTCTCTGTGGTGGAACATCTCATCCAGGGCTGCAGACTGCACCTGTGGGCAACGACCCCATGTCAAGAGGTTACTCCCAGACCAGACCCAGCTTTCCCAGCGCAGCCCCTCAGCTGCACCAACACCTCCCTCATCCAGCCTCCAGAGGCTGAGTAAAACCATCTGCTGAGGCCACCAGCAGGATCTGCTAATGCCTGACACTGGCTCCATGCTAACCCTGTTCCCAGGCACTCCATGGTTATTACCATTTGCACAGCATAGCTGAAGATGAGCTTCTCGGCGGTGATGCTGTTGATCCGATCCATGAGTTTCTGTTTGTCCAAGAAGAACCTCTGGAGTCTCATGTTGAGGCAGTGACAGGATGACACACTGGATTTATACAGCTCATTCAGCTTCTTCACAACTAGAGTAAAGGAAAGAAATGCTTTAGGCACTACTTCCACCTCTCCCTGTGCTTCCCAATCTCCACCCATGCATGGGTGGAGTAACTTCAACACCATGGGGTTACGTTAAAGCCAGAAGAAAGATGGGCAGGGAAGTACTTGCTGCACCAGCAGGGTCTTTTTCCTGCCCTCTGTCACCTTCACCAGGTATAAGCCTGCACGTGGCAACGCCTACACGTATGCCCAGTTCACCTGAGGCCAGCTCTATTTTTGTTTCCTTCAGCTGCCACGAGGCAGGGAGCAGCCTGCACCGTGCAAGATGTCTCACGCACCACCAGAAGCAACAGACGTGCCAGATAGAAAGCTTCTGCTACTTGGTGGGTGACGCCGTGCTGAGAAGCAGTACGTGACTTGCATGTGGTAGCTGCTGGACCTGAGTGCAGATGAGCAGCACTGACTAAGCAAGGGAATCTCTCTCCTGGGACTCAGCTGTCCCAGAAAGAAAAGACACTGATGAAAGGCCACCTCCTTTCCTGAACTGCAGCAGCAAGGACAGGAAGGTTACAGGATAGAGAATCAGGAATCAGATACGATTCTGAGGGATTAAATAACAATCCTGAACAGCAAGCGATGCTGCAGGCTTGATCCTCCCTAGCTGCATGGCATGGTCTCCACAAAGCACTGAGCACAAACTCCCACCAACATCTAATGAGTAGTAACTGCTGCGTGCGCATCTGAAAATACCCACTGCATGAGCTGCTCCTGTGGGAGGCAAATTAACCCACACCATGAACCAGGCTCCTTCAGCTGCAGCACAGAGGGGCAACCTCCCGTGACAGCCAAGCCTTGTCACTAAACCCAGCCTTCCCAGGCAGAGAGCAGGGAGCCAGGGAAGAGACTGCCTGCAGAAAGAAAAGGCTGCTGCAGCTCTTGTCAGAGAAAAGGCCTGAGGCTCAAAACTGTAACCCTGTCAGGGTCAGACTGTCCAATCACCCTCGCCCAGAAGGAACTACAGAGTGGGAAGCCCAAAGCTCAGGAGAGCAAAATGAAAAACTCCACAAAAGAAAGTCAAGAGAGACTATTTAAAAACCAAAACAACACACAAACACAGCAATATTGTGCTCCATGGAATTCAATCAGAGCTCTGAGCTGTGCCCAGATTATCAGGAAAAAGAGGATGGCTGTGGGCAGGGACCCTGCATGGCACACACCGCCCAAGGACACTCCAGGGCAATGTCTTGTTGGGCTTCCCTGCTTTTTTTCCATACACAAGTACCTTTAAAATCCTCATGGCTCCACTGTGCCCTGAAAAACCTCAAGGGAGCAGTATTTTGTGGGGAGAGAAACACGAAAAAAACAACCTTGCCCAATTCCCACACACTGAAGGACAAATTGCAACTTCTAGATTTGTAGTGTAATCTGCCCCAAAAAGAAGTAATTTATTTGGACTGTGACAACATTCCTCTTTGCCTGAACGTGTAGAAGATGTGTAGTTAAACCCATGCATCTTACTCCATACTGCCTGCCATAACGTATGTGTGCTCATTGCATTTAACTTTTTTTTAACACACCCCATCCCACAGCAGCACAAGTACTTTCAAAGACTAGGCTCCCGGGGAAGGTGGCTGATGGCTAAAGTGCTCCAAGTGCTTCAGAAAGCTCCCTCAGTAATATTACAATGGTAGTTTTAAAATGATTTTTTCTAATCATTGAATCACAGCCAGCTCCCATCACAAGCCAGCCAGTCAGATGCAAATGCCAGGCTGTAACACCAGCAAAGAAGTGACTCCGGCATTACCAGTATTTTACTTCCTGTGTTTTTGTTTCACTTGAAAAATCATCCCTGCCAGGACAGGTCTCCATTTGCCAAGTAAGCACTTCCTAGGACACGCACCGTGTAATTAAGTTGGACTGACGTCAAGTACAAAATAAGCACCTGAGATAGCGATGTACAAGGAATCAGATAAGATACCTTCCCCTCTCACTAATTAGCGCTTGAGATTCTCACAGGGGCATGAGCAGGAGTTTTGAGACCTAAAATCAATGTGAAGAGAGGAACATTCCCCTCAGCACAATGATGTAGGTTCACACTCACTCAACCCCCTCCATACCCTTTGGGATATTTTTAGTGCTTCCATTTGAGGGGAGCCCTTTGTGCCGCGTGCCCAGCGGCCCCTTACCTTGCTTGACAGTGGAGGAGAGGCAGAGCTTGCCAGCTTTGATCTGCTCTATGGCCATCTGCAGCCCTGAGGACAGAAGCTCTGCTACTTTCAGGTACAGCACGAGCTGCTCCGCGTAGCTGCAAAGAAAGCACACTGTGATGCAAACAGATCATCCCAAGGATGTCCCAAAGGTCTCCCTCCTGGTACCTAATGACACACGGGGTGGGAGGGACAACAGAAGACCTGGAAGCTGGGGAGCTCTCTCCCCTGTCCTTACCTCCACTCCCGGCTGAGGAGGCTGATCTGGTCGGCCACCACGCTCTCCTGGAGCTGGTACTCAGAGGTCACCGAACTGCTCATCTCGCTGGAGCTGCCCTTAAGGGCGGCGATTTCCATCACGTAGTGGACAAAGGCCAGCGTGAAGCGGAGGCTGCGCAGGATGTCAGTGTGCTCTTGCTGTTGAAGGAACACCAAGGTGGGGGTTACAGAGGGAAAGCTGGTGTGCCAGGGAGGGCTGCTCACCTACAGCTGTGCCAGTGACTCATCCCACCTAACAGAGACAACACCCGGGCCCCAAACCCCTTACACTGCTGCTTTGGGCAGGGACAGACAAACTCAGCCTCGAGACAACGCACCACACCAGTTCCCCCTATGGAAGAACAGCAAGAAGAGACAGACCAGGCCAGAGATCTCCAGGCAGCTCCCTGAAAAACCTGGTGAGACTTGCTCCAAAATTACATGCCCCTTCCCAAGGAACATCCCAGCTCTGTGGGATGCTCAGAAGTCAGCCAGGAAGGGGGAGAGACCATCTGCACCACAGACCCAGCTCTGGTCCCCACCACAGCAATGCTGGTACAAAACTAAAAGCGGGTTTGGATTTCAGGAGAGACAAGCTTCTGCACCACAGAAAACTGCAAACACAGCATGTCCTGCTCTGCAGCCCAGCCCTCACTCAGCCCTTGGTCTATATATCCTCCTCGTTCAGAGCAGTGAGCCCTGGGTGAGGTCCCCTGAAGAGACAGCAAGGACAACCTTTTATCTGCAACTCCTTGGCACTTACTGAGTGGCACTGGCACACACACTAAGTGCCATGTTCTTCTCAAAGCAGTTTTTCTTCCGCTGTTACAGATCAAAGGGGATTATCCCATTTCTGGGAAGCTGCATTGCTTAAGTCACTGAAAACATTTTTGGGAAGTTAGTATTTGTGGAAAAACTGAATGTGTGTGGGTCCTGAAAAGTTAACTGCTGCCTGGATCAGATGCAACTCCATTGTTCTTACTTTCTCTGTGGAGAAGTGGCTAACCTGCTTGATCTTCACATAGTCAGTGGCTCGGTTCTCTCAAAGGGGGCTGGTAAGGATGTTTCCTACATGAATTTGCAAAAAAACCACCCCATTCTCAAGTTCTGCAAGCTCTTGTTTTTCATTCACTGGCTCAGCACTTGGCTGCTGAGGCAGCTTTGACTATCTGAAACATGAATCTCTCCTCCCACCACCTTGCTACCTGGACAGTCCAGTAGGGTAAGGAAGCGTTATCTCCATCTTCCTCTATTTTCTTTAAAAGCAGAGGAGGAACTTGGAGATTAAGTAATTGCCAAATCATACAAGAAGTTTGTGGTAAAGCAGGAAACCGGTGAGATCTTGCAGGTCTCAGCCTGTTATCTCTAACCAGTGCACAGTCCTTCCTCGCTGCTTACACAGTTGGCTTCTATTAATTATGCTGTAACTCACAGCCTCATTTGGCATCACAAGAGTCCTTCCTTCCATAGCCATCTCTGCATTGTGTTTTTAAAGCAATGCAGAATAAACAAAAACCTAGCCTTCAATTTGCCTTGTCTGCACCTGAAGAAATTTTTTCAAAAGACGGAAGAACCACCCATCTGTACGCAACAGCTTTGCTCAAGATAAACAAGGCTGCTTAAACAGTAAGATTTCAATGCCCCAAAAGTATCAGCAGAAATCAGAAAATCTGCCAGGTTTCCATTCTGGCCCACTCCACGGGGCACAAAGGGGTCTCAAAATATGGTGTAAAGCTTTTGTGACATGCAAATGGAGCACTGTGCTCAGCAGAAACGATGACTGAACCCAAATGACTCACTACAGACAGAAGCTGAGCTGAGTGCTATTAACAAGATCAAGCTGATGCTTCCTTTGGACACATCTCTTCAGACCAGTGTCTGAAGTGGTGGCAGGGCCCCATCCTTCTGGGACCTCACGCAGGCAGGATGCTCAGTTAAACTCACTACTATTGTGATCACATCAACGCTGAAATGCCTAGACCTGTGGCTCTGCAGGTAATTAAGCAAACAAATGCAATTCGATGCATAATTGATAAAAAAATTGAGCTAAATAAAATCTGAAGTAGAAGAGCAAACCCACATCCTTAAAACAATGTATGCATATCTCTGTGGGTGTATCAGAGTTTTTAGCAACACCAGCAAAATTCAGACACAAAGAGCCTTCCCCAGCCCCAGACGGCCCGAGGAGGTGTCACGAACAGAGCTGAAACCGTGACAGCCTGCCTCCCACCTCCACTGCACAGGGCCAGCCTGACCTACATTTCAAATATATCTAGGCTACAAAAGCATTTGCTCTGCTTCAGCCTGTCTCCAGCCCGCAGAGAAGGGGAGCCTGGCAGCCTTTCAGCTCGACAATCTGGTTGAGTTGTTGTAGTGCAGAACGTGGTGTCCCCCCGCTCTCAGCAGCAGCACGAGTGTCAGGTTTACTTTTTTTCAGAATCCCCAGTGCCTGCAGCGAGCAGGCATTTCACACACCACACTACTCACCCTCTCAGCCTGGCTAGTACTGATGTTGAGCCTTTTAAAAGGGAAAAGGCCCAAAGTACCCAGGTCTTTTTCAGGAACTGTTAACATAGGATGCTGTCAAGTAACTGATGCTTCCAGACTGCACTTTCATCTTTGGAAATGGTGAATTTTAACCCCAGGTCATGGGCTGTCTCATGGACTAAACAGCTTGGTACCAGGCTCAGAAGTCACTGTGTTAAATATGCCCTGGGCTGAGGACTGCACTGGCCTGGCTCTCTTGAAACCAGTTTGCTCCATCTTCAGAAGCAACCCCCTTGGCTGCCAGCATGGAGTCACCTCACCTCTGGATTCGCTTTACTTTTATTCCCCCATCCTTTGCCCCTGGCAGGTCCCTGGGATATACCCACCTCCATGAGGGTTTCTTCGGGCAGCTCTGGTGCCTCAAATGTAACAGCACCTTCCAGGTTGGCAGTGATGGGATCAGCAAAAGCGTACCGGAGACTTGAGGGACCTTCCACAGCATCCCCACCAGTTCCCACTGCCAAGTGCCTGCCGGTGAACGAGCCTCCAGAACTGAGAGAGCTGGAGGACCCCACTGAGAAGAAAAACAGGCAAAGGAATTACTGAAGATGTTAATAGTTGGCCAGGTATTCCTCGCCCAGCAGAGGGGACAATCCTGTAGAATCCAAGATCCTGGCTCTGAGAGGAGCCAGCAACAGGAACTTTGGAGGAAGACACAAGGACTCTTGATGCAGATTAACCACTCCCCAACAAGCTCCTTAGCAACATGGGTAGACCAGCTTACAAGCTCAAGCAGATTTAATGCACCTTCCAGAATGTCTGTCATTTATGGAGACAATTCAGAAACACTCTTTTTTGTCCAAATACATTCTGAATCCTGCCTGAATCTTGGGCTGATTTTTACCACACACTGACAAAGCCAACTTCCCCATCATGGATCAGCATGGCCTGAACCCTGGCTTCCTACCAGGTACAGTATCCCTCAGACTATTCCCTCACCATCATTTTTTCCCTGAATCCACCCTAAGAACACATTTCATATAGAAGATGGAAACTTCAAGTGGAACTTCTGTCTCAGAGTATTTATAACACAATTCACCATTTCCAGAGGGTTTCGTATCCCCTGACACTCACCACAGAGGGATATATTCTGACAGGGGGATGCCAATACCAGCTACACTATTCTGCACATTCTACCAGGGGGATGTTCTCCACTGTCACTGATCCTTTGGAGGGAAATGTTTCTCTTTTGCCCATGAATTTAATTTGATGCCTTACCCTGCCTTCAGAAAGTTGAGCAGTATGATGCACAACTGATCTGGAGAGAGGCACAGCCTCCTCTCCTCCCAAAGCTCTCTCCCTGCTGGCATCTACGCTTCAAAGCTAAGGGGATCATCAAAGACTGGCAGAGTATTTCCAGATCCTTCAGAAAGGACCAAAGATATCACATTCAGGATACCCTGTAATTCCAAGAGGCTGTTTACAGGAATTGTTATGACGACTCATAAGAAGGATCCGCCTTTCTATCTGTCAAGTGATCTTACTCATAGTGTGTCCAAGCACTTGAGGTGCAGAGTTTCAGCTTGCAAAGCTCCCCTTTTCACCATTAACTTTGTGCATTAACTGCAACGTAAGGAGTTACTGCACAGACCTAACAAAGCTCGTCAAGCAGCATTGCTTTGACTGCCTTGACCTAATCGCATGTGTTGTAGGTTCATTATTCAACTGCCTTCTCTTCCAGGCATCCCATTGTAGAGCTTGACTGTTCCACAGACCCTTAAGCATCTAAATATCAACCCGTTAAAAACTAGTGCTTGAATCTGCTTCCAAATTGCTATTATCCCCACAAAAGCAATACAGGAAGTCCGAATTCTCTGCTGGTAACATTTCAGTAGTAGCTGGAGGCTGCGGGCAGGACAGTAACCCCATTGTGCTACAGGCCCGTCAGATACTTTGTAAGAGTCTCTGCCCTACAGAGCTTACCCTCTAAATACATGAGACAAAGAACGGATTATGGTCCCAACTTTCCAGACAATCAAGGATGTGAGTGGTTTTAGTTAGGATGGAAATCCAAGCCATACCCAGGAGCCAAGCCCAAGTGTCCCCCCATCCCAGTCAAGCAGCTTATTCATTGTTACATCCAAACCTTCCCTGCAGTAATTAAGAACAAAAGAGTCAACTACATTCAGATGACAAACAGCCAAGACGAGAACCCAAACAAGCCAAAAATGCAAATAGAAGTGTCCAAATATTTTCTTAAACTGAACACAGACTCCAGCTTCCAGACACACTATCCCAAAAGGGCCAATTACCAGCCTCAACTGTTGGCTGATGTGGCCAGAGCACTGGCATCTTAAAAGAAGTATCTGTCAAGCAGGAGCGCATTTCCCCATTTCCTACTTAAGCAGCTCAGAGCATAAGCAACACTGCTAATAATTTTGCATCCAGAGCCATCCTGGCCCTTTCCTAACAGTACTTGTGCACTGAAATTGTTGGGCACGGATGGTCACGCTCATCTTTTATAGCTCATCCAAAACCCATGGGGAAAACAACCAGAACACAACACAATCTTTACGTTTGTTGACCTATCAGCAACAGTGGGTCTATGAACAGCTGCAGCATCATTCCTGAAGCAGAGAGAAACGAACTCAAAGAACAGTTTGCCTCTCTCTTCCAGTACTGGAAAACCACAACAGGGCATTAGCCCTCGTGCCAGTGCAAACAGCTATCAGCAGCAACTGGGTTTGGCAGGAGCCAGCATGAGAACCTCAAAGGCATTTAGAATTGAGACCAGCTGAACTCCACGGACTGTGCTCTGAGCAGCCCTCTGCCACCACCAGTGTCCAGCAGTAAGGAATTCAACTGCATCGCTCTACCCCCAGGCATTCCCACTGGGACAGGCAGGTAGGTATCAGCCCTTTACCTGAAAACATCCTGGTCCTCGTGGTCTGTGGGGGGGTTGTTCCACTGGGAGGGGATCCGACAGTAAAAATCACTGGGGATGGGCTGGCAGAGCCCCCAGCCCGGGCACCAGAGTGCAGGGTCCCTCCGTAAGCACCTGAGGGAGCTGGGGAGACAGTTGAAAGGTGCAGACTGGCATTACAGGAAAGTTACTCAGAGCATGGTGTGCCTCACCCAGTGGTTTTATGTTCCTGCAGACTCTCCTGGGAGACAAGTGGTTACCAGCACAGGCCAGCACTCCCGCTGGAGACGTGCACCCCGAGAACAGCCCGGGCCAGGCTGGCAGGGACTCCAGGACACCAGCTGCGTTACGCGTTGCTGCGGCTGTTCCCCCTCTCACTTCCCCACCTGCGAGCCCAGGAAGACCCACCCTTGCAGAGACACTCCTATTCCAGCCGCCTGGCAGAAAGTCCCCACTTCCACATGTTGTCACATTCAGAAGGGGTCAAAAGAGGAAGCCCTGCCTACAAAAAGAAGTCACACTGCTGGCCAGCAAGTTACACAGCACGCATAGCACAGACCTTCGAGCGCTCCACAACAAAAAAGCAGACATCATTACACTCCCCACACACGGCAGTCACTTGCTGTGCCAAAAGCCATCAGAAAGGCAGCCTCTTATTCGCAGGGGACATGCAGGCAGACTGTTTGCCCCAGCCCAGGACACCCTGCCAGATCTGCCTGGCCCCCACACCTACCTGCTATTTCCATTGGCTTCTCATTGTTCAGGCTGTCGTTGCTGCCAGCTTCCGAGATCTGTGCCCCAAAGGCTGCCTTCAGAAGCAGGTCAGTGAGCCTGCCTGTGCTCAGAGATCTAAAAAGAGGACATATAACATGATGCAGAAAGTCAATAGGTGCAAGGTTTCAGCTCACTTCCACTCCAGTTTGTGCCATTCCTGGTCCACAACCAGTTGACACCACGCAGCAAACAGTCCGGAGCCAAAATAACCACTCTTCCTCTTTCAACAGAGCATCTGAAGCACCTCCTGCTACATGGAGAAAGCATACAGCTACGATGACTAACTGCAGTAAGGCAAGTACTGACTACAGCATTATTCTAACACAATTTTTCTTTGATGGAAGATATGGAAATTAATAACAGAGTGTTGTGGTTTGGGCCGGACTGGCCACTGACTCCTCCAGCTCCTGCAGAAACCTGCAGTCTGCAGAGAGGCCTGTTAGAAAAACTTAACACTAACACCTGAGCGACTTTGTATCCTGCAATGCTCATGACAGTCAGCTTGTGGCTTCCAAGCAGATCTCTGGTCTGCAGACCGGTGCCCACTGTTTCATAGACAAGGAACACCCTCAACACCCTCTCATCCACGACAGGCACAGGCTCCACAAAGAGCAAGGCACGATCTGCATAATTGCAGGGAGTCTGGTCTAATAACAAAATCCTTGATTCCCACTTGATGAAACCCTGGACACAAACCACAGTGTGAAGCTGCAGACAATCTTTAATTTAATAAAATCTAGGCCATGGCCTACCCCTGTAGAGGCCGACTTAAAAAATCTGCATCATATCAGGTTGTAACCCAAGGGTGCTGGCAGATAACAACAGAATGTTTGCAGATGCTACATACAACTTAGGTATCCATTAGCTGGGGCTTGAAATTTGCCCCATCCATCCCCTATTAGGGAATGAAGTACCACTGTATAGAGTGGACTATAGCTCACCTGCCCTTGATCTCTTCCACAGGCCTCAGTCCCAAGCCAGTTTGCTGGCAGTGGAAATGACCCATCTCCTTCAAATCTGGCAAGGTCTTGTTCCGTGTCGGAGTAACCATGACCCCCTGATGAGCCAAGAGGGTGAGGAGATTTTGGGAACTTGGGGTTTTGGGAAACTCAAACGGGGACACAGCCTAAGAACAACAGAAAAAAAGATCCATTTAAAATGAAAGAGGAAGTTACCCCTTACTCCCCCCTCCATTCGCTTATCAAAGTTAAATTGTATGCTTAACAACCTGCCTGAAAAACAGGAAAAAAAATCCCACCCCAAGCAGTTACTTGCCCCCAATCCTAATTAAGACTGAAATGAAAGGACAACAAACTCTGCTGAAAATTTGTACCAGCCTAACATAAGCAGAGGAAATGCTGTCAGAGTGCCAGCTTCGCATGAGACACCAGGGCTGTCACCTGCTTAACCGTCTGCCGTCTCCGCTGGGGATTCCTGCCGGACACTCACGTCACAAGCAAACCAGCCCCGGCACCACAGCTCACTAATGCGCTTCTGCCTCATCGGGGCAGCTCCTTTTCATTGCCAGTTTAAAACCCTGGCCTCTGCTCAGATGGTGAGCACTGCTGCCAAGTGAGATCTGCCCACTAAGAAGTAGGACACTACCCCATTTCACACAGATCACTGAACAGCTCTTGAAGAACAGCAAACCAGCGGTGATAAATCCAGGTCAGGGTTATCTGATCATGTAGTGGTTCTCCCGCAAATAACCCAGAAGATAGAGCCGTAAGAAAACCAAAAGCAGACTCCTTGACATACCTTTGTAGGGGAGCCCATTATAGTTGGCAAAGGGCTTCTCTGCATGAACTCGGACAGCTTTGGTGAGGACCTGAGCTGCCGGCAGTGCTGCAAGCCATGGATCTGCAGAGGCTGGCTGCCTGGGGTATGACCAAAGTGAGCAACCAGAGGATCAGAGTGCTGCTTGGTTATCTTCTGCCTGCAGGAATGCAAATCTGACAGGTTGGGAGCACTGTGGAGCCGGGATCCCATCCCTCGAGGAGAGTGTTCAGGCGCCGAGGAACCTGCAGAGCCCAAACACAGTGACAAACCACATCATTTCCTGGTTCTATCACAAAAAGCCAGCCTGATCCCAGGATCCGCTGCTAAAACATCTGCAGATCAAAACCTTCAGTGGATGGCTAAGGAAGTCACTCTGACCAGTGCCACAATCTGCAGGCCTGATCTGGTTTGACTCTACAGGAAGAAGAGACAAGCACAATAGGGACACAGGTGTAGCTGCTTTCCTTCATTGCAGCCCTTACAGAGCAAGGGACCCCGACTGTCAGAGTTCAGCAGCAAGGACACTACACATCAAGCAGGTCACTTGGCAGAGGGAGAGCTGAGGGTTTTGAGATGCTTTTCCTTCACTCAATCCAATGACTTCAAAGTCCTAAATTTGAGTTTCTGTGACACAGGATGTCTCAGCACTGGAAGAGGCTGGTTGATGGGATGCGAATGGAACAACCCCAGCTGCTACCAGGACACAGAAATAATCCTGGCTGGCCAAGCATCAAGAGATGCTACTGAGGGGCAATACCCAACTCTGAATGCCCTGAGACTGCTTCTGGCCTTATCCATAGGAATAACAAAGGAAGGTAAGGACCAACGCACCGGCGACAGGAATCCGGCTTCTCACTTCTGCTCCAAGAGAAGAGGGGATAATAGTCTGGCTGGGCTGCTCTGGGATTGTTCCAACTTTGAGGGAACACAATAAAGAAATAGTTTATTCAGTATTAAGTTTCCATAGGCAGTAACAACACTATGCACCACCTGTTTTATAGAGAGATGCTAGTTAACTCTTCCATCTTCTCAGCCCAAGCCCTAGCTCTGTAGTGAAAAGATCAACAACTCCTGTAAAAGGAGGAAAAAACTCTGTCTGGAATTAGTTTAGCCAGTTTTAGCCTGACTTTGCAATGACATTAATTCAGAGGAATTGAATATGAATATTCTGCATTTTTCCCACTGGTAGAGACTAATAAAGACAGGATTGGAGACACCAGGGATATAGGATAGCTAGTTACATCAGAGTCTGTTCCTTTATAGAAAACAACAAGCTGCATCAGTTGTACACTGGGGTTTTTCCTATGCCTTTCCATTCAAACTGCTTGTTAGCATCTGGATCGGGCTACCGGATATTCAGACAGCTACTTTTCAGTTTGAACATGAAGTTCAAGCCCTTCCAAAGTGGGACAGAGTTTTGCTCTGACAACAATTGGCTTACATTTTTTCTCACCCCAGCCTGAGCCAGTAATAAGACACTTTGCACTTACAGAAGCCCTCTTCAGAGGGCAGCAAAAGGTTTGCTGCAGACACTAAAACAAAGCTTGCCCCTCCTGGGGCTAAGAGGTTATTTTCCTCTCCATTTTACTGAGGCCAAACACTTGTCAAATAATCTATTGAGAAGAGCCATGGGAGAACACAACAATCTGAATTCCCTACCACCTGGCAGCTACAGCTGGTCATAACCTCCCTTTTTATAGGAAAGAGGCAGATCGTTTTATTAGGGCAGCAACATCTGCTGACATCTTACCTTGTGGTGATGGCATAAACGGCTTGGCACCGCCAAAGGAGAGCTTTCTAGAGCTGGGCACAGATCCATGCTCTCCAGGATAAGGAGGGGAAGCACCAGTTTTAGGAAAACCAAGAGGACTTGTACTGCTAGACCTCCGAACCGTACCAGACCTGAGGGGAAACAGCAGCAGCACACGTTACTCCAGAAGCCCGTATAGAAGAGTAAGGACAAGAGCATCACCACACACACAGAGCTACTTCCACAGGAGTGGAGCCTTATGGCTGCTTAACCTGGATCAAAATCCCACTGTTCTAGGACTACACCAATACAGATTAAGATGATAATCCTTGTTCTCAAGAGGTTCAATCCAAACAAAATTTTGTAAAACAAACGAAAAGACAGATTAGCTTAGTTGTAAGCAGAAAAGCCTTTTCAGAAGTCACTTTGAGATGCTTTCAGGTATCTACATCAATCCTGAACAAGACAAAATCTCATATTTTGCCTCGTTCAAGGTGTTTATTTTAGGTAGTGTCTTCAGAATGCCCTGAGAGGGCTTTATTCCAGTGACTTTCCTGTGCTGAGCCACTCACTCTTCTGTCAGAGCAGCCGTTTAGGTAGAAAGCTCCATAAGTGCAGGTCGTACGATGCAAAGGTAAACGGTGCCAAAGGCACTACTCTGCAACACAGCTTTGACTCAAATCAGAAGCTACAGAGCAAAACAGAGCAGTGTGTGGCTGTCAGATCTGAGGCAGTTCAGTACTACCCAGAGGAACTTCTCTTTGGACTGGACAGTCAGAATTGCCAGGGCTCCAAACTCCGTTAAGTCCTTGTGAAGACTCACCTTAGGAAGTTAACATTGATTTGTACAGCCCACACTTCTGGGAACCTCAAGTATAACTCAGCTGCTAAAATGAAACTGAAGAGGACACCTGGCGAGGTGAAAAGATACCTAGATGTTCAGTGGCAGAAAGTATTGCTCTCCCTTGTTTTCAACACTCCAGAACATGAGCCATCCAGAAGGCTGACTATTATCTATCAGGAACTTGCAGAAAAAACACCCCAGCTGACTACTGCTGCTGAAAGATGTGGAATGTCAAATGCCACCTTACGAGACATGGGATAAGCAAGCAAGCAGACCAGCAGGACAGGTGATGTGGCCAAAAGCACGCACACTTAATTACCACCTCAACAAGCAACATATCTATCCACAAACGAGCCACGTTACACAGGCATACACCAGCCAGTCAGATGACAGTGGTCAATTTTTCAGAAGCAGGTGTGTACGTCAAGGTTTGTAGTCAAATGACTTGGCAAACATGACGAGGCACTTGGCTATAATGGCCTGTTTGATACACCTGATGGAGAAGCGGAATCACGTAGTAGATGCTTGATGTTTTCTCCTTCCATTCCTGAAGGGTGTCTACTGAATTTGCTGATTAGAGGAAGTGATGGTGAGAGATAAATATGGCTTCCTGGGGCAGAAAAAAACATGACGCCAGAGATTTTGAGAAGATGCTAAAAGCAGAGTGTGAATCATCCTGATTGGGTCCATTCCTCGAGTTCCTCTGTGGGGATGATGCTAATCTCAACATTACACGGAGGTGACTAAAAGGAACACGACATGACAGTTTGATTGCTGACTGGTAGCTGCAGGCTGTGAACCTGAACACAGCAGCCTGTCACCAGGGCTGGGGTGGGCACAGAGTACCCAGGTGCATCCTCTGCACCTTCTCCAGGGCTCTCATCTTATACATCACATTCTTTACTGTGAGGGTAGTGGAGCACTGGAACAGGTTGCCCAGGGAGGTGGTTGAGGCCCCATCCCTGGAGATATTCAAGGAGAGGCTCAATGAGGCCCTGGGCAACCTGGTCTAGTTGGGGGTGTCCCTGCTGACTGCGGGGAGGTCGGACTAGATGACCCTTGGAGGTCCCTTCCGGCCTGGGAAATTCTATGATTCTATGATTACCAAGACTCTTTTGTGATTTCCAACACTAACAGGGTCCACAAGTTTTGCTGTACAAAATACAAGGCATGTAAGAAACAGGAAGGAGTTTACCACAAAATCTGCCACACACTCAAAGAAGTGAACATAAAATAGTACTGAAGTACTGGCACAAAACTACCTCTCTGCTGGTCCCTGATTAACGTCAACATACTGTGTCTCTACTTCTGGGTCCACTTCAAAAAAGCCTTATCCTGAATTAGGCTGACTGAAGCCCAAACTTAGGCTGACATAGGTATTACCCTACTTCTGAAATCTGAACTTTAACTAATCCAGATACCAGAGCAGCTCATCCAAAAAAAGACAAGACACCTCATAGGCACTTCTGCTGGAATGCCCCTGCTGTACAAACTCCTTAACATCCTGTATGAGTCTCCTTCCAACTAGTCTATGACCTGGGCTGCTGCTGTCAACCCAGATTTCAAATCTGTAAGGACCAAAAATTTTATGTGAGAAGAGGTAGAAGCCCTATGGTGTCTTGGATGTACAAGGAATTACCACTGAACTCAGAAGGTCAGCTGTACAGCTGAAGGCTGGCATCCAGGTCTTCCTGACGGCCTTCAGAAAACATGCTCTGCCTCAGAGGCATAAATTGCTCATGATTTAATCAGCCCTGGCTGCATAACTACATTAATATGCAACTCGTGTCAGACACATCATCTATGGTGTGACTACTACAGGAACCAATTAAGGTAAAGTAAGGTAAGTTTTGTAGCACCGTCTATTTTAGTTGTTTATCTCAACTTTTTCCTTTTATAAAGGCATCTGCCAGAGGGATGATTCTCCCTGGTTGGACACCCATCCTATAGCTGGCATGGGAAAAGTTGTCAAGACTCCAAGGGGCTCAGCCTGCACGGAAAGTTGACAGGAGCTCTCTCACATACACACAGAGACAAGAATTTACAGCACACAATAACAAATAAATCTCAACACTGCTACAAAAATAACCCAAAACTATGTTACCATATAACACACAGCACATTGGCTCCCTACGGTGAGGGGGAGAGCCCATCACAGAGGGAAATTTTGAGAGGTACAGACGATAAACTGTAAAGCAGTTTGTTTTACAGCCCCCAAACCGTAATACCAGACCCCCTGCACTCCCATTACCCCCTCCTCCCAGCCCCAGCTCTTACCGTGGAGAGGCGTATTGATTGGGAGACTGCAGGTTCTGCTCGATCCGCCGGTAGTTATGAATTTGGGTTGGGACCGGAATGGGCACGGAGTGTCCGTACTTGCTGCTAGAGAACTGACCTGGCCGGCTGTTGAAAGGAGACACACAAAGAAAGGCTCTGGTAAGGGGTGGGCCTTCAGCCAGGTAATTGGAGGTTTTATCTTCGTAAAGCAACTGCACACAGGGAGCGTCCCCGTGGCTGCTCTCAGGTCGAGGGTTTATGCTGGGAGGCAGCTCAAAGTCGTATCAAAGGGAAGTGGCACCACACGTCTCCTGAAAACAGGCACCTTTCCTCCAGCATGATCCCCACCCACAGACTGAAGTTAGAACATACACACAAGCTCACCACTCCCTCCGGGAAAATTGGAGCCTGGCTGTTTCAGGCCACAACTGGCCTAGTTTCCAACAGCTCAGATCCACAGCCAAAGAGCACATCATTGAACAGGGGCTAAACACTCGTGGCTCACAAAGGGCACCAGCAAAGACTTTGCTGCCAAGAGCTACTTGCGATTCATGCGGAGGCACTGCTGCAGCAATGGCATCCCCATCAAAGTCTCAGCATGCCACAAAGAGAATACAAACTTGTGGTGTATATCAGAGTATTTGCAAGCTAACTGCAGGGTGGAGAAGGCAACTCAGGAGACAATAAATCTGGGGGACAGGAGCTGGTATCTATATATCCATCAAGGTCAGCTACAACATCACCCGCACAACATGGGACATGCCCATTCTGCAAACTTCAGACTTCTTTCTAGTCCCATCCAAGGAGGTTAATCAGCTCATGTCTGATACCTGTTCTCCCAGGTGACAGTTTCCCCTGTCACTCTTAGCCCATATACCACGCTATACACAAACCATGCAAACAGCACATTTAACTAAGTAGCCACCTAAAGTCTTTTCCCAAAGGCTCCAGAATTCTAGGATTAATTGCCATGGCAATGCTATTTACAACTGCCAACACCAATTGCAGAGATGTTGCACAATTACAGAAAGATCTTATTGGTAATGAAGGCTTCTGCAGTTTTCCTTGTTGTCAGTCAAGGACACACGCCTGGGTCTGTCCCTGAGAAGCAGGAAGCATCACTTCTTTGGGTCTAACATTCAGAGTGAAAGTTTTTACATAAGATGAAAGGAGGTATTTAATTCGGCAAGAACATACATGCACGCATAGGGGAAGAGAGAAGAGTTTGTGACTTATTTGGCAGTTCATTACCAGAATTTATTTTTTGGGAAGGTCAATAGTACTCTGTAGTTTATGGTGACCATGTTGAACAAAGCTGATTTGCAGAAATGTGTCTGCAGATCTCCACATGAAGATGCTCCTCCATCACAAGATAGCCAGATAACTGGAAGAGATATTTCACCAAGGCTGAAAGATCAAAAAGTGCTTCCTATTTCTTCATTTCTCTCTCAACAGGTTTACTAATTTTTTAAATTCTATATATTCTTCCTTGTGTGCTCTTATTTCTTCCATCAAGAGAACAGACTCTTAATCTGATGTTTTACTCTACAAGGCAGCATGGAAGACTTGATTCTTCATTGACATACACTAAAACAAAGACATTGAAGGTTTTTGATTGCTCAGCAGAAAGGTGAAGCTCTAGTGTCTCTGCCTTCCATCAGTGTACGCCATGGTGTCAAGTCAGACACAAAGCCAACAGAGCTTTAACCAAGAAATATGAGGATTCGCGTCAAACTTTGTACACATCCTCACTTTCAACATACATTTCAAGCGCTATCTTTCCATCTAGCCAAAATCCTTTGGAGGAAAAGGATCCTCCCTCTCCCAAAGAGTTATTTCAAGTCCTTACAGAAGCCAGGTTTCTCTACAAGCCGCAAAAAGAAAGCACCCAAATGAGGTGACATATACTAACCTTGTTAATTGGCCTCGAGCTTAAAGACTACAATTGACCATGAATTTGCAAAGACCTAGAGATAAAGCTGGGACAGGGACTTTAATTACTTGGCAGTAATTAAAAGCTCTTTGAAAATGGTATTAAATCCATTGCTGTGGGATACATCCAAGGAATTAGCTTTTGCTAGACTTCCTAAGCATCTTCAGCAAGAAAGTGCTTTTCTTTTTTAAAAAAAGAGAGATATTCATTATCAGCATATTTTAATTCTGCCATGCTCTTACTTTCTCAGTTAAGAGGAAGAAGAGCTGCTCTAAAGCATACCATGATATCCTGAGGAAAACCCACTGCTGGCCACTCTAAAATAGCCTTTGCTTTCTGTCCTAGTTGGACCACATCCAGCTCTGCTTGCTAGCCTAGAGCACACACAAAAGCAAGCACTCCTGCTTGGGAGAGAGCAAAGAGAGGGAGAGAAGATCAGGAGTCCTCTCTGCCAGTGCTGAACCCATGGCCTCGTGACACCTACAGCAAAGGGCACTGAAACCCATGTCAACAGCAAGGGCATACCTGGGTGGCACCAGTTCAAAGCCCTCTCAGGAAACAGAACAAAGATCATGCTTTACCCTCTGGATTCAGAGTGACTGCTCCAATCTTTCATTACTTATGTCTTACTGCCCATCCTGGACAGTGTAGGAAGTAACTTTTCAGAGTTTTTTCAAAGCAGATAGAAAAGTGGGAAGTAGCACTAGAGGGTTTGGTATCTGCTCCACAGAAGATGCTGGGAATGAGTAGGAAAGACAGTGAGAGCAGAAACACATTTAGATCATATCAACTGGCATTGATTTGCCATCTGCTGATCCAATAGGATATGATGAGACCAGTTTGGTGAAGACAGTGGTGAACAGTGAAAAGTAGGCAGCATTTGTAGTCAATTTCTATGAATTTCTACTCACTGCTGTCCAGAAACAAGGCCAAATCCTTTAACAAAGCCTGATCCCCAAAATGCAAAGGAATCAGTTAAGGAATAAGCTGTTAAAAAGCTTAGCAGGCGATGGCATAAGAAGCCTCATGCAATTGAACTCTACACTGTGGTACGTGCTTGCCAATTAATCTGATCACGTCAGCAAGGCTTTGAGCTATATTCTTCTCCTTTACATTTGTGTGCTTTGAGGCTATGTTTTGTCATTTTCTGGGCTCCGTTTATGTGATGAGTGTTTTCAACACATAGCCTGGGACCATGTATTCTTTGTAAGAAAGATTTTAGGGTCATCCATGAAATTCCCTTCAACTGCCCTCCCCCACCAGGTGCCATGCTGACAGAATAGAAGATGAAAGCTGTCCTGCTTCCCCAGCAGGCAAGGATGAGATGGGAAGAACACCAACACCACCAGCTCCCGGTAAGCTAAGCTCATACCCTAAAGCTTCAAGCTCTAGAGTTCAATGGGATCATCTTCCAGAGACCACTAACATCTTCTGAACGTAAATGGGTCTGGAGGTCCTGGCAGCATTGGGCAGCTGGTGCCATTGCGTGGGGGCAACTATCACCTACGACATTTCTGAACGCCAAAGCTGAGTTTATAGCAACTGGTTTAGTTGGAACTAAACCTACAACCATGCTTGTTTGCACTTGTTACTCCCGCACCCTCCGTTACTAAACAAGGCCCATGTAACAGCATGACTTTATACAGACATAGTGCAACGAGCTGTTTGGAGCTTCAAGCAAACTGCAAACAAGTACGTCGGCCCAGATCTGCCCTTCAACAGCAAGGAGAGATGAGCAACACTCCTCCACATTTGCCCTCCTATCCTTTGCTCAGTAATTCAAGCCCGCAGTAGTTTCAGTCTTGGCTGAAGTATTGTACTCCACTGCATTAATTTAGAAGGGTCTTAAACTGAAATATTCACCGCCTCTGCGGGCCGAGCACAGAAGGGAAGAGTAGCACATACATGTCAGTGGAGTCCATTTACCTTCTGCTTGAGAATAATCCCTGGACCCCCAGGGAACAGAGTTAATTCCAGCTCTACTGCATTCTCTCCCAGCCCCTCCTGAGGGCCAGAAGAGGGAGAGACAGGCTCAGTAGCTGGGACTGATCAATGCCTAAGGCTGGGGAGTTTCTCCTGTGTGTTTCTTGTTACCCTTTAATTAAAGTAGAGATGTGGATCTTACCCGACATACCAACATCTGTAAAATCCCCTCTTGGAAGCCAATGGGTGTTCAATTAAACATTCATAGTCACCACTGAACAGTCTTTCTTACCTGGATGGGCTAGGAGAACTGCTGTATGGCGGCGAAGGAGATGGTGTCCTTCCCTGGCTTTCCAAGCCTGCCGAAGTCACCAGAGAACTCCTGAAGAATGACAGGAAGAACCCAGCTGTTAATGCCTGGGAACCACCCCTGCATCCCCCTACAGAGCTGTGTCTGCCCAGCACCTCTGCCCACTCCAGTCGTAGGAGCCCTGGGTACTGTCACACTGCCCTACGTACACTCTGGTGTTCAGGTGCCACATGCTGATGATCAAGCTGAAAATGGTCAGGACCAGACAGGTGGCAGTTATCCCTGAAACAGATCTTCCCTCCCATCCACCAGAACCCAAAAGTCCCTAATACACAGTATGTTCTAGTGGATAAACTATTTGAGTTGCCTTGGTGGTCTTACCCGCTGTACATCAGGCTGTCTTGGATTGGTTTCCCTCCTGCAGCCTCAGCAGCTAAATCACCTGAGGAACAAGAAAGTGTAGAAACAGATTAAATCAAGATAATTTTCTTAAAAATCTTTATATATTCTGAGCAACAGAGTTTTAGGGTAGAACTTCCTGGTCCTCCAAGACCTGCTAAGTTGCTTCTGAAGTCATCATTTTGCCAAATACATATGGGCTGAAGCTGATGTAGATGCTACTGATTCTTACAGCCTGAAGTTTTAGAAAATTTAGGCTGAAAGGGAGCCCTTTTGGAAGGGGACCAAAACCTGTCAGAATCATTTGGGGCAATAGGTGTATGCCCACTTGGTGCAAGCAATTAGCTGCTGTGTAAAAAGACAATGGTCTATGTTGCATGTAGGGCTTTCAAACATCCCTGTCCTAAGTGGCAGAAATCCAGGGCAGCCAAATGAGCTGGCAGCTGGATACACAACATGGGGGACTTTGTGCCTTTGCCAGAACACCTGAACACTGGAAACATGACTATCACAAGACAAGTGTATGCTGGCCCCATTGGTGCTCCCGGAAAAAATACAAACACCACTGAGCTCTTCCTTATCAAAGGCTGCACAGCAGACACCTTTCACGGATTCCAGTTCTGCCCCTCCAAATTCCTGTTTTAATACAAGTAGTGCAACTGTGGAAGGATGAATCACAGCATTTATCACCAAGTTCCAACTCAGTAAAGCATCAAGACTGATGCACAAGTCAAGACTGAATAATATCCTTCTACTGGTTAATTAAGTACTCATGCGTGGACATTCTTAGGCATGTGGCTGAACTAGAGACTTAATCTTTACATACGTATGTATTTTCAAGCAACTCATATCAAAGTATAAACACAGAGGTGATAAAATTAAATTTTAAATGTTTTCAAGTATAAAATCCATCTTGCTAGCTGAAGTCCTGTCTTGGACTGTGATGCTGAGTGAAACTGAAGACAGGATGACACGGGAACAGCTTCTCTAAGAGGAAGGCATTTCCCTCTGAGCCTCCTTATCTTCTTTTCCATTTGGATTTCCAGGTTCAATCTCTTATTGAGGTCCCCAAATAATCTTTACTCTCAAATCCTATCTTTGAGGGTAATTACAAACATCCTATGAAAGTAGCCCCTGAGACAGATGTCTCTCCCAGCTTGAGAACAAAACCATTCCTGTTATTCAGTCAAACCACGCAGGTTTAATTGCTCTTTCAGCTTTCTAGTAACCATCCTTAACACCCACATCCCTCTCTGATTAGAACGTTTGCATTTCCAGAAACCAGCTTACTTGAGAACTGTGCTGGGACCATAACAAAGTCATCTGTGTCACAGGATGAGTTCTTACTGCTGCTTCCGGCAGACTCCTTCGACCCGTGCAGAAAGCCGGGGGAATCCTGGGTCGGAGATGCCAGTGCCTTCTCCTGCAGCTGCTGCTGCATCTCTCCAAGGGACTGCTAATTCAAGAAGAAAACAAACACTGGCTTCAGCACAGCTACTTCATCATTCTGCTCGATCCTTTAAACTGAGCTGTACAAGGCTACAAACAACATTTTGTTGATGAACCAGGGCTGATAGTTTGCCAGAAGCAGCTGTTTAGTTTACTGAAAAAGAACAGCCTTTTATGTCCATGTCAGAACAGCCCATCTTCTGTTACACAAAACATGTCACCAACATGTCTGATGCCCCCTAGATAAGAAAAAAAAATAATCACTTGAGGTATTGCATCCCTCTGCTAAGGCTTCCTGGATCAACCACATGTTTTCTACCAATTCAATTTAGTAGGCTGTGAAATAGAGAGGAACTTTCAGAGATAGCTCTGGTTGTTCTTTTGGGTTGTGTTTTTTTGTTTTGTTGTTAAACATGAAATGTCTGGTCTCTACTCACACTTTTGGGGTAAGCAGAACTCAGGAACACGTACATAAGTGCCCCTGCACTTTCAGGACAATTGTGTTTTGTTGTAGCTCCAATAAGGAGTTAAAGAAAGGCTTAAAGGAGGTGAAGCGTTCAATAGATGAACACCTCACAGCCATCAGAGGTAGAACAGACCCTAAAAAATCCCATTTTTCTGCTTCCTTCAGTCAAGCAGTGAATAGCCCCACAATCCTCACATTTTGCAGACAGATGGAGGAGGCCGGCTGGTTTAAGAAAGCTCTAAGACAGCTGAACTGCCCACAGAGAAGATCACAATCTTTATCCTAATGCATTTTTAGGCTGAGAAAGACTTCAATCAGCTTTCACTTGGGCCCCATTAAGACCTTGTTCACCCTCCAGTGACTCTCCTCCTGTACCAGTGGGGACTCTTTAACTGTACACGCAGTACAGCATAAGGAATTTTCCACTGTTCAAAGATGTCTCTTTTCCACCCAACTGCTGGCTCTGCCCTGCAGACATAGCATTTTCACATGCCAAGCCAGAACACTTCCACCAGCAAAACTTCGAAATGCAGGATGGGACCAGTGCAGAACAATTCTGACACAGGACCAGCTCCCAGTCTGGCAGTGAGTCAGTCCTGGTTTCCCAAATCAGGAAATCTCAGGGGAGAATCTGCTTTTTACACCATCTACCCATTCCTGGAGTCTCATGGTCAGGAGGGTCTCAGCCAACAACCCTCTACTTGGGGCTGCAGCGGGGAAGAAACTCTCAGGGATGCAGTTATGTGACATTCAGAGGAGACCAGACCTCTCCTCTCCGTACAGCCCACATCATCATAAGCACCCAAATCAACTTTTCATAGTGCCTCTCAGCCTTTCCCACATCAGGTTGAGACACCTTGGCCCAGGGAAACTCAGAGAAAAAAGCAAAAAAGTAGTAATGGCAGGGAGGAAAAAAATTCCATCCTTCTCCCTTTCCCTATCCATCACACCACCAGCATTCCTGAATTCAAAGTCAAAAGGCAGCTTTCACCAAGAGCCTCTGAAAACAAGCTTTCAGTTCAGACAGCTGGAGGAATGTCACTTCACTGGTCAGTTAATATATTGCCCTCCAGAAAAGGTTTCATCATTTCAGGTAACCAGAGAGAAAAATCCGTCAGTTCAGATCCTCTCTCACAAGACCACCGGACTGTGGCAGGTCTGCTCTGAGCAGAAAGCTTTGCTGAATTGTCCCTCTGTGGTGCACAGGAATGCTGGTCAGAAAAGAGGGGGGTCACCTCACAAAGGAGGTGGATACACTGTCAAGCTGCAGAGACTGTCCTTAAAAACAGAACTTACAGCCAAGTAAGCAGTGCTATACCCTGAGTTAGCCACCGTTTTTTCGTTCCATCTCTGTCAAAACAAGCTAGCATCATTAACAGCAACTTTTCATAAAGGCTTTGCATATAATAAGCAATGGCAAACTGAAATACTTTTTGCAGAGAGAAAGACAATCTTCAAGGTCCAAACTCTAAACAGACTGGAGAAGACACTGAAACAAACCCAGGCAGAACTAAGGTGTTCAGTGACATGCACCATAAGACAAAAAAAGCAGAGGCCTTGTTTCAAAGAAGCAAGCAGGGAGACCATGAACACAAGCAGTACATCCTCTGAGCTGTACTTACGGGAGGTGATGCCAGGTGGGAAGTAGAAGAGCTGCTAGAGGAACTACCAGAGCCTGAACTGGGATAAGAAGGCATTGGCACGGAAGCAGCTAAAAACAGCAAAAGACAAAAACGAAAGAAGTTGTCAAAGTAAGATCAATAAATAATAAAAAGTCTTCGTAATCTTTTCCCATCGGGTTTATCTCATGTATCAAATGTGGCCAATTAAAGAACAAAAGAAAAATTAACATTCTGTTCAGTTATATGATTCACATCCATGTACTCCTCCACGTGCTATTTCACAGTTGTAACTCACAGGGTGGAAGGTCTCAGAACATCTGACTAAGGTGGTTTCCGCCCTTAAGCATCTTTGCAAATGAAGGGAAGGATAAACACAAAAGTGGTCCGATTTACTCAGGTCAGGGACAGAGGTTAAAAACTAGATCATCACTTAGTTTCTTCTTCATCAGACCCTGTGGCTCAGCACACTGACATCAAACGTCGGGAGGTCTGTGCTCAGTTAAACACATGCCTACTCAAGCCCTATGCGCTTGCTGCCCAGTCAGTCACTTGGGCATCCCAGGCTATAAAAATAAATCCAAAAACCCACAGAACAAAACATTCCACAAGGAAACAGCTCATTACTTCTTATACCTTAACACGTTCTCCCTCGGTCACTTCTGCAAGTCAAAGAGGTTTTGCTTATTTAATCTCTTTGTACAGAAATTGTTCCACAGCACAGGCTATTCTCGCATCCCTTCCTTTCATGTTTTATTGTTTAATATCAGAACTGCCCATTTTATTCACTTCATTGTTGAACTGGCTTTTCTAACTCCCAGAGAAGCACAAAGCTCACACTGAAAGGACTAGTTAGCATTGACCTTCAGGCAGAAAAGATGATTAAGGCAACACAGGAGAAAAGAATATTTAACTCCAACAACTTATGCAAGTGAGGTTCAGTAAATAACTTCCAAGAGCTTAGCTAAGCTCATGAGAGGGACAAGTCAAAGGTAACACCAGCTCTTTAAAGGACTTTGAAGTATTTAGTGGTTCAAATTCCCTAGTCCATCCGCCCAAGAGTGAACAGTGCGGAAGAGTCCCAACATCCCCACTTGAAGGTAGCTTGAAGTCAGCTTTTACTCTGCAACCATTTTGGTATTTAAATGACTTCAGACAGATCAGAGGAGATGCTAAAATGAGGAGAAGAACACTTTGCTTCTGTGCCATTGTGCTGGCAGAGAATGGCAACTTGTATCAGGTTTCTACCTTTACAGGATCTGTGCTAATGACTCCACACTTAGTACAAGGAAGGTTAATAAGACCCAGAAGAAGAATGCTTATGTTTGAAGTAAAACTACCTCTGTCATTAATCACATTAGACACTACAAAGTACTTACTCTATTCAACTGGCTAGAAAAATAAAAGTACATCTCTCCGCAATTAACTGTTGAAACTGTTTTAATGATAAAAGAATGAGAAAATATGCTTTTTAATAAAAGGCTTTAAGAAGTCCTTCTATGAAGCCTATCAAAGAAGGTTAAAAGATGACTGAGTCAGTGTCTCCTAGCACAGAGAGCAATCACTTAGACGCTGAATTGCTCAGTCTGACAGATGTAACAAGATCCAACAACAGGAAAATGAAGCCAAAGAAGCATAAAATTAAAATATACATTTTCACATAAGTAATCGACCACTGTGACAGTTTAACCAGGGTCACAGCGACCTTCTCCACCCTTTGCTAATATTAACAGAACCCAAATGTTTTTCTGGAGAGGTTAAGTTATGCTGCTAATAGAGACTGGCAGAGCAGAGTCCCGGGGCTCATGGAATAGGCAGCCCCAGGGGGATGGCTGCGTGGGGCCGGAGCAGTGGCACACGCCGCTGCCTTCCCCTCCTGCTGGGCCACACTCACTCTACCAGCACTGTGAGGGTTGGCTCCATAACAAAATAAATTTTTCCAAAGCTTTGCAAGAGCCCGTTTTTTATCCTCTGCACTACTACTCCTCTATTCTATGCTTGATTTTGTGCCCTTGATGGACTGTGCTGTTAAGAGGCACCGCCCTGGCTCTGGTAAAGGAACAGGAACCGTGGTCCCCTGAAGGTGGATGTTCTGGGAGGTTGGTCAGGGCATGGAGAGCTCCACCACCTGCACCCCATGAGCTCTTCCAGCAGTGCTGGTTCACTCTCCACACTCTGGGAACACACAGAGCAGTCAGAGAACTGGCCTGTCAAAGGGAGAGCTCTGTCCTGCCTACCCTGCACAGCTTCCATCTGCCCACAGAGCCATCCCCACCACCTTCCCTGGATACATAACACCAAAAATCTGAGCAAGGGGAAAAAACCCATTTTTATCCTGCTGTTACAGAACAATTCACCCTTGTGCAGACAGACCTTCCCATTACAGAAAAGTACTTTTAAGAAAACGTGATTTCTGAACTGTATCCACACATGCCTGCTGCAAGATTTCTCATCGCCATTCATTTTTACTGGAATTGGTATTTTTGTTAGAGTCATTTGAGTGCTCTCTCAAGGTCTCCTCCACTCTATATTTTGGTTCTGTGTTCATTATTGATTTAAACCTGGCTGGAATTGAGACTTTTCTATTTTTGGCTATTTGTTTTGAACAGTTTTCTATTAACCTAGAAAGGGAGACAAGCAAGCAGACTTTGCCACTATCATCTGAAACTCAAGTTAAAACTATCTGTATGAAGCACACCATTATATACAGACTCTATTAATCATGTTCTAATTTAAAACCCTATAAACTCCCAAAATTCACACTGTAACGCTGTGAGGTCCAACTCAAAAGGTCCTGACGCTAAAAACAGACTTTCATGCATGTAGAACCATGAGGTTTGGCTCTGACAAACCCTCTCTGACCACCAGATCCCTGTTGGTGCATTTTTCAGCGTCAGCCACATAGGGCAGCATGAAAGCAAGACGCTTCCTCCATCTCCTCCACACACCCCGGCACTCCCAGTTTAAAATTAAAAAGGGTGCAAATGCTTGGCTCATCATGTTTTCAGCTCAAGTCTGAATGCGGGGAATGTTAACATGGACTGTCAGCCCCCACCCAAATCCAGAAATTGCTGGATTGTAATTGTAATGTAAATAACTCTGTTTTCATAATTGTCCTCTCCAACTTGTTCCAGCAGCAAAACAGTCATCCTGTACGTTGTGTAACCAATGCCAACTGGTTTCAAAATGGGAGAGCTGGGAGCCATAAAGGCAAGCCCGTGCTCCAGCTGTGTGGATCTTGATACTGGATCCCACACCTGCAAAAATCACTTCTGACAAATCATCCTACCAGGGGCTCGGTTGTACTAAAAATACCCAAACCTCAAGCTTTATATAAAACCTTATATGGAATCTGAGTTTCACACATGCTGGAGAGATGCATTTTTGTGATTATCTGGGTTCAATTAAAACCAGTCATCAAAAAGTTACTTAATTGCAGCCTCTGACAATGCAATAGCTTGAGTGCAAAAACTGAAAGGACTTGCCTAAAGAATAAGTTGGTTTTTAGAGTTAAAGAATTTGCACCATTAAAATCGTTTATGTGCAGAGGCCATGCTGATTTTTTGCTAGTTTTTATCTGAGTATTTTATGTACCAGAAGATTATAAAGATAGTCAAATTCAAGTTAAGCCTGACAGATGTTCCACACTTCTGAACCATAACCGCTCACCTTCCATGCTCTCTGAACTCAGAGTAAAGGAGGCACCAGCTTGCAATTCATTAAAGGCAGGAGCAAAAAAACCTCCAAAATACCCTGCATGGGTACCAATTACTATGTGTTTACTGAGAGAAGACTTGCACAAGCATCTAATTATGCCTTCTCATGCATGATTACTGTAACACTGCCCCATACCATATGCTGATCAGACCTGGCTACAGACAGACGACATTCTGACTAGACACAGTATTTTAAAGACTTTATTCATAAATATTTTTTTTTATACATCTGAAGTACATGCTCAGCCACAGGTACAAAAGCCACAATATAAAATAAAATATAAATAAACAAAAAAGAAAATACATGTTTTAGTTAACAAAGCCCAAGGCCCTGACCCCAGTCTCCAGGCTGCAGCCTTTGTGGTACCCCATGGCCAGCAGCAGGCTCAGTCCTCCCTCCACTACAGGAGTGAGATGAGAGGAGGGACATGAGAACAACCATCCCTCGAAACCACACTGGAGAGGATGAGCTTCTCAGAAATGTTGTATTTAAGCATTTTTTGACAGAAATGTTGATTTTGCTGAAGTGTCTTGAACAAACATGCAGATTCATTTAAATGAGGGGGACCATCCGCCTTAGCAACTTCAAAATCACCCCTAAATGAATTATTTATTTGAGGATTCCCCAATTTCCTGGCATTCCAAAATTACGTTATGTTCAAAAAAAATTCTTTCCAATGCCATGAGATAGTATACTAACACAGATTCACACTGAATGAACAGCCACTGGCTCTCACTCTATTTTTAATCATTGTGTGACCAGCTCTGAGCCTGGGTGATGTGGCAGCTCTCCCCTTCTACCCTGCCCACCGAGGGCAGATCTGCCTGCAGGGGTACAGAGACCACCGCGCTCTGCCCAGACTGCAAAATGTTCTCAGGTAGAAAGGAAGCGCCTCACCTTAAAATTGTTTGGGACCTAAATGGATGCACAGCTGCCTTCACCTGCAGTGCAAAAGCCTCTGAATGAAAGGTGGTCCCTGAGCTTTGCTGAGGTCTCAGCGTGTTCATCACGCAACAGCTACTACTCCAACACACAGATGCTGATACAGATCATACAACAAACTACCCTAAGAGAAACTTGCACACTCAAGTGTGAATTACTTAGTCCTGCTTCCACCAAAGATAGCGGTAGCCCAATTATTAGTTCCCAAGGAAAACAAAACCATGAAGGCACACTGTTCCTCTCCTCACTTCTCCACTGCAGACCTGAGGACTCTAAATCAGTCTGAGCACAACCATCATGATTCAGATGCAGCCATATCTCTTCTTGTCTTTGATACTTCCTACAATCATGATGCTGAACCATATACTGAGATGAAGTAGCATAATAAACTTTTGGACTCATCTTAGTTGTGCATGCAAAGCCAGGGGAGCCAGCCCCTGAGCAACGACAACCTTGATAAGCCATTTATTTCAGCTAAAACTGTGCAAATGTTAAGCACGCTACCATATTAAGCGGCATTCCGTGCATCTCAGGTGAGTTTTTCTTATTGAGACCAGCATAACTCAGACCTTTGCTGACAGGCTGGCTCTTCTCTCACCTCTTCAGAAATCAAAAGGACCACCATTCCCATATGCAGCCATCCTCATCCAGGCTCTTCACTGTGCTTCATCCATCATCGCCATCTGGCAGTAGCGGAGACTGAGACTGTGGAGTCCCACCACAGCAGACTTAAGAACCACCTTCTCCACTAGTAGATTTCTGTGCGCAACTCGAAGACCTCCAGCTATGGTGAGATATTTGTCCCCTCATCTTTTCAAAACTTGTAGTGGCCTCTTCTGCCTGGAGAGGACTCCAGGCTGTGGACATCTGCCCGGAGGCGAGGACCAGCAGGGCAGCACACAAGTCTGAAGTTCGTATAGTCCTTACCTGCCTGTAAAGGTGCTCTTTTTATTGGGCCTTGACCCCATGCCATTAACTTTGGTGCAGCTGGGGGCAAAGGCTGAGCTACAGTCCCCTGCTTATAATAATGCCTCTGGTTTCTGCACAAGTGTGCACAAGTTGGAAACTGAGGCCAAGTGAGGAGAACCCCCTCCTGTTTGCAGGGTTTTTTCTGTTCCCCCGGCCAATGAAGCAATGGAACCGCCGGAGGTAAGAGATGAGCTGGTGGGCACGCAAGAACATCCCAAGAGAGTCTTCCTCTGCCCACAGGGGGATCAGACTTTGAAGGGGTTTTCCCACACGGCAGTGGCGTAGCAGGTGCTGAGAGCTGAGCTGGTTTAGGAGCAGTCCCACACAGGCAGAGTCCTTTCCTGCCTGCAGAGCAGGCCTGTTTGACAGGACTTGCCCCACATCTTGCTGGTGCAGATGGAGATAGGGGTCTGGCTGGCTTACATGCTCCCCTAAACCAGAAGAGTTTTTTCTTGCCTGCACGACGCTCACCTAAGTACACAGTTAAAATCTGTATCAGGAACAACTGAGAAGTCCTGCTCTGGAACCAGGAAAGCAAGAGGCTGTCAGGAGCGACATGGACATCAGACAAGAGGCGTCCACCCACGGCATTTCTCTTGTGTTCAGAAAGCATCAGACATGATTCCTCCAAAACTTCCAGCTGCTGCACTGGGCACCCCAAATCAGTCACCGATGACAATTCTTGGCCCTATCATTTACTGAGGAGATTAAAGGCTTGGGAGGATCCTTCCAGAAGACAACCATACACGATTCCACTAAGGCATCTCTCTTACCCACGGGACTGTTATATCCCATACACTAGAAGCAATTCTGAATTGCTTTCCACCAAAAACAAACCTCTGAATCATAGTACACATGGTTGGAAATTTTCAAGTTTTGACTCAAAAGAGGAAAGAACAAACTTTGGGCCTGCCATTTGGCACAGCCAACCTAAGGTACCACCTGGCAAGCAGGGACAGGTGTGCCAGTTTCCACCATTCACTAGCCTCAATTGTCCCACAGACATGGATGAACAGCAAGATCATGCTGCATAATCCTGTTTAGCTACAAGCATCCCCACTGGCCACGCACTTCATACAAAGCAGCTGAATAAGTTTCAAAGCTAAATTTACTTCTACTTTATGTTCCTAAATAGCCCCCTAATCATCCCTTTGAAGATAGCTCAGCAAAATCAAATACATTTTGATGGCAAAATCTGGACATGACACAGTAACAGAAGTTGAATCCCTGTCTAAATAACTAAGAAAACATAAAGCAGTCCTTTTCTTTTCTTTTGAACTAACAGCAAAGGAAGTCATGTCATGGTTCAAAAAGAGTTGTAATCAAAAACGCAACACTTACATTTTTTCATAGAGGCACTTGCATCCAAGAACGGGTGATGGAAAAATTCATCTGAAAAAAAAAATCAAGAACAGTGACTCAGTGAAAGGAAATGACTGTAAGAAGTTTACAAAGCAGTTAAAGCACAGCAAGCTATAGTATTTTACAGTGATTTTTCCATGCAATCCAGTCAACCATGGAAACGAACTGACTGCAGTTGCATATAGTAGTGGTCAAGAATGCAAAGTAGCATTATAAATGCAGGACCTACTTATAAAAAAAAAAATGATGGGAAATTATTTGGATCCAGGAATTGCTATATAAGTATGGAAAAAAAGGTGGCAGAGAAGGGAAATCAGCTGGGGCAATTACATGAATGAAGAAAGTGAAGAAAGGGAAGAGGAAAAAAAAAAAACAACAAAAAACACCTTAGCCAAAAGCACACCCAAAGGACATAAGGGTTTGTACCTTGGGACTTGTCACCAGTACTAAGGGATTTTCCTTCCCCACAGGGCATGAAAGAACATAGAAAGGTTTTGCTGCAAGCTACAACCCTGGGCTGCCAGGGAGAATACACTAAATTAATTGTTAATGCTCCTGTTTTGCAAGACCTCTTACACTCCTAGGAATGAGAATCAATTATTGGGGGCCAGATAGGGTGACTATGTCAAGACCTGGCATGGCCACCTCTGTGCATGTGCTTCAAAAGCTCCTATCAGCAAGAAGAGAGAAATCCTAAAGCACAAAGTAGCTGTAAAAGACAAAGTCCGTGGCTCATCAGGATGGCAAGTTACCCTAATTGTAGGGAACCAGGGGAGCTATATTTATCACACTGCACTGCCACTCCTTCCATAGAAGAGGAGTGATGGTCAAGAAGACTTCCACACACAGAGACAAACCCATCATGCACTGAAGACAGAAATGCATTTTCTAAAAGGCCACAACAGAACAACAGCCCAGCGCTCCCTCCCTTTCACACCAGACACAACTGCTTTCTTCACTTATTACAGGGGGATATTCTACAGATCCAGGCCAAGAAAAGCTTCTGTCCTGGCTTGCTGGAGACCCTCTACGTGTTTTCCTGTCCTCACAAGTAGCCACTCTTCCTGACTCCATCTCCGATCCACTGCAGCCCTATGCCAAGGCCTCTCCTATCACAATCGTTCAGGAGCATTAGTCACAGCCCAACACTGGTTGTTTGGTTAACTGCAGGCAGTTCAACTTGTTTTCCCAGCATGGATTTCCTGTTGCAACACCCAAGGTTTACAAACTTCTGCTTTCAGTAAACAGCTCCTCTTTGGCCAGTGTGCTTTCCAGAAAGTAGCAACTGAGTTTTTTCTTTGTCTGCTTTCTAAACTTACACAATCCCTCCCTCTCCAGCTCCTCCTTGCCACTGCCAGGCCAGGGTCCTGCAGCCAGAGCACACTGATCTGGAGCTCAGCACAAGTGAGACATGATGGAAATCTCTTGCAGGGAAAGCTGAAATCTCACAGATTAGATCTGCTGTGGATGGAGAACTTCCCTATCCTGGTGGGAGCTGCTCAGCTGCTGGGTTTCCCTACATCTTCTTCAGCCTTCTCTTCTCTTAAGAGGACACGCCAACTTGTAGAGAAAAGGATCCCACATGTGATTAAGGGCGGGCAACGATCTCAGTGCAGGCAGCTGTGCTCTAACTGTTGTCCTGAGTGAAATCAAAGTATATTATCTCAGATTTCCAAGTGTTAGACACTGACTCATGCAGTCTACTCCCAAGAGGTACAAAAACAGCTTACAGGGGGGCTAAAAAGGTTTCCCAGACTCAATTTTTGACAGTAGGATAACTGGAACCTCAAAGACATTTTCTTTGGAAGTGCACAGCAACATGATAGAAGAGCTAGAGATCCACAGCCCAGATAAAAAGATCTGCAGGGAATAATACTGAGAGGTGCTTATATCCAAGTCAGTCTGTCAGCAGCTTCAACAACTCCCTTTTCAAAAGGCTTGTTTTCTCACTTCTGCATCCTAGTAACCAGTAGTCCTTTGCATTTGGCACTTGATAATCATGATCAGCCCTAGTTAATCCACATGCTGCTTCATCCCAGTGATACTGCCCCCAGAAAGGCTTTCCCAGTATCTCTGATCTGAAAGAATAATAGAGGCTGCAAAACAATTTCTCTGCATCAACTCGCACATGCTACCAGCAGGAAACAATCCACCCAAGCAGATAAGCAACAGAAAAACAACAGAAAACAAACCCCCAAAAGACCATAATATCCATCCCTTTTGCCCCAAGCCTGACTAAAAATCAACACCCTGCAAACACAAAGCAGCACACTTCATTTTTAGGTAAAAAAGATAATGTCTGTGCAAAAAGCAGATAGCTCTATGAGTTGTTTTGATATTGCCCACTTGATAGTTAACACAAATGTGTGGGCTTTGGCCCTGCCTTGTTTCAGGAAACCCACCTGAACAGGTTTGTCGAGCACCAAACCTTACCCAAACACAGAGGCTGAGAGGCAAACTTACCCTTTCCACCAGCAGCACTGGCCCATGGAAACAAAGCTGCTCCCTGCTTTTCTCCTCTGCACTCAGAGGATACACACCACCAGGACCAACTTCCTTGGTGGGAGAGAGCATTCACATCCTGACTTTTAGCTGAGACAAGTCTAGCCTATCTTTGCCTAAGAGGAGGGGAGAGGTGGGGGGAAGATAAAGACCACAAAGTTGTTTTTAGATGACCTGGCCCATTCAAGAGCTCTAGGAAAGGTTCCATCTCTCTGCCTGCTTTCCTCTAAGGCATAGCTTCACTAGAGGTTCTTCAGGCCTTTTGCCTCAGCTAGACACATCTGGAAGAGGCTGCCAAACCCAGAACTGCCTGGCACGTAATGATTGTTCTCAGTTTAGAAGGAACTTAGACATTAGAAAAAAAGAAGAAAGAAAATCTTCATGCCAGCCAAGTCAGGAGACTGAGATGCAGGTCTACAGGGAAAGCCAAGAGACTGCCAGCTTGAGTCCTGGAAAGAATGAAGGAATCCTTTCACTGAAACCTGGAGGATGAGTGAAGGGTCTGCAAGCTGCAACGGTCTCCTGCCTTGGATCACAGCAGACCCTGAGGAAGGGAAGGTATTGACTGAATTATTCATTAAATGGGTGCAGCTTTGGGAAGGAACTACAACAGAGAAAGAACCTGGATGCAAAAGATACACGTTTTACCTGGTAGCATGCTTAACAAAATAGAAGTTCAGAGAGATTACGAAAGCAGAAGCCAGGAAAGGGAATACAAGTAAGATTTGCTGAAGGTGTGCCAAATCTCTGGGTTTACAAAACTGTACTGGAACCAGCACATATACTAAAACCCCCAAGATTACACAATCTTCCAGGCACCGGTGAAACCCAGGTGTTTGGATGGCACCAGCCAAAAGTATGGAGGTTTGTGCAATGCCGTGGCACAAAAGATGACACAGCCAGGCAGCAGAACCAAAACTGGAAGGAGGTCTTACCAAAGTCCATGCGATCCTTATGATTACGCTGCAAAAGGCCCAGCAGCAGCTGCCTCAGGTGGCTCGATGTCTCCCTGGGGATGCTAGGATTGAAAACAAAAGCAAAATAAGGGAGACTTGCAGTCTACTTAAACTGCTTTTACATATTCAGGAAGGCAACCTGCAAATGCAAACTCACTTTGTGCCTGCTGGGCTAGGAACTTAAGGTGAGCTCACTGGAGAGAGGCTGAACAGGAACATCTCTTATTTGCATCTGTTTAGCTTTTGCTCCCCATTGTCATTGTTAAGGCTACAGCTAATCTAGCTTTAGTGGCCTCTCCCATGAGCACCTGCAGATCCTTCCCTTCCACAGTGCTGCCAATGTCATCCCTCTGGTTCTCAGCTAAGTCCATTCAACATGCAATATTTTGCACACAAATAAAACATCTTCTATTTGCTCTGCTGGGAATAAGGAGGTCATTAAAATGAAGCAGTTACCAAGGGGAAGCTTCCAATTAAGACGTCGGTGGTGAAATGTATCACCAGTTACTACCATTTTATTAAGGCATTTCTTTTTCAATGCAGGTTATTTAAGACTAGCAAGTGACCTTTGTCTATTTGCTTCCTTGATATACAGCATTTATTAATTGAAGGTAACTAAGATGTGAGCAACTGCCACCCAAGCAGGCTAAAATTAGTGCAGTCATTACCCCACTTTCCAATATAGCTAGGAAGAAAATACTCTTTTCAATGGCCACTGCAGCACAGAAGATGTAGTAAATCATTGTGCTCTCCCTCACCCTACAGGCAGATGGGGAAGGGGACAGGGCAGCTCTTCACAAACCCAATAGATTGCAAGAGGCAGGGAATAAACGAAGGGATTAAGGCAGGGAAAGCGGAGTTCAGCTGTTGCATAAGTGGATTCAGCTCCGCTGACTTTCCTCCCTAACCAGAAGCCCTCTTTGGGGCTGTCACAGCCGGGCTCTGACCACAGCCAGAGCAGAGCTCTCCAAATTAAGCGTAGGTGGCTCCATCTCCTTTCAGTCTTGACTTTATTTATCACTGTTGCAGCCAGCATGGTCCCCATGGTCTGCCAGGCTTTCCCTTCTCCCCGTGCGCGGGTCAGCCGAGGTAATGGCATGAGTGCTCAGCACAGCAACTGAACTGTGGAGCCCCAGCCTGCTCGCGGCTCGCTTGGGCAGAGCTCCACTGGCCAGGCTGGCATCGCTCACCGCCCTGCAGCCAAGCCCTGCTGATGCTGGAGAAACAACCCTTCCTGTACCATTTCCACCACCTCCATCCCTGATACACACAGGGTTAAAAAAAAAAGCCTGTACCATTTCCACCACCTCCATCCCTGACACACACAGGGTTAAAAAAAAAAAAAAAAAGGGAAAAAAAAAAGAAGCCAGGACAAAAATACTGGGGGCAAAAGAGGTGCTAGCTAGCATTAACAGACTTGTTCAGTGAAACTAGAGACATGAGACAAGGTGTGTATTTATAGGTTTCAGTACTACCCAGTTATTTTTCAGTGAAGCCCTAGGCCTTGCTGGTGCAGGAATTTGAGCCCAGCAATTCCTAGAACAGAGAATGATGGCAAGCATCCCTCATCCTTGTTTGTACTGGAGGAGTCACTTTTCCATCCCTGACACTAGAACAGTTTTGTGTGCCTTCCCGGGCCAACAAAGGAAGAGGCTACCAGGACTCCAGAAGGGATGCAATTAAACTGAGACTCAGTTTGAGCCAAGAAAAAAACACCCTCTTGTCAAAAAAGGTGGGCCTTAGAAGTACACTGCGTAATGGAATAAACCAAGATACCTACCACTGCTAGCAGAGTCTCCTGAAAAATACATTAGTGCTGGAGACCTGCAGTCCTCCAGCGTTATCGTCATAATTTATTTATCCATGACACGTAAAGCTCTCATCCAAAATGGCTCTATTTCCCAGCAATAACTTTAGCTTTTGTATGGTTTTTTAAGTCAAGAAACAGGAAGGTCAAGTAGTAGACCTCAGATGTCACAACACAGACTGAAGACAGTGCAGATTAACAGCCTGTTTGCCTCCTCTTATCTCTCACGTCTTAAACATCAAGCTTTGCTGCTCTACAGTATTGTTTTCCAGGGCCATCTTTTTAAGCATAAGCAACAGAACTGCCTCCTTCCCACCGTGATCTAGAATATACTTTGCCATGCAAATCTGTACGGTGAGTGTTAGTTATTTAGATAAGCGCTATTAAAATTGTGAGGCCTTTGGGCTTGCTCCTTCTGACATGGGCTTCCCACCTCCCAATGGCATCTCACCTGCCAGCAGCAGCCTGACAGGCAGAGACTGCTGGGGAGCATTTCAGGAGCTTTTCTTCCCAACCCCATTCCCAAGCCAAAACACAGCACTTTCCTCAGCGATGCCCGGGAGGCGGGTACCAGCCTGCCCAGCCCCAAGGAGAACGAAACCAAACCCTGGCACTGCTGCAGCCTGAGGTCGTCGTCTCTGGAGTGGTTTTGTCTTTCATCCTGTGTTGCCAGGGCTGGCGGAGGCAGTTTATTCATGTTTACTCAGGAAATAGCACAGATTTCGGTTCATGTTAAAGAGACAAACTGACTTTGGAAAGCAGGGAACCGGCATTTACACAAAGACTGCTTAGGATCAGATATCTACAGCGAAAAAAAAATGCAGTGGGCTTGGACATAAGTTTTGGAAGAACTTGGTAGTTAAAAAGCAGAGGTGAGTGAAAATGGTAGATGCCAAGTGCTTACCAAGGACTCCCAACAAAGGAGAAGGACTAATCCCAACAAGAAAGGACATGCTCTCCTCTTACAGCCCAGTTTCATTTCTCCCCTTGCCTGCCTCCTACTGCACGCACCACAAGCCAAAGCAGCAGCAGGGCAACGTGATCAACACAAGGAAGCTTATTAATTGTAGGGATTAATTTCTCTCTCAGCAAGAGGGACTACCTCAAAGGCAAGCAGCCATGTTTTAAGCTGTGTAGGGGACACAGAAGCTCTACATTCTGCTTACACTGACTATTTGGCTGCAACTATGTGGCAGAATTTTTGCTTTGAGTTGTTTTGTTTGGGTGTTTTAATCCACCATGTTCCCTGGTTCAAATACAAAAGAGCATGCAGATGCCCCAAATTTATTTTTGGTAGAAATTTGCCCCTTCTGCCCAAATCAAAAAAAAGGAAGTACTTGGAAGGAAATTTAAATGCACAGCACAAGCCATTGATAAGAGCTCTAGCTTCCTTCTGCTATCTCTTGGAGCTGTCTAAACTGATAAGAGGGGGAAAAAAGGCACATACAGTAACTTAATGAACTTCCTATGTATGTGGCTGCATTAGCAGCTCTGCCAAACGGAAACTAACTTTCTGGTTAAAAAACACCTTCCAATTTTTTTTTTATGTATATACTTGGAACTTCAGTCCTATCTCTATACCAGGCTGAGGTTTTAAGAGCAGGCATGAGGTTCTGCTTTAAGAGCTCAGAGATCAAAAGGAAAGACCACAGCAACAAAACCAAAATATAGTGACAAATCACAGCGCTGAGCAGCAGCTAGATCCTTCACTAGGTAACATACACCTCGGTGGGACGAAAGCAGTTATCTTCCCCTCGGGAATTGCAGTAGTGTCCATTTCCATCGAGGTTATAAAATTTCCTGCTATTAGCAGGATGGACACAAGCAGTTGCTGTCCTGACACGTGAGAAATGGGAATGTGATCTGCCCTCAGGTATGGCAGGTTACAGGAGAGACTGCAGTTTGGCTGCTCACGTGATTCAAGAATTGCCACAACTTCTCCCCAAGGCTCCCAGCTTCAGGGAAGCCATATGTAGGATAGGACCCCACGCTGGCTCATGAAATCAGCAATGATCCTGAATTTTTGCAGTGCAGAAGAGAAGTAGTATCCGTGGAAAGAGAGAAGACCAACCCTGGCAGTCCACTGCTGTCTGACTTTCTCTTGGCCACATCACTGCTGGTTAAAGGAATGGGGGAAGGCAGGTGGCCAAATATTTTACAGTCACCTCCCTGAGTGACAAGCCAGGAGCATGCGAGGACAGGTGTAAATACAGAGTAAACAAGTGCATACAAATGGCAGCACTGGAAAAATGCTTACTTCGGCATCAGCATCTTGTTTTTCTCATAGAAGAGACGAAGATCCTGTGGGCTGCTGGCCTGTAGAGGAGAAAGAAAACCAGTGTATGAAGCAGTGGACAATGAAGGAAAGGGATTAGCATTTCTATTTCACAGTTATTCTGAAGAGCAGAGAGGCACTTTTCAATTGCTGAAGCAGCACAGACAATGAGAACCTGCAGCTTGCTTTAGACTGAAAAGCCAGCACTGTGTCAGAGTGAAAATACAGTATTTCAGCCTGCTGTTTTTTTTGTCCCTGACCTGGTTCTGTCCTGCTCCCTGCTTCCAAGGGCTGAGCTTCATTGCAGTGGGCTCTGATGCTCAGGTCTGAGCTGGCCTAATAGCCTCACCCAGGAGGCTAAATAATTGCAGACGTGAGGAGTCCCAAATGATGAATGGCAGCTCCTGCTGAGAACATGGATTAGTGCTGCAGGGCATTTAGAAGAGGGGCAGGGAGCCTGTTGATGGACAAGGGATCTGTGAGGAGACCAGGAACATGGGGAAACAGCAACTGAATTAGGATTTTCTACTTTAATTCCAGGAAGCCAGAAGGTCTCAAGCCACAGCTCCCATTTGTGCCGTAATATACACAACTGCTGGGGATGTTGACAACAAGATTCCAAATTCTGAGAGATGGGATTAAAAAAAAAAAAAAAAAAAAAAAGAGGGACTAGGCAAAACAAGAGGTTTACAGCTAAGGTTAAAAATAAATTCTCCAATATAGAAGCACAGACACATAAAAATCTCCTAATGTGATTTCTCCATTTGTTTTTATGCAATGAATAATACAGGCCAGTAAATTAACCCTAGTGTCTCAGGCTTCTCTGCTCAGGCAAAGTCTCTTTATTAAAGGCAGAGCGGGCTGGCTGGCATGACACAGACATGAAGGCACATATAAACAGGGAAGGAAGATCAGAGAGATTCATCTGCAATCAATTACTGGTGCAGCAGAGCGTGTAGGAAAGTGTGAATGAGGAGGCAACAGGCAGCCTCTCCTGATGTTCAGGGCAGGCTCAAAAAACCCTCAAGCCTTCCACCTACTTCCATTTCTAAATTAGAAGCATTTAAGGTCAATTAAGATGCTTAAAACAGCAAATCAGACAAGCCAATCTGCAGATGGCCATCAAAATACCACTAACACAGCACGGCTGGAAAAGCAGACACGTAAGATGCTGTTTCAACATCACCTATTCCCTCTGGCTGAAGATGAAAATTAAGGATAACTGTGAAAGCTCAGCACAAAACCTCAAGAGAAACCAAAGGGAGAGTCTCAAAAGCTGCTAATATCAATAGACTCCTGTAGTACTGACCAGGACAGTATTTCTCGCATAGTTTTAGCAACCCAAGCTTTGCAGCTCTCCTACAAATTTGTACCAGTAAGAGCTACTACATTCCTAAAAGAAGGATTTCCTGGTTCTCCTTTCTGCAGTAGCTTATGCTTTGCTGTTCAGACAGAGCAAGGACCCGAACAGGAGATGCAAAAATATCTTCTTCATAAACCATTAAAATGAATGTTGTTCAGCAAAGCACCTCGTTACATAGATGCCAAACTGCATCAAAATTTCCAATCACTGCCACTCAATTTGATTTGGTTCGGTAAAACTGTATTTTATTCCTTTCTCCTTGCCCTGCAGTTAGATTCTTAATATTTGGCAAACTTTAAGGAGGCAAGTGTACACACTGGCTTGGCCACACCGCCCTGCGTGATGAGAAACGCGCCTGACAGACACAGCGTACGAGGAGGAACAGAACTCCACCGCAGGGAAGTGAAGTGCTTGCTCACATCAGAGAGATACAATCCTTGGCTGTTTGCTCTGTTCATTTCCTGTCGCAACAACTCAATTGTTTCACAAATACAATGAAGCTCTGATCTATTTCAAACACTGTTTTGTCAGAAATTTTCCTGGCAATAAAGACGGAGTATATTAAAAGCAGCACACATGCAAAGCCTAGTTCATTAGAGAGGGTTTCTAAGCACTAGCTTAGACAGAAACAAATTCCTCAATAAAGTTCCCCCCCTCTTTGTACAAATTAAAGAGATATCCCTGTAGGGATGGTGTGCCTCCACATTCTGCTGTCTCAATACAATTCCCACTTGTTCTGCAAGGACTGCATCCAGGGTGCCAGGCTCCTGCCCACCCAGACCACGCATCCTCACTAGGGCTGGTCCCAGGAGCCCACAATTCAAGGCTGGCTCTGATATAGGTAGCTGCCTGCTGGGGAATAGGCTCATTTTAGTAAGTGCCCAGGACAGACAACTGTGCATAACCATTCATTTGGCAAAACCAGCTGCTTCTTCATGTAACTTCATTATTAATCAACTGGGTCACACAGGTCTGCTCCTTGTAGCAGGCTCTCAGACCTGCAGTAACATGCTTGCTGCTCTCCTGCCCTTAGCATCCATTTCATAAAGCACTGGTACCATCAGCCTCTTTGCTCACCTCTTCTTTTAATAAATAGTGCTTCTCTGAGAATCATGGAAAAAAAAAAATGCAGAAGTGTTTGTAAGACACTAAAAATGCTGTATGAATTCCTTCTAGGAAGCTAAGAACTTAATTTGAAATCCACCTTTCAGGCAGATACACCCTACCCAAGAAAAACAGCAGAAAGTACATTTCAGGTACCTAACAACTAGATCATTCAAGATGCACTGAGCCAGCTGCTACCTGTAGGACAGCATCCATCTGCCAGAAACAGGGATGCAGAATGGACAGCTCAGTTTTCCCCAAGACCAGGAGAGGGACCAGCAGGCCAATTCACACCCTTGTTCCCCCTCTCATGTTACTATGGAGCAGCTGCATTAGAGTAATTGGCTCTGTTCTTGTCTGTCCTTTCTATATATAAAGACAATCGGACAAATTCATTCCTGCCACCCTGTTACTTTGTCCTCAGCAGCAGTGGAAATATGTTGAGCCAACAAAGGCATCCAGAGTAACCCTGCCAAATCCCACTTGGTGCTGGCTGCCTGCAAGTGAATTGCACGCGAAGAGCACGCAGGGTGGTGTTTCCAAAAGCACTCAGCACTGGATTTGTCATGCTTGAGCAAAGGCTGGATGCAAAAGCCCAGCACTCAGTCAGAAGAGCTCCAGAGACATTCACACCCTCAGTGAACAGCACTGTCAACACTTCACAGCAGGTGTGTGGTATCTGTTCTTTTCTCTGAATCCTTTCCTCTGGGATTCCTGGGGATTTGGAGGTGCAGAAAGGGGATTCAGATACGTTAGAAAGAAAAGAGAAATAAGTAATGATGTTTCCAGCTTTACAGTTCTAGAGAAAAGCTCTAAATCTGCTGCAAATACCTCCTGCTTGTGCAGTCTTACAGTTGATATTTTAAGACTCCCACAACTAAGTGGCTGGGAGATCCTGAAAGCACAACAACCAGAAAAAAACCCAAAACAAACCACAAACCTTTTCCTCTACTCCCAACAGATCAGGATCAGGCCCACAAACACTGGGCCAAAAGCCAATGACTCGCTGTCTACAGCAACAAGTCAATCACTGCATCCAACTTCAGCAGAGTAACCTACCCTCACCAGGAATACCTGTCCCCATTGACAGAGAACATCTCCAGAGGAACAGCTTTGGGCACGTAAGAGCAGCCTGCCTAACAAATAAATCAGGAGTTCAAATTCTGGGAATAAAATCCTCCCTTTCCTCATTTTCCTCAAGGCCCATTTCACAGCAGTTGTAAGTGACACATAATCCTAGTGCTTATGCAGGCAGAATTAACCCAGAAATAAAGCAGTGGACTTGGTACACCAGGCTTAGAAATTAATTTTTCACCTAGCAGTTAGCTGGGATGGGAACATAGCAGGCGGGTTGGTTAACTCCTTCAGAGCCGCCAGAACAGGCTGCAGAACTTGCATTACCTCTCCTGCTGCTTCCCTGCTCCCAGGCTCCCTCTCCCACAGACGCAGGGCACCATGTCCACAAAGCAGCCAGAAGATCCACGCAAAGGCTCAAACAGCAACCAAGTTTTGTGGTCCTTGGAAGGAACTGATGTCCAAATGGACCTGTGCCACTGCCAGAGACAGCTCTGACACAAAGAGCATGAGCTTGGCCGTGTGCCTGCTTACCACGAGCTGCCCAGTCTTTAAAGGGGTCACACAACAAAATCTCCCACACACCTCCAAAAAAAAAAAATACTCTAATTGTATTTAAAACATCATCTGTGAAGGACCAGGTTGTTTTTTGAAGGTATTTTAGACCTTGTGTAAATCTGTCTCCAGTTCTGCTTCTGGTTGTCGCTTGCCTACTCAGCCCACATCACCCCATGATGGGCACTGGGTCCCCATCTTTTCAGCTCAGGTAGGACAAGGGAAAACCCTTACACTCTTGAGGCTTCTCTGAGCACCAGTCAGCAAGACCAGGAAATACACTGCTCAAGTCCTGTCCTCAGCCACAGAAATGAAGAGATGTGAGTGCAGACCACTTATTAGGCAAGGCAAATTAACAATTCCACATTAATACAGTGCTCAGCAAATCTGTTTATGGGGATTATGAATCCCATTAATCTCATCCCTATGACAGTCTCACAGTTTTGTTTATGGGCATGTTTAATACAAAAAGCTCCTTAAGACAGCTTCACCAGCCATCCTACCAACTGTCCACATCTGAGCATCAGCAGCTTCTTGTCTGTGTGCAGTAAGGCACGGAAGACACAGAATGGCTCTGGGAAGTTGCCTTGGGTGACCCAGCTATAGTTAATTTCAACTTTGAGACAGCTAGAAATCACAGTCATGCACATACATGCATCTCTGCCTTGATTTACAAGCACTTTCTGGATTGACAGCTGCCTCAGCCTTTCCACACATTGGATCTTTTCTCCATCCAGCCCCCGAAGCCCTATTATATTTTTAGGCAGCTCATTCCTCCTCACTGCAGATAACGCTGGAATCCTCCTGGTTTGCATCCCCATGAAGGTGCCTAATTGGCTCGTGCAACAAACAGCCAGAGCACCCAAATGCAGATGTTTTTAATGCCACTGTGCTCCAGTTTCCCATGGGAATCTCAGCCGGGCAGAGGTGAGGGGCTGCCCTTGCCAGTCTGTGAGGGAAGGCACGCTGAGGATTTAGCCTGAAGATGTTAATGTCAGAAATCCAGTTCCTGGCTTCCCTGCACAACTGGGTCTGCTGGTGCCGCTGTGTGGAATCAGCCTGTCTCCTCCTCACCCATTTGTAGATGTCCCTCCCAGAAGGACTCATTGCTATTCACAGTCTCCCCATCACCTACCTCCACCATCCCTCTCTCCTCATAAAAGCCCTGTAAACAATAGCTTCTGCCCGCTCAGCGACCATCAGCAAATTCTTACACCACAGTCACCCCGACAAAGAAATAAAGCCAGTTAACCTTTAACTAGCTTTCCAACATCTGCCCTGGACAGGCTTCTTTCACCTGAAACTCGCAGCCAGGAGAAGGCAATTTGTGACACACATGGTCAAACAAATAAGTGGTGCACAGAGAGCCATCTGGGCTGAGCTCTCCTCTCTCCCTGATCAAACAAATCCACAGCTGCTACTACAGTAACACATGGGGCCTGGCATTTTCCTTCAAAATACAAACCCTGAAAGAGGAAAGGGTGTGGGGAAAAATTAAAATAGGGAAACAAATGACCCCCATCCCCCATCCAACATATGCTGGATGTATATGGGAAGAGAGGAGTCACCCAGTTAGGCAAGCACAAAACAAGGATCAGGACTTGCTGGGCAGGGACTGAAATGTCCCTTCCTTGCCCACCACAAGACAGGGTATTTCCAAGCCTCAGGCAGAGGGACACAGGCATAGGGGACTGCTGTCACCTCTGTGTGAGCTGGAGGACACATGTACAGGCAGGGAGCTGATGACTTTCTGAACACCTGCCCTTTCCAAACCTTGGCTGGAGAGCAGAATGAAGCTACCTAGCACTCAGTTTTATTTCCCCTGAAAGGTCTTCTCTGTAAGGACAAATGTTTTCAGAAGAACATTTCTGTGACATGCTTCAATGACCAATGACAAAAGCCACCTAATTCCTTTCAAAGAAATCAGATCCCCGAAGGTTGTGTGTGAGCTACTAAGCTAAGAATGATGAAGTCACCATGTTAAATGATAACTAAATCATTTGAATGAATGCAGCATCAAGGTGCCTTTAGAGACTAAAAGGCACCAAGTTCCAAGACAGAACGAGTGCAAGGCTCTCCTATGCACACAGAGTCAAAGCTGCCTTTCTCCACCCCCACGTCTTTTTCCTTAATGCATAAATATTTATTTTCTTTTATCCCAACAGTCATTTTCTCCTCTCAAACAAAGATACCAACACTGACAACAAGTGGATGCAGTCAGTAAAGATGAGCAATTCAGGAGTTTCAGTGTACTTCGTAGAGGTGTTTATAAAAAAAGAAAAATGCAAAGGAAATGAAGTCTTGCTCTAAATACAGAGCAAACTGGTGGACAGAATATAAAGCACTGGAATGGAAGATTCTTACAGCAGCAGGGAAAAAATTACCCTGAAGGAGAAAAGTGTTCTTGGCTCTAGACAAAACCAAAACATACCATTAGTTTACTTCTGTATTTGCCCACTTTTTCCTGCAGCACATTCAGAATTCACTTTATCCTTCCCAATGATGTAACTGCACAAACATTCAAGGTCTTGTGTGAAATTCTAAAGAGCTGTGGAACTCAAGCTCAGAAAATCCAACAGTTCATAAAATTAGCCTTGTTACATGAGCATAAATTCCACCCCACCCCCAACTGACTTCTGTTTTGTTTGGGTTGTTTGCTTCTGGTTGTTTGGTTTTGGGTTTGTTTTTTTGTTAGGGAGTCAGGGCAAAGATACCAGGACATGAGAAAAGAGGGCCGCAGTTCACATTTGCCCTAAAAAGATCTAAGCAGCTGAAGAGTTGGCATCAGCTGACACATCAATATGTAAATTTGAGGTTTGGTCTTTTCCCATGGATTAGAGACAAGCTCTACAGAGCTCACACATCAGAGAAGCAAAGAAGTAGCAGCAACTCAAGCATTTTTCTGCCATGCTGCAAGACGGAAAGGAAAAAATCCTGACAAGTACAGTACTTTAAGATAGTTGTTGCAAGGGAGAGTCTGCAGATTTCATTCAGCACAGAAGAGTAATACGCAGTGTATCACACCAATGACTGGGAACAAGAAAATGCACTGAGTCTAGATGAACTCCAGCTATATATAAGCTTAAAAATGTGTGAAGTAATCCTGAAAGCAACTTACATAAAAGCTGTGATGAGTTCTCCATACTTCAAAAAATTAAAATCAGATAATACCTTTCACAAAAGATATGCTCTAGCTCATCCAGAAGTTATGGCATAAATTACAGGGTGGAGTTTTACTGGACTGTGTTATATTTGGAGAGGTTTGGACTTGATGAACATAAACATTTCAGGAAGGGATTGCTGTGAGATGACAGATAAGATCCTTTTGATAAGGTCCTACTTAACTGCTCTAAAAACAAATCAATTTAGCTGCAGCACACCAGTTACCACCAAATCATCCTGAACATTAACTTGCAATTACAATCTTCCTTATTGTCTTTCCATACCCAACAAAATTATAAATTATACACTGAATACAGTTGCAAATAGAAACTGATTTTTTTTTAAGTGTGGGGCTGGAAAAATCCCTCTGCTCTAACTGATTCATTGTAATTTTCTGAAGAGATGGCCCTTCCTAAGGATTTATAATCAGGAAATGCATTTCACTAAGACATAGTCCAAAGAAGGAGAATCATATTTAGTAACATTTCCAGCATTCCAGCATATAAAGCACCACATTGTCAAGGTGTTGTACAGCCAGACCTCTATGAGGCTGGATCTATAGGAATTAGTATTATAGATGACAGAAGCCTAAGAGTAAGCAGATTAAAAGGAAAAAAAAAAAAAAGGCAAGAAAGAGTCAGAAACATTAGATCTAAGCTACTCACCTGAAAAGGAGCCTTTCCTGTCAAACACTGATAAATGATGGTTCCTATACTCCAGAGGTCAGCTTTGGCATCGTAGTGTTGAGACATAATGACTTCTGGTGCCTTTTTGGGGAAAGAACAGAAATCTGTTTTACAAAACAAGATGTAGCTTTGGGGCCTTTTTTGGCAGGTGCAAGAAACAGAAGTCAGTATTAGGCTTTAAAAACCCCTGAGCTAGAGTCCCCAGTAACCATGAAAGGTTTGCTCCCAAGAAGACTGTTAACACTACCTTGAAAGGGCCAATTCCCCTGTCTAAGTGGGGGAAGCAGAGACTTTCACTCAGTCAGACAAAAAAAGCTGTTTTGCTACTTTGGGCAAATTCAGTACTTTCCCTTCTTAGTGTACCATTTTCTGCTCAATCCACCTGTGCTCAGAAACAGCCCCACTGAAATTTCACAGACAGATCTTCTAAAGTAACAGGTAAAAGCAAAGGCTCACACCACACAGGTAACCTTGAGTCTCCATCCTGATCTGCATCACTTGGGCACTTTCCTCATTTAGCCTAAGATGGCAGTATATTAATTATGCTCCAAAGCCTGTTCCTGCTGCCAAGGTCACAGTTTGGGTTCAAAGACAGATCTGTGCATTTCAGTTCAACAGCTTGAGCCCTTCTGTCCCTCAGACTCTAGTTTCTAATGTCACACTGTGCCCTTGGTTGCTCCCTTCCAGGCTAGTTGCAGAAGCTGGAGATGGTGTGAGTCCACAAAGCTCTGTGGCTCAGGAGGCAGTGTGCCTCCGAAGTGGCAGCAGAAGAGGGACAGAAGGGCAGGCTTGCTAATCCCACATGTTTATAACAGATTTCATCGCAATGCTGCCAGCATGGAACAGGATCAATTTTCTAGCTCTGTGAGAAGTAAAGGCCACATGTAACAGAAAAAAAATGGCAGCAAACAAGTGGACAGGAGCTCAGTCTGTCCCTAAGGGAAACAGGCATGACACCAAACACAGCCAAGGAAACAGGACAAGAACTGCACCAAGGAGGTTTCAAGTCTCACATGACATGGATCATATCAGGGTTCAGACAGAAAGCTCATCCTGGTGTGGGTAAAATACCTTTCCTTTTTAAAAGGGCAATACGAAAAGAGCAGCAATGGGCTATGAGCTGAAGCAGGGAATAAGGGCCTGCCTGGCCAGCAGATGTTCCCAGGGCGACCACACAAGATCCACAATAGCAGTAGGGATAGACTTTAAAGGCCCCCTAAATCCCAACTGAACCCTCCCCTCCTCATCTTCCTTCAAACTCATCAGTAAACAGAGGACAATATGAAACATTTTGAGATTCTTTGTAATGTCCAGAGTTGTTTAAAATAAAAAAATCAAATAGAAAAAGGCCAACAGTAGGTTCCTCCAGTCCTTTCAAAAAATAAGCTGGGTGTTTTCATTTACTTTCACAAGACACTCAGAAAGAAAAAGTATCTCTAAAAATAGACAATTCAGGAAACTCTCACAGGAGAAAAAGATTACATCATCTTCACATATAGCATAGTTCAAATAAACATCAGGCTTCAAAAAAAGGGAGAGAGAGGAAGTCTGTTTTTCTTGAGTTAGTACTGTGAAACAGACTACCAAACCCATTACCCCTGAGCAGCACAGCCCAGCCCAGCCCAGCCTAACTCTGCCCAAAGAACACAGACAAAAAAAAAGAAAAGCTTAGAACAGATTAGACCATGTTCGAAATCAGGTGTCTACTACCCCCAAGGCACTTGTAAAAAAAATTAAACCTAAATTGATCCACATCATCTTTTTTACTTTGAGCTCAGACACCCACATCCCCAAGAACTACCACATGGCTGGCTTTGACATTTTTATTTCTGGCCTGGTTTTGTCACTTTTAATTTCACTGACTTGATGTGACATTGAGACCTTGACTGCTACCAGAAGTACAAATAAAGGAGCACCTCTTCACATCCTGGTCCCAGAGTGGAAAGTACAAGGGGAGTGAAAGGGATCAGTTTGGGGTTTTTTTTGTAAACACATCTGTTTCACTAGCTAAGAAGTCATGGAAGCAGCTGGTTTGGTGAAAGAATTAGTGGTGGGAGGAGGGTTAGGAAGTGGGAATGCACAAGACATAAATTGCAAACAGAAGCAGGTGAGCTCTATTTACACCCATCTGCTGAGCTGCACAGCACAGTGATCTTAAGAGTATGTCAGCAAAAATGGCAAAATCTCTGCCTGCATAGGTCCATAGGTCTGAAGGGATTTTGCGAGACCAAAGAGCAGTTGGAGATTTTACAAAATTGCTGTTAAAAAGGGACCTTGTTCCTGATGCTGTGGCCTTAGCAAAAATGACCGCAAAGCCCGAGGTGACAGCAGGCTTGTGGAACCACTCTGTCTCAAAAGGGCCTGCTGAAGCAGTGATTTACTAAGGCTCCTCTCCAAGGAGGCAACACCTCAAATATAGCCAGATGTGTGAAATATCATCCAAGCCCTCGCTCTCTCTTGCTGTTTCTTTTCCTCTTTGCTGGCAGCAGAGGAAATAGATTTAATTTCCCAATGCCTTCAGCAGAGAGGCCCTGGTCCCCTCTGGACGATGCACTTTCCGGGAGCAGAGAGCAATCAATACTCTGTTTTGTTCCATTTTTATTTATCAACAGTTCACCAGAAAGTTAGATGACAACATAGGCACCTGTTGTCCAACATTACCAGCAGCTAGAACTTTATGAAGTTTCCCTGTGTAATAGCTGGTTTCTGACAAGTAAATAAAATTTCACCTTTGGGGGAAAGACTAGCAAAAAACCAAAGCCTCTTTTCCGGAGGGCAGAGCAAGACAATACAGAAAAACCTGAAGCAAAAGACACTTACCATGTACATCGGTGAACCACACAGTGTTGCTGCCATCATGTTATTCTGCAGGTATCGGGCAAACCCAAAGTCAGCTAGGAAGAGAGAGAGGTAGGTCAGGATCAGACACCAGTTGTAGAGAGCCTGCACCTTCCTCGGTTGAATCTCTCTACTTTCCCTTCACTTGCTGGGAAGATTCACAGGAAGTGAAGTACCTCATCGTAGTAAGACTTTGATAGCTCTCTTCTCGAGCAGTAACATCCTTGTTCTAGCTACTAATGCACATTACAGGCACTAGAAGAGGACAAACCAAGCCACAACACCAAGAAGTATTCAGAAGAACAAACTCCCATCCATTTTTCAGAGATTAACAGCCACTTCCTGATGTACCCATTTGCCGGCACTCCACAATGTCAGCTGCTGGGAGCTGGTAAAGCTCTCTTGACTTCAGTGAGAGCGTGCCAGTTCACACCAGCTAGTTCAGCTGCTGCTACCTCAACTTTTAATTTGGGGAACTAAAAGTTCCCCCCCACTAAAAAGGCTGCAGGGTAACAGGCATCCAGGAGAAATCACTGCTCACCACCACCCACGATTCTAGACCAACCCTACTGAAAATCTTGCTCTGTTCATTTAGAAGAGTTTCAAAGGTGCTAACCCCAGCAGGAAGACAGAAAGCTGAGCCATAGTTCACCTGGTGGCTAGAAAAGCCAGGGACAGGGAATACCAAGATGAATTTGCAGGTTACTCAGCATCTAATCATATGATACTTAGAGGTTCTCTCAAGGTTACTAGATATTTCAAGCTAGGAGATTGACACAGCTGTTTACACTGTCATGTGTCACTAAGAAACTGGTACAGCTACTTCCTGGACCATGTACTTCTCAGGGAAGCAGGACAGAGGGGTTACAGGGTACATCATACCAAGAACAGCCATGCCCATAGCTCTCCTGCCTCTGTGGCTCCCTGTCGCTTCTACCTTCAGGTAACTCTGCACTTCACAAAAATCACTTAATCCAAGTGGGCAGCAATGCTTCAAACTTTTCCACTGCACCCCATTTCAGTTTTATCTAATTTGTGTCAGCTTCAGCTCATGAAGTGTAACATAATCCCAAGTCATGGATATCACCCTCAGTGTTGAGGGTAGTGCCATCCAGTACTCATTTCTGAGGGGCCACAGGGAATACATGTGCTCTGTAACTGGATTACTGGAACATTTGTCCCAACTACTGGTCTATCAGTGCCACATGCCTACTGTGCAAAAAGTAAATTTCTTCAGGATGCAGCCAAGAAGCCTGCCTCTAATTGGGACTGTGGAAACACCTGCTTTCAGGTGTGTCTGACTCCCACTGTGCTCTCTGAGGCCAGCCAGGGGAGCAGCTAGTTTCAGGCCCTAAGATGCCAAGATTTACCTCAATTCTATTAAAAGCTGAAGACAGAAGTCACAGTGGCTGCTCATTTATTGGTAAACCTGTAGATTACAAGCCAAGTAGGGCAGGGTGGTATTTATTTTTACCAAGGGAGGCACCGTTCAGCTTGGAAGCGGAGCAAGGCCTGCCCAGTTTCTTCTGGGTTGGTTTGTGTTCTGACAGAGCAGAAAGCTCTTGCTCCTACTGCTTGGAGCCAACTAATGGTTGTGTCTAGCACAGGAACTAAGATGAAAAACATGAGGGCATTTTAAAAAGTGCAGCATTTCTTTCCTCTCCCTAGACAGTTCCCCAAAGGAGGGCTGAGGCCTGCCACGTATCCATCACCAAACTCCCGAGAGTGCTCACGGAGACATCTGTAGAGTGGTCTTACCAATCTTTATACGAATGTTGTTGGGATTTGATTTCCTGCCTCCCGCGTAGGAAAGAAGGATATTCTGTGGTTTCAGGTCCCGATGGATGATGCCTTTGCTATGCAGCATTTTCATGGCACCTGCTATCTGCTGGAGAAAGAGCCTGATGGTGTCTTCACTGAGTGTCCGCATAGCTAGGGAGGAGGGAAAAATAACCACAGATGAAAAAATTACAATGCCAGTTCTCTGAAGAGCCCAGAGGGCAGACTGTCCACAGCAATTAGCCATAATTTGGCATTTTTACTTCCACGTATGGTGTTTTTTCTACACATGCTATTTCTGGATGATTCCTACAGGCAACAAGGGAGAGTGTTTTTTATTCCCAGCTTATTCTGTGGTCAGGGCTGTTCTTACTCCCGAGCCTCTCATGGTGAGCTCAGACTAGTGGCGGGAGCTAAATCTGGGTAATCAACTGGGTCCAAAAAGTGACATTTGGTGAGGTTTAGGGTGTTCCTCAGCAAGAGCTGCCGGCGAGCTCTAGGCATGCACTAACCAGGGCCTGTGGTCACTACTTTTGAGCTATAGTCAAGAAATTCAGAACTTTATCACACAGACTACATGTAAACCTGGAGCTAAGAGGAAGACAGTTAGGATTAGGCTTTACATCTGTAGGAATCATTAAGGCTCAGTAGGTTCAGAGTGAGTTATGGTTCACAACCAGCAGGGATCTGTAACTTCAGGGTACAAGTCCAAGTCCAGACGCAGGCCTTGTGCATCAACACCCACTAACCAAACCATCACTCTAACCCCAAACTCAGTGTTAGGGTGAACCACAGCCCAATACCTAACAACAGACTCCTACCAGATGGCCACTGCAAACTGCTATCTGACATCCTCTATCTTGCATCCGTAGATAGGAAAGAGCAGCAAAACCATCTCAGAATGCTTTTATAAGCAACTTTTTAAAAAAAAAAATTAGTAACCAAAATCCGCAAATATGGAAGCTCTGAACTGCACTCTCCTAAGATACAGACTTCCCAAGAAGAGTGGTGTGAAAATAAACACTGAAGGGATTAAAATAATGTTCAACTGGCTCTCCTAATCAGAGCGATATGACATTAGCTCTCGTTATTTTAAGAGCTGTATGTATGAAACTCTTGCCAAAGCTGGGAGCAGCCCGCTGAACAAACCCCAGGACCAACAGCGCTGGTTGGCCTGAGCAAGTCAGGCTTAAAGCAAGCACCATTCCACTTGAATAAAATAACGTCTTTTGTAGAAGATCTCTGTAAATTACTTGGGGATTCATTAGTGTTTTTCCAGCTGTTCTCTAGTAGGACATTAAAACAAGCTGGCAGGAGCTTCACAATGCTACTCTACCTAGTCAGCTAGAAGGGAGGAATCCTTATGAAAACACAGATGAGGTTGCATAGAGCTTTAACACAACCCAGGAAATTAAAATCTAACTTTTAAAATACATACATGGGAAACAGCAAGGGACACAGATAAGTTAAACAGCACTTAGAATAGAAAATAAACTCTCACCACTCCCAAACCTTGCCGGTCTAGGAGGTGACACAAGCAGAGCTAAAATGTCACTAGGGCTATCAACTGGTCCTGGACTCATACACGTGAGACCAGTGCACATGTATATAGAGTTTCTCTCCCCTCACTGGGCCTTTTTGCTCATGAACTGGCACTCAGCTGGAATTCAAGAGACTCCTCTGCAAGGGGAGATTCTGTGAAGGGATTTTAAGGCTATTAAGAGGCAGCTCAGATACAAGTCTTCCAAACGTACTTGCATCTTCAGAAAAAAGCACTGTCTCATCTTTAACAAGGCTTTCCCCGACCTCCTGCTGAAATATATCAGTGTACTCAGTCCTGTACTATTTTCTATCTATTAGAGGACCAGCTCTTAGCTGTACTCAATCTTCTCTTCAACAAAAGGTCTCTGCAATATTTCTGTGATTCCTATTCAAGGAAATCTATTCAGGAATGGTTAAAACATCATCTTTGAACAAACCAGCAAGAATTCCAAAGTTTTTTTCCCCAACTCAGCTCAGGCCCAGGAAAGGACAGGCCATCTCATCTTCCCCCAAACATGAAGCAAGACCTGAAACTTGGCAGTTGTTAGCACTGTTAAGCTAGCAGGCAATCACAAACTCCTGGCTAAATACACTCTGCCTCTAGGAGAGAAACTGTGCTCTTGAGAGCCTTGTTCTGACCTGCAGTCCCAAGAGCATGCCACATCTTTAAGGCGTTACCCTCTCCTTTATATAATTGGGTGGCTACAAGGCTAACACAGCACTGGCCACCATCCCTCAGCAAACCAGCTGAGCCTCCCTAGTGGGGGCTCTTTATACTGAAAACAACAACATTGCTACCGAGATCAGAAAAATCCATTCACCCAAAGAAAATAGGCCCCCTAAGCTACTAATTTCTGCAGAATTTAAGCTTTTCCACTTCACAGAAGTCTGTACAAAGCTCTCAGCCCTGCAAAGGTACTATTTTCTTGACACACGCAGAATCTAAGCTGGTGTCCTGAGCTCACAGACAGATTCTCCCCAGTGCAACTGCTATGGCACAGCTGAGGTACCACATTGCAGCACAGCAGAATTAGATGGAGGTCTGCTGGGTCCTCTGGCAGCATTAGATCTCACAAATCCAGGTACTGCAGCAAGGCAGGACTGTGAAATTGCAACACTGCCCTCAGTAACAGAAGGGACAGTCAGCTGCTTGGGGAGCATAGGGGCATACCCTTTTACCTCCCTCCATTAACAAACAGGCTGTAACACAGAAAAACGAAAGTCTTTATCTCTCATACCCAGCCCATCAGTCTACTGTGTGACAGCAGCAATCTTCAACTGAAGGACAGAGACATAAATACAACTGACACTTTCAGTGACTTCAGGATGTTGGTCTGCAAAAGACCTTCTAAAGCAGCTCCCATTGGCAGAGGGAGGGAGAAGTACAGAAGACTCATTCCATTTAGGCACAACCAAAAAAAAAAAAGTGTGGAGAATGAAACAACTTGCTTCCCCTGCTACATCCCAAACAGGGATTTTAACTTGTAGTTCTGTCCTTGTAGAAAGGGAACATCTATCATCTTTACCAGAAAACTGCTGGCAAATCACTAAATCCATGCTGAAGTCTGGGCATCCCCATGGAGGTCTGTGGTCAGCAACACGTTCTTGCAGAGAACGCTCTTTCACAAGCCTTACTTTGCCATTACTGAGAAGTAATAATATCCCTGTGTTTATTTTCATGGGCTCTACTTCAGTGACGAGGCACTCAGCCTACTGCCTTGGGAACGGCAGCCACACAGGTCAGTAGATCAGAGCAAATATTTACTGCGGGTCAGTGTGGGGCCTGTGTGCCTTGTAGCTCGTGAGGCATAGGAAAAGGATGAAACCACCTAAAAAGTGCCCTGGTCAGCCTGTGCTGAGATGTTTAACTTGCCAGGTAAATCGTAGTAAACAGCCCTTGTCAGCAGATCCAAGGGTAGATGCATTGGAGTCCACCCACTGATGTTACACGACAACACCATTTTGGAAAAGTTATTTAGGAAAAAGAATTTCTTTCTCACAGGTGCCACAAGCTTTTCTTTAACATATGCCCAATCCAAACCCAAGCTGATTTATTTGAGGCCCGTTTTGTAACTCCCCCAGCTCCACCCATGCAGAGCATGGCCAGTGAGACTCCTCTGTAATCTGTACAAGTCAGATTTATTCCAGATAGGTCTGGTCTTATCATAGATATTCTTCAATTACCTAGCTGTAGAGGGTGAAGAGTCACACAGCAGTGCCTCACACCTCTTGTTTGCAACAGGGTCCCCACACTGCTTGGGATGAATTAGAAGATCTTGCACATGTCATGGTCAAACCAAGAAACGCCCTGCTCTGACATAAAAGGCTCTTCAAGAAGCAGCTTTAAGGTAGGTCATGAATATGCACTTACAAACTGTCTGTAACGGCCTGTGTCAATGACAATTCACAGAATTTAAGAAAAAATTTTAGATCAATCTGCTCTGACCTCCTGAGTACTCAAGGCCACAGAATTCCAGTTATTCCTGTTCAGAGGACAGTCACTTTTGTAACGCTTCCCACAGCTCTACCACCCACAGCACCAATCTGCCATTCTCAGCTCAAAACATACCCTTGGATGGGTGTTAAATGAAAGCAACAGCCACAGAGATCTATCCAGAAGGGAAATCACACCACACCATTAAAGCACGCCACCACAGAAGTTACCCTCAGCAGAACACACACCACCTTGGGTTGGGTCAAAGAGATGGGGCTGACCAACAGACAGCGTAACCCAGCCAACACTCACATTGCATTGAAACGTGCACAAACGCACGTCTTCCAGTTATGAAGACAAGGAGAATTAGAGTGCCTTTGGATTCAACACAGAATTACCATATTGCCTAATGCTTGTAATTAGAGGGCAGAATGGATTGGGAAGCTTACAAGCATCTTGTTCAATGAGAAACAGGGGATTTGCATGCGCAGCTTGCATAAGTGTTACAGGAACTACCAGCAAAAACGTCTAAGAAGTCAGTGGGAAAGTAGATGTTGCAATTAAATACCATCACACAATTATTAAAGTAACTGAAGCATCACAATAACCGCTCAATTGAGATGAGACTCTGAGATACCAGTGAAATACCCTGGAAGAAATCTGAACTTTCCAAGATGAGCTTTCAGGAAAAAAAAAATAAATCATTGTTGTCAAAAGCACCCCGAGGACCTGCAAAAGCCAGGAGAGGACATACTCCAAAGGAGCATGGGGTGGAGAGGAAAAAGCCACAGGATACAAAAGCAGACACTTGTATCTAGGCTCTGAGATCTGGAATACTCAGATCTGTGCTGCAGTGATGAGAGCAATAACTTTCTTACTGCAGTCCCTTACTGACTGCTCCCTCTGGAAATCTGTGCCTGCTGGGTTTTCTTTACTGGCAACGAGCACACAGATGGTGAGAATTAAAATAAAAGCAAGCACCAATTTCCCAGTCACAACAGCTGCTCTTTACAGTTGTCAAGGTAAAATATTTTATTGGTAAAAACAGAGCTAAAGGTAATATTTTCAAGTTAACTCAGGCAAAGAGGGAGCGAACCTTACCCCAGGTAACACTCAAACAAATCAAACTGGGGTACAACTGAATTTTATTTGGAAAAATACAATTTATCGTCTCTTTCTCAAACTAGCCACCAATTTCTTGAGTAGTCTCATTTGATAAACAAGGAAGTGAGCTGCATTAATAGCCTAGCTAATTGCACAGTAGGCTTCACTTTTTTTTGATAGGGTGGTGGAAGGGAGAAGATGACAATGTACACATAGAAGCAGTATATGAACAGGAAGATTTTTCTATAACCCCATGTTTCTATAAGTCATTTGGCCAGGAGTTGTGTTCTTGTTTATATATGCAGCTTTGTAAACAGTGCATAGCCAGTGCTTTAACATGAAGGTTCATTTCATGTGCATGAATGCTAAAAACTTTCGCTTTCAAAGCCCACACATGGGTAAAACTCAAGTTTGACTATTTTTAAAAAGTATTTCATTATTAAAATTTGCACTTATATTCAAGGAGAAAAAGAAGGTATCAAATAGAAAACCATTTTCACTTGGTATTCATAACAGCATTTCACTACCACCAAAGATGCTCCTTTTTGAAGCACAGCAATACCCAATGGATGCAAAACACCATCATTTATCTAAGACAAAGCGCACTAAACGTGGGTTTTAAAAAACAAATGCCTGCCACTTCTATCTCACTCACATTATAAACAAATAAAACACATGAAAGACAGAATATTCCTTCATTTTCCTTCAAGTACTAAATCCCTTCTGAAAAATTAAAGTCCACCAACGTAATTCATTACCCTGCATGAATAGAGTGCAACATACCAGCATCAAGCACCAAATAATCATTCTAGGGATACCAACACTAGCTGTAGGGCAAATGCAAATTTAGCTTTTAATCCTTCAATTTTTGGCATTTCCAGGCATCATGTACCTCAAATAAGGAGCCTGAAGTATTATCCAGCTGACTAGCTTTTAATTTGAACAATGCGAACAAACTTTGTTTAACCATGACCCAGAGCCACATAAGGAATGAGATTAAAGTTGTCTCTTCACATTTAGTAATCTTGTAGTTAACATGCAAAACAAGAAGAAAGCTACTTTAAAGAAAAAAAGAAAAAAATACAGTCAGGCCAACAGAAAATAAGGGCTATGTCTGACTGCAGCTAAGCAACTTGTTAAACATGTTATTCCCCTACCACTTAGGTGCTCGAGTACAACGGGATTTTCACACAGGTCAGAATCCTGTCTGTACCTGCACTGAAAAATAGCTTTGGAGATGGAATCTTGAGTCCCAGTAACACCACTGGGTAACATGCAAAGCACATTTCATTCTGTTTGATGGCAAAGACACACTTCAGTCTTTCCAAAAGGTTCTTCAAGGCACCACAGTCACAGACACCTGAGCAGTATTCTCCAAAAGACCCTGAAGTTAGTAGTTTTCATCACCCTCACAACACTACTGGCTACACTACAGTCACCCTCAAAACACTGAAGAAAGAAACGTGTTCTGCCCTACATGTGGGAAAAACCTAGGAGGAAAACTTAAAGAAAGCAAAATATACTGTTAGAATCTTATTTTGATCGAATCCTACAGAACTCCAAGACTTCAGTATAAATAGCTTTTTTTCCAGTGACCAAGAAAAAGACAAACCACACCCCTAGCAGTGTTAAAATGTTTAATCTATAAGGCCATTGTAACTAAAATACGTAACTACTGACAGCAGTCACCACTGACCTATATAGGAAAGACTACAAGACTAGCTTTTATTGTCATGGATTCTCAGTTTTCAAGTTATTATCAAGGTTGAACCTCTTAGAAGAGGAGCAGTGATACTCTGTTTATTTGCAGAAATTAAAAAAAAATTCACCATCTGCTTACTTAGACCTTCCACAAACCCAGTAAATGTAATGAACTGAAACAGTCAGTGTTTTCTTCTGAATACAAAGAATATTCTACTTACTGTGAAGATAGTCTGCCAGGTCACCACCATTACAGTACTGCAAACAGAACAGAAAGCTCAGTAAATGCACGGGAAATGATAGGTTAAAAAGAAAAACAGTAAACTTCACTAGGATGATAGGCTCATCATAGTATTTAAACATAAACAATCACATGTGTTAAAATATGCATTCAGAAGTTGGCAGGGAAAACCCCATTCCAGTATACCCCTGTTCTGTCCCATCTCCCCTACACATTGCATTGCATTATGACACACCAGCACTAACTATCTCTTGTGTGTGTGAGCATCACTGTAAGTGCACATCAGAGAAAGATAAACCCAGAACAAAGCAGAAGAGTCACCGCTGGAGACACCACCAGAAAACTGGTTGAGGAAAGGCTGGGAGCAGCCACAGCTGAAAACTGAAATTCCACACATCTCATTCCGTATCATCAGGGAAAGTGAACAAGACCTGAGAGTGAGGACTGCAGAGGAAAGAGCTTTTGAAAGCTTTGCAGCCAAGCTGTGGGGAGAAAATTTACTTTCCATGTATCTCTGAAGCAGATACTACCCAGTAACACCCATTTGACCCTTGAGGTAAGACGCCTGACTGATTAAACCTGTGCCAGCATGACCTTCTGACAGCAGCAATATGAAAAATCCCCCTGGCTGCTATCTTCACCCACACAGCTCCAGTCCTCAAAGGCACTCGCTGCAGATTAGATTGGCAAAAGCATCACAGGTGAGACAGATTGCGAGCAGAAAGGACTACTTCTGTAGCAAACTGGTCTGCTTAAAACCAGTTTAAAGGAAAAAAAAAAGACATACTCACCTCCATAACCAAGTAGACAGAGTTTGCCAGTTCCTGAGGAAAGAGAAAATGGAAAAATAAAACATTTATGCATTGAAATATTTCACACACTTTACAATGGCTGCATTTCCTTCAACAGGTAAACTGTGCTCTGTTACGATTCAGACTGAAAAGAGGGTTAAAACTTCATTAGAGGTTAATTCCTGGAAGTTGCTTACTTTGAAAGTACCAGATACTTAAGCACAGTACTCCTTTCTGAGTGCACATCTGTTTACCCAAGCAGATCTCCTGCACTGTGGCTTGAGTCTTCATGTTTCTTTCAGGCTCTTGGGATTAATAGCGGCATGCAACGCAGATGCTGGCACACTACTATCTTACAGCCTTAATCATTTCCACATTTAACTTGGCCCTTTATAGCAGCCATGCCCACATGAACAGCACTAGGCTGAACAGAGAGATAAGAGCCACACAACTTTGGGACCTGCAATTCAACCCTACGGGTGAAAAGTGCCTAAGAGTTCCACCTATCATTTGAGGGCAAAAAGGGAAGATCTTGGGTCAAAAATGCATCATCAGCCAATGAATTTCTACACATGGATTAACACAGTGCTATTATCAGGTGGCTAAAGCTTTCTGGATTATCATAGGGGGCAACACCAGCAAACTCCAGGTCAAATGCTCATCTTCCTAAATTTGCTACCAGGTGCTACACTGTGATGATGCTTCCAGTCTGGAAAGTTTATCTCCAGCCTTCACTGATCTTCTCCACCAGCTCCCTAGCCTTAGGAAGCATGTACAAGACCATATATACACCATATGAGCACAAAGTACTGTGGAGAAGTGCCCCACAAACATCCAGCACCACAGAGCCACACTGGGAACTGGTGTCTGTGCAACACATGCTGGCACCAGCAGCTGCTGGGCACTTGTGCAGCAGAGCCACCAGCAGAGAACAAGCATGAGAACAGCCAGATGTCTCAACCCTGGGTAAACCCAGAAGGGTGAAGGACTCTAAACCCTCTTATTGAAACAGGAGTCAGACAAAAGTCACTCCTGGACTCAAGGCCGGGTCCTGGACAAGTGCAGGCAGCAATAGCCTGGGTGACTGGAGAAGCTCCAAAAGCAGAGCAAGGGGCTTCACTCCATTCCCACAGCTCCACGGCAGCATCCTTTACACACAGGCTGTTTAGACACCTGCCCACTTGACTCCTCTTCTGAGACCAACTGAAATTTCAAAAAGCCCCAGCATCCACCCTACCAGCCTTTTAGCTTCCAAGCAGCCTCCACTGTCTGCTCTCAGCCCTTTTCATCTCCGTCTGCCAACAGGACTCTACCTCCCATCAAGCCCCTACCAAACTGACTGCCTTTGTCAACGCCTTGAGTCCTCAGCACCTCCCATCATTTCTCTTGCAGTCCTCTTTCAACATGAAATCTGAGTTTCCAGATGCTTGCTGGAAGAGTGGTTGGAGGAAGGGGGGGAGAGGGGAGGAAGCTGAACTACCTGTGATTTGAGAGACTCAAGCCACAGCTGCATCATCCACCTTCCCCAGAAGGGCTCAAGGCACTGGGAACCCCAGCAGCCCCAGCTTATGTGGGTCGCCTGGTCCAAGCATTCACCAGACCCCGGGGCTGGCCATCCCTGGCTCTTACAGCTCTGCACAGTTCCAAGCCCAGCTGAACTTTCTGAAGGTCTCCTTGTTTGTACAGAAAAAGCAATTGTCTGTGACACTTCAAGAAGGCGTTTGTTGCATTTCCTTGCATGATGAGTACTGCTTTAAACAGGCTTTATTTTCCAGTCTCTGCGTTTAAAAGCGGCACACGTTAAGTCATCCACTTCCACACACGCCTCAGATGAAGTGAGGAACCAGTCTGTGGTCAGAAGCACCAGCCCAGGGAAGCAGCACAAGCAGCAAACCCCAGCCATCATCACAAGCTTTGCACCTGACAAAGACCAGGGGAAAATTTTCCAACATGTTCAAAGCCCGCCAGCTCCTGCTGTCCTTGGCAGGAACAGTGGAAGGACAAGGTTTATGAAAGACACCCAGATCTCTCACTTCTCTGGGAACTCCAGCCACGGATGTAGCAGAAGACACGAGGCCACCTCAGAAACGGGCTGCAGCTGCTCAGAGAACAACTGCAGGGCAACTGCTGGGCATGGGCAAGTGTCTGAAGTGGTTTTTGCAGCCCACACCAAGCTCATCACTGCCACAGCAACATTCTTCAGAGATACTTCTTGTCTAAACATGCTGTGATCACTGCAGCTCAGTACCTCTACGCATTACTATCTATAGTGCCAGCAAGGTTTGGGGAAGCTTAATATATTATTACCTATACAGAAAATGAAGAGGAAGTTTAGCTTACACAAACTAAGTCCAAAAGGTATTTGTAATAAGTTATTGGCCAATAGTTAATGTACACCGTACAGTTTGGTTATTTTTCCACTGTACGTTATTTAAAGACTCTGCAAACAAACATCATCGAGCAAGTCATTGATTTTTGGCAGGCAGTGACTAGGGTTAAATAAGGACCCACAGAGGCAAGGGAGATGCTTTGCTCTACTAAGTGACCTTGGTGGTTGGTGGTTTCATCCCACCAATACAGGGTGACAAGATAAGAGGCCAATACTTGAAAGGCTTCTAGGAGAGAAGCAGGTTTCTCCCCCAACCCTTCCATGGTCACAGCACCCCATGAACACCCATGATCCAAGCCTCACCAGGAAGCACCCTCTGAACATCCATCCATCCAAGCCTCACTAGGACACACTCCCCAACGTGCTGAATGCACCCCCACTGCAGCAGCAGACATTGAACAAGCCTATTTTCAGATGGCAGACGCCTGTAGCAGGGATGACGCATCTTCTACACTTGCAACTTCAGCATTTTAAGACCAATTTACCAGATAGAGATTTGTAGGAATTTTGCCAACAAAACAAAACATTTATTTCAGGAAGGGCCCTGGAAACAAACACTTGTTTGAAAAAAGCTTTCAGCAAATAGCTTACTGTGGATACAATGGTCTAAGGAGACTTCTGGTTTCCCAAATGGGCTGATGGGGTTCTCTCAAGGTGATTTAGCAGCAGAAGCTATTTCTTTTCTACTTTTATCCTTCCACAGTATTTATGTTTTGTTCATTAACAAAACCAGGAAACAAATACTGCAAGCCAGATTTTTGCACGCTACCAGTCTCTCTAAAAAGAAACAAAATGCCCAACCCGCTCATTTCCATATCAGTAACAAGAATATCACAGTTTGTTGTATTTCTGCAGAGGCTGATGTCCAAGAAGTGCTGCAGATAATTTACTCTGGACCTCTTACTCACATGTGCCAGCCCATGCAGCCAAGGCTAATCCTGTCGTTAAACAAGCTCAACGAAGGGAACAGCATAGAGGCAACCTCCTAACTTTTCCTCTCATCACGAAGTGCAGCAGTACCCTGACCACGCTCCACAACAGCACCAAACAGCCTCTGCCAAAGACATTAAGCTGATAATTAATCAGTCTGGATCATTGCCCGACTTGTAGTTCTTGCAGCAGAGGCCCCAGCGATGAAGTTTCAATTTAATTGAGTGTAAAAATAGGCAACAGCCTCTACTGTCTACAAATAACACACATCTGATGGAGGACAAAGAAATGAAGAAATTTAATTTAGCAGTACAGCATAAATCACCCCAGGACAGTGCTGTGTTAAAATTCCTCACTGGGACACTGGGAGGGATGGCATTACAGACAATGAGACCCAGCAGTCCTGTCTCCCTTTAAATTTTGTCTCCACCCATACTGGAAGGTGGCATGATCCTCTTCTTGGAAAGTGTGTGTTTAGGTGTGTCCAAAGGGAAATGTCTGGGTGTACCCACAGTTAGTCATCCTCCTACCACAGCTTAAAAAGTCTGCGAGAGGAAACTTCCTTAGAGAAATCCTCCTCTGCACTCTACCCCAGCACCCAGCCCTCCACCAAGTTTAGAAAGGCATTTAGGAAGGGAAAAAAGTTGATGTTTAATTACACAACGCTCCAAAACCCTCTCTGCACTGCAGTGTTGTCACCAACCTGCGTGGGACCAGCGTTGTAAAAGACACTGGGGTAAAACCAGCAAAGAATGGCTTCCACCTTGCACAAATCCTCATTTCTAGAAGACTGGGGGCTGCAGGAGGAACACCTGGAAGATGAACATAGCTCCACTGTTCCCCCATGCACTGAGCACCGCATGTCCGGCAAGACTTCTACTGCCTATGGGAGAGGAGCCCTATGGACTCAAGTCCTCAAAACTGGTTTTGTTACTCTCCTGAAGAGGACCATACCGCTGCCTGTTTCCTGGCCTCTCTCCGATGGCAAAGGTTCCTGTTTTGTACCTCTCAGAAGGTATCTCCCATGAGCTGCTCAACACCACCTCTCAAACAGCAGCCGGAGCAGCTGCCAGGCGCAGATAACGGCTGCATGCAGATGTCTCTACAAGGGGCTAGGACTCATCAATTGTACCAACACAACAGCAGCACGGAATAAAGCTGAGGGTCTGACAGTGGAAGATAAACTCGACACCAACTGAAAGCTAAGCTTTTCCACTCTAGGTTGGGTTTTTTCATGCTACTTCCCCTACGTGCTGCAGCAGAACCACAGCACGCCGCATCCTCCTGTTCTGCCAGTAACATCTCATGGAACCAGCACCCTTTCAGCCTCTGGTCTCTAGCCATTGTTCTTCTGACAGTGGCACTGGAGTCAAACAATTTTGCTTTACAGAAACCAATTCCTAGGCCAACAGCACCTGCAAAGTCTCTAGCTAAGGCAGAGGTTCCCAGGCTGGCTGGGCTTGGGAAACAGAACCCACAGTTCTCAAGAGAAGGAAGAAACTTTGCAAACAGTAAAATCTCTTGGTATTACTTCACTCTGGCTCACAGCTTGGCTTCAGCAGGGTAACCTCTACAGAGGGAAAGGAAAACCGTCACGCTGTGCAAGGATTATCTCCCGACGCAACTATTTGAACGGAAGCAAGATAAAAGACAATAGTAACATCAGTCTGAATTGTGGGAGCACCAACCAATGCTCACCCTTTGGAAAACAGAT